GCACGGGATGGTACGACCTTGGTACACGGCGTACACGGCTAAGTCAATAAACTGGGTGACGCAACTCACTAGCGCGTTGGATCGACGGAGAGCACCGATACTCGGCACGCTCTACCGTACTCTCTCGCTCGCACACCTCCCCCCATAGACCCCTGAAATTCCTCCAACACCGACGGAGAGCACCGATACCGCGGCTCGCTCTCTCCTGTTCGCCCGCTCCGATCATCTTCGGCATCGTTCGGTATGCGTCGACACAGACGGAGAGCACTGATACCGGCGGCTCGCTCTCCCGCTCTCGTTTATTTATGATGTTTATATTCCCCAAATAAATATCATGTTTAACTAATTTGTTTAAGCGACATGTTCCTTTTAAAGATTTAGCTCTCCAGTATAAATCCCTAAGACCCTTATTTATTATTCATTTCACAAAATAATAAAACTGAACCTTAAAAATAAATAAATAATAAAACTGAAACCTTAAACTGAAGCATCGGATATTTTTATTCTCGTGAAATCATATAGATACACGTAATATGAATGGAATATATAACACTTTATTTGTGCTAATAATACTCAGAATTCATGCTTTATCGGTAACGTCGGGTATTGACACTAAAATGGTAACAGGGCTACGTAGCCCTATGAACGTGGGACAGAAAAAAGCATTGGATGATAGGTCTATTCTATACCTAGTCGGTGATAGTACATTGTACATATATTTTTGTGATATTATTTATTTTGACGTTGACCTTTATTTATAATGTAACATGTAAGAAATCCGAATACAATACATTGATGTTTCTTTGATTACTGGAACCTGTGTAATTAAAGATGAACGAACGGACGTTGAGATTGAACACTCAATCTTTTACCTTCGTTTTCTACCTCCAGCTTTAAGTCGCATGTCTCGCTTTCCTTTTCCTGCTTTTGGTTTTTTCGATCCCGTGCTTTTTACTCCTCTTTTACCTTTCATTACACGTGTCTTGGCTGGTTTTACTCTACAAAGTGCAAAATGTTCATGTATATTGAACTTGTTAAAGTTAAAAGATTTGTCAAATATCTTGAGAACCTACTTTGGCACAGAAAAGTCCTCGCGGAAGATTTTAGCGTTACTCTTAAGGATGTTATCTGCTAAGTTTTTATTACGTTTCCTTTCATCTTGTAGATTTGATGGAACTTCTTCTGCCTTTCGTTTCATACCAGGCACTTGTCTTGCAATACCTTTAGCATCCTTTTCCTTTGGTAATCTGGAAGTATTATGCCGTTAATTTTTAAGTGTTGTGTGTACTTTTTATAACTAATGTTTTAATGCATGTACCTGTCCTGGAATTTGCCAGCCGATGCCGTTGATGTACGTGCAACAGTAATGGCCTGAGATAACTGTTGTGGATCAGGAAAGTGTTCTCTTGTAGGCAGACCCACTTGTGGAATTTTAATATTTTTCGCTTTAGCAATATTACGCAGCCTTTGCAATTCGTTCTTCGACCGTCTTTCTTCTTTTCCTGCTTTTGCTACCGCAAATGAATCTTCCATCGCCTTGTTCTCATTATTAACTTCAACCAACCATTCTTTCTGTTCTTCAGCATTGTTACGTTTGTAACCAAAAGTAGGTATCCATTTCTGTAAAGGCACGAAATTATTGTATAAACTCGATAAAAAATGTAATTAATTGTAAGGAAGAAACTTACTTGTAACTCATCGTCCCATTTAAGTTTTGATTTATTTTTCTTTTTAGATTTGATACCCTTCTCTTTAGCATACTGTTGCCATTTTGTTAATGGTTTTGGCTTTGGAATCTGACGAGATCTAGGTAACACAAATTGAGGCTTTGGTAATTTTGCCACTATTGCTTCATCAATACGTTCTGTTGGCAGCTCCCAAATGTTATTAAACAATATTTGCACATTATCCCTTGTTACACTCTTCAGGTATTCTTCTTGTTCAGATCTACAAAATATTGTGCACCAATTAAAGGAAATCAATATAAAGAAGATAAATGTAGAATATACTATACTATTAAGTAGAAATTCGGATAAAGGAGATATAAACAGAGTATGAGTATTAAATTATAACTACCGTTGTTAGGTTACCTTAGTGTTTTCAAGTTGAGAGTATTGTAATCTAATGCGAGAAGAGATCCCACATCTGTCTCAACTTCTACATCCTTATGCACTTCAGTGGATTTACGTGAATCCTTCTCCTGGCTTTCGTTCTTTAAAATTGCCTGGACGACATCCATGCTCTCAAGTGCGCGTTCTCCAAAATAATTTTTAAAAACGAACTTCCAAACAATTGTCACTTAATTATGTATTACAAATCGCTTAACTTTCCACTACATTCTTCACTATGAATACTCGTAAAATAAGTTCAAATATGAAATCTAAACTTAAATATTGTTCTCCGTTCAGGAGAATACGTTCAAGCACGTGCACTCAAGGTTATGTTGACACAAATGCGGTTTTTCTCAATGCTCACGATATGAAGACTCCCATGGTTTATAGCAGATACAACTATTAAATGAAACTGTAGTTTCCACGTACTTATTGGAGGAAAAAGAATTATGTTCTCAGACTGAATTAGAGTAATAACAGCGATTGCGTATTATTTGGACATCATTCTATTGGTTATATCACGAAAATGTTTGTTCTCGCTGAATTGAAAGACACAGTTAGGATCCCACCGTGGGAATTTAAACGAAAATTAAACGACGCGATTACAGACGAACTTAACAGGAAGCTTGCGAATAAGGTAGGATACTATAATTCAAATAATTCTACCAACGAGAGGAATCAAGTTCAAACATTTCTTTCAGGTTTACCTGAACGTGGGTCTTTGTATCGCTCTGCACGATATCACGAAGATTGAAGAATCCTATATTTTTCCAGGGGATGGGGCATCTCATACTAAAGTAATATTTCGAGTTATTGTGTTTCGCCCATTTATGGAAGAAATTTTAATAGGGAAGATACGTAGCTGTAGTCTCGATGGTGTGCATGGTATGTCTATATCATATATAGGATATTACAGACATATATTTAAATGTTTTAAGGGTTGATAAGGAAGTTCGAATGAAAAAAAAATTTGTATATTATATTTGATCTGCTTATAATTTGCAGTAATAATGTTTTAAAATTCCAAAGCACTTTAATCTGTTTACACTGTACATGTTTATTATATTATTATTATGTTTCCCTTGGTCCTGTAGTGGCTTATGGATTTCATAAACACAAGAGACTATTTTTTTTTTGCAGTAACATTGGGATTTTTTGAAGATATTGTAATTCCACCCAATAAACTGCAACATCCGTCAAGGTTTGATCAAATGGAACAAGCTTGGGTGTGGGAGTATGACACAGGGGATGGTGAAAAGCATGATCTATTTATGGATGCAGGTACTTCAATTAGTATCCGAAACTAATCAATATTGTTAATGTGTTTATACACGTATAGAAAATAACAATGATTACAAGAAGTAACATAATAATACTCCAAACACTTCAGGAGAAATTATACGATTCAGGGTTGTGAACGAATCATTCACAGAGACTTTACCTACTGGACCTAATGTATCCGGGGAATCTGTGGAAAAATCAGAAGCTAAAAATATATCTCCATATACTTTAGGGGTATGTGTAATTTATTAAATATTAAAATATTGATAAAAATATGTATCAGTGCTCAACAGATTTAATTTTAATTACTATAGGGTGCTATAGATGAGCCGGGACTTGGTTTACTCACATGGTGGGAGAATACCTAAGAGCACAAAAATAAATTTGGATCAATAAATTTTTATTTCACAGCAGATTCCATCATGTTATCACGTTCGAAAGTTATATCCGTGACTGGCGTCACGTGCCACCCGATTTCGCGATAGAATTTTTACTGTGCGGATACATTTATATTCAGTTTCCATTGGTAACAGAATTATTAATTAGTATTTGTACAATATATACAAAGACGTTATATTTGAAATATGTGGTAACACGCGAAAAATAACATCAGTTCGGTAAAAGTCGAGGTAATGCTAAATATTACACAAAAATTGTATTCGGTGGTACAAGTTTCAACATAAAAAACATTGCATAGTCTGTAGCAATTCAATTTAAACAGTGGCATAAAAATTCTTCACATTATTACGTGCCGATGGAGGATAGTGTGACGCAATCGTGTTCTTGTCTTTTTTTTTTCTTTTTTTTTAAATATTCGTCAAAATCGTTTAACAGTATTAAACACATAAAACACGTTCTCTATATTGTGATATATCGTTACAGTGAATGAAAAACATTCAAGAACTTAGCTAGGTGTAAGCCTTAAATTTAGGAAACATTAATTACATGACAGCGGAATATACGTAGATAAAATATAGTCGAACACATTTCTAGACGACAGATACATGTGCAACGATCATTCGGTTTGTCTTTTTTTCTGTTCCTTTTTATTTCAGCAACACGTGTCATCGAACAAATCACGCGAATCCGTGTCTCGTAAATAAATAAAAATCACCGTCAAGACTCGTCGGAATGTTTTTTGCCTTTTTTTTTATTTATTTATTTTTTTTCGCTCGTTGAACAGTCACTTTCTATGTAGTTCGATTAGTCTCTCTTTTTTTTTTGTTATTTCCTTTTCAAGCACCGCGACTAACGTGACCAGATCGTGGTCTTAAACGGCCTCGCAAGCGGATTGAACGACACTCTAAAACACATTCAAAGTGAAATAATGCGAGTACAATAAAAATTTATCACAGTTCTAACTGCTTGAGTCTGTCGTGCCGTCTCATCGGACATTTACTACGTTCTTTTAGCGAGAACCTACGTGGGGCTAGCTGTCGCAATATTTCCCTATCGTCAAGCGACGCGTGAAACTCTGAACATTGTTATCGATTGTACGCACTTCTCTTCTATTTTATTTCATTCGTACTTTGTCGATCCTTCGAGAAACTTAAAAATGCAACGACCAACCATATAATGGAACACTATATAGTGGGTCGAAATACGAAAAAATACAACAGTTGCTCGAATGATTCCCGAAATTAATAGAAAGTCTTTTTGAAAAGGAGACCGACGACATTATCTTTTATTCATTAGGTCGGTGTATATAAAATGTCGGTTCTACTGATGGACACATTAGGTTACATTTACAAGTTTTACCAGCAAAACTATTTAAGGAGTATTTAATATCGATTAAAAGAGAACAGATTGAGAGAAAGTTAAGTTAAAATTCTTACGTATAGCTAGACTTGAAAATTTAACGTTAACATCAAATCGTTCAACAAAAAGACTGCTATTAATATTATTTTCTAAACACTAGCTTCAAATTAAAGAATTCACTTTAAACAATATAGGTTCCTAATGATAATGGTACAAGCATAAGTGTATGTGCCTTACTGAAAAACGTAAAGTAATCTTACCTTGACTAATACAGAGGACTCGAAACATATTACCACGCGAGGTACTTCCCCTTCACACGTACTTTCGAGCACACAAATTCGCTTTCCCGCCACGTTGCGTTAATCTGAGCACCACGACGATTCAGCTTTTAAGCAGGCGCTGACGGCCGAGACTATGCCGATAGAACTTAACATGGAGGGGGTTCTGAACTAATTACCATTTTACTTCTCTACAACGCCGACTGTGGCAATATAATTAGAGTCCACTGTAAAAGAAAAGGGATTCTCTGGGAACGAAGACATTACGAACTCCTTCGATGGTTTATTGTTGCATTTTTACGTGTTTCAATCCACCGTCTACCGGCCATTATCGAAGAATCTAGTGTGAACAGAAGGGGTGCGATTGATACGGGAGCTCTGGTGTATTAAAAATGCCTATATGCGCTATTTAGTATCCTCATTGTTTACTTTACACGTTTAGGGGCTAGTGTCTCTCATTTTTTTTTTCGTCTTTCCAGTTTTCTTTTTCTTGTTTATAGATCGTTACATGAGAAACAAAACACAGTACTTAGTTCGCGTTTGGACGTCAATTGCTTTTCCCTATCTGTACGATGTTTCCCCCTCGGTCGTCGTTAACCATTGTCTTTCTAAGTATTGCTTTACGTGAAACATTGTCTTCTTCCCTTCGTCTTTCTGTTCGCTCTTAGGAATACAAACTCCGCCGTGCTATGTTTCTCGGCCGCGGCGTCGTGCATCGTTGAAACGCAAAGAAATCATCTAGAGGGCATTCCCTGCCCCTGTGGATATCGTGATCGATTTTATTCGATGATTAGGCAGCGCGGCAGATGCTCACGTAAATAGTCGAATAATTCCTGAGAGGTTCCTGGACAGTTGGTCAGCTCTAGCTCGTGTAAATGTCGAAGCTGTATCAGACTGGACAATCCGCTACTCGTGAGCAATGGGCAGCCTGCGAACATGATTAATTTGAAGTGAACGAATCGACATTAAAGTAAACTAACGTGAACTGTTTAACGGCAAAGAAGAGCTTAAGTTATTTCAAAGCTTATTGTGTAGTAATTATTTAAAATGTGGGTTTTAGAAAGTTATTTTGAAGCTTATTGTGTAGTGAATTATTTAGAAAGTATAGATATAGAGGCTATAAAAAGTAGAAATAGTAAGCACTGGTCAGACACGTTAACAGAGTCGTAATGAATGTGCCCGAGGAATATTCAATTTTAATTTCCTTGTAAATGAAGAATATTTTCGATTCGATTTTGCCTTTTTAGACAGTCCCTTTCAACATATTACTGTTTGAAGAAAATCGGAGATACCGACCGAATTGTACACTATTACCAAATGCATTCATTGTTCTACTATTGTTGCGGTCGTATACTATATCCTTTTCGTGCTACATTTTAAACTTCGATCCACATATAGGCCAAGCCTTACCAGCAACGGAGAGTACTTGTAAGGATTTCATGACGCACAAGTTCTGAAGACCTAAGTCCCTAAGTTGTGAGCACCATCTCAAGAACAATGCGCTCAATGATCCCATTGTGCAGATGTAGCCTACACCTATGTCCGTGATATTGACACACCTGCACACAAACGGGTAGAAGAATCTTAAATATATATTCGTTCGAACATACACATTGTTTATGATATTTCAAATTTGTGAATTCGTTAATTCAACATTTTCGCGGTTGTAACCTCAAATTTCTATATGAATATTTTCCGTTCACCGAATATCAAAATTCTGAATACGAAGATTAAGACTTCCAATTCTTGTTCTTATTTCAATTCGAGTACGCTAATCGCTTCGCGATCATAACGATAGCTCCATTAACGTTTCACTTCTAGACAAATTGGCACGGATTATTCGAAGACAATGTGACACATGACCGAGCCAAAACGTTTCGTACGGGGGCCTTCCAACGTGTTCGATGTCGCGTATATCATCTTGTCGAGGACTCGATTGGGTCGTTTAAACAGATTGTGAGTCCGTCTCCTTAGGTGTCTCGACGGGAGAGCCTTGGTAGGTGAATCACTTATTGCGTAATGGCCGATCCTAAATAGAATGCTCGTTGACGCGTTCAGTATTTAGAACATGAATGAAGCGATTGAACGGACAGGTAGGGTTTCCGTTGTGTGTCTAGTCGGATTCGAGGCGATTTAAAATGCTTGTTAGGCCGTGTGTATCCAATGATCCGCTCTCACCTGTCCAACGTAAGCTCCTCTAACTGATTCAAATCACAGGCAATATAGTCTAAGGCTGTGTCAGTAATCCTTGAGCACCAACTCAGATCTAAGGAACGAAGTCTTGGCAAGTTTTCCGCTATAAACTCAACGCCGTCGTCCGTCACTTTACTGCACCCTGACAGCGACAATACGGTCAGATGCGGCAAGTAATGTACTGAAAACATAAAAAGCATTTCATTTTGATTATGGACTCGATTGTCAGGAGAATCATAACGATACGATTATGCGTTCTTTGTTCTGAAAAACTATTAATTTTACAGACCAAAGCGTCTCTCATACGGCTCGATGACTGTTACAACTAACCTCTGGAGTTTTGTGGATTTATACTGTATGGAATTATGTAAGATATAATCTAACAAAGAATTAAGTTTTCAAAATAGCAATTGTCTATTGAGATTTGAAAGAAATTTTCGTAGTAGAAATTTTGATAGTCGAAGTGTTAAGCCAGTGAAATTCTTAGTAGAGGAATTAAATTTTTTCTTACATCGTCTCTCTTCTTGTCAGTTAGTCCGCAATAATACGAACTTTGCATAATCCAAAGTCATAACAAGCTTACAATGTTATGGACGAACTCGGAGACAGCCTGTTTCTAGCTAATCTGTTTACCTTAGTACGATATTCTTGGTATATTTAAGGCACTTTGTTGGAATTACTAATGTCAAAGGTGTCACATATAAATAACGGTAACCGGTCGTTGACCACCCACTCGCCTAGGAAATTGAGTCTTAAACTATCGCTGAGAGCCTGAACGCTAAATAAAGCTGTGTTCCTTAATTCTAAATTTATAATGGCCGGATGCGTGTGATACCTGACTAAATTTCACGCTATCGTCACCGCGGTATTTCTACCTGGATTCCCGCGGAACACGTCCACGCAATCCTCTCGTGTTCTTCTAAATACTTTGTGTATCTTTAATTCAATTGTTCTTATACGTTCTTATTTTTAATTTAATTGTTACCCTTAATTCGTAAAATTAAATTTTCCAGTTTACAAAGAATATCGCGGTCTTAAATGAAACGGCGACGATCGTGTGCGTCTCACGGGGCTTACCAATATTGTATACACCATTATTGGTAAGCTCCCAGCAGGACTGGAGCCTCAGAATGCTGAGGGCGCTGCTCGGCTTCGAGTTGAAATAACTGAGGGCGGCGTCGGTGACGTGGTAAGCTTGTAACGAGAACTCGTAAAGGCTCGGCAACAATTGAGCGACAGCTCCGACAGCCTCATCGGCCACGTTAATACAATCCGACAAGGAGAGCGATACTATTCTAGGTGTCAAGCAGGTCCACAGGCCAGCCTCCGTTATCTCGTTACAACCGGCTAATTCAAGCTCGAACAATGCCTAAAAATAAAAGGGACCGTTAACAAAATTCCCCCCCCCCCATGCATTGGGGCATTAACGATATTTTTCAAAATTATGCAAAAAAAGACAATGTTACAATTACACTGTGGATTCCATGCATTTATAGTCTTCATCCGTGTAAAACAACCTCTAAGGCTCTGTTGTTATTTTATAACGAACAATACAATAATACACATACTAAATAACTAAGAATGTAATGTTAATATTTCACTAAATTAATAAACTGAATTAATCGAAGTATTTTAGAATATTGATTATTCTTATTTTATTAATATATTTTTAAGCCTCCGAAGCTCATTCTATCCTGATGAAGGTTAGAGGTAAGGGTTACGTGGGTTTTTATTTTCCTTTGACCCTGAAAAACCCCTAATTTCTGTTAACCCAACAAAAATATCTATATTCGCATAAATATCCACAGTGTAACGATCGATTGTTCTTCAGCATACATACACACAAAACTGCTCACTTGCAAATGGTCTAAAAGAGCTTCAAGGCCCTTGTCGGTGATCGCGCAGGACCTTAAGGACAACGAGTGAACGTTCCGTTGGGCAAGGGGGAATCCGTGGGTCAGTTCCGGGATATCTTCATCCGCGGCGCTGACAAGGACCAGCGAGCGGAAACCACGTCTGACCAGGGATGCGTAAAGGCGGGTACGCGAGCTGGGCGGCATGCCGCGTAATTCCCGGCACCTGACCACGGGCACCAATCCCGCCCAAAGCCGAGGTCGCGCGTAAAGTATGTCCCTCCATCTTGAGCATACCTGTAATCGTAATCACTGATCAGCAAACAGATTTATGTATAGGCATTATGTCAAAAATTTATGTCAGTTTTTTGGAGAATTGATTCTGCACACATCAGGCACAATTGGAAGTTTTTTAAAATAAAAGGGGATCAATTTCATCGAGTCGAAAAATATTTGATTATTTGAAAACTGGTATTTGCAGGTTATCCGTCTCAAACATCTACTTCTACTTTGTCAGTCAGACCTTCTTCCATTATCTCCACACCTTCTCGAAAACATAACCTCTTTCCTTATGACATGTACGCATAGGAAACGGGGTAATATGATGCAATGTGAAGAATATAATAATATAATATACATATATAAGAATATAATAAGATTCGAGAAATATAATAAATCAGTGGAAGAAAGTAATAACTGTGGCCACAGAATAGTTCCTTCTAAACTGTTATTATGGTAAATCGTCTCAACAATGTGAACTCCTAACCGACGCTCATTAAAACGTATCTACATATATACAAACGTCCAAGACTTCTCGAGAGCTGTACAGGCGTCGTTAAACCGAGTCATAAACAGAGTCATAAACAATCGTTCCCGACACCGATGGATCGCGTAACGAATCCTCCTCCATCGTTTTGATTTATATCTGACAGAAGGAATTATCTTCTCGGGGAAACTTGCGCAACAGAAAAGATGGCAGATCCTCTCAACGTCAACCGGAAATCTTCCGTTTCTAAGTGTGTTCGCGATATTTTCATGCATTCCTTACTTATTGAAAGCGATCCAAATTACAGTACTTTATAACATAAATTTCACTTTAAACTTTTATCTTTCTTTCCCGTTATGATCTCGAAATTATTTGCAAATTGTTTCATAAAAATAATATAAGAATATTCATAGATTTTTCTATCCGAACAGTAGACGCAGACGAAAAGATTGTCCCATTATAATCGCGTTCACTATCCTCATTACGATCATTACAACGAAAACGGCAAAATCCTGTCTACTGTTCACTACAATCGCGTTGCCGCTCCCAAGGGGCTTGACTATAGAAAGAGCATACTATACAAGGGTGTTTAAGGTGGTACAACGGTGCAGCAGGTTATTCTACGCGTAAAAACAAATCGAAAATATGAAATAAAATGTTTTCCTATGACGCTTTATTTCCGAAATAATCGAATTTAAAAATCTGCTGAAAAAGCGTGCTATTGGATAGAACTTCGCTCACGTGTGTCTGTTCATCGCATTCCATTTCTACTTATCGTCACCACAAATACACACGCAAATTTCTAAGTGGTCCTTTCTCGAAAACGAAGACCTCTTGTGAAAAAATTTCTTTTTCGACTTATTTTTTCTTACGTAATCACCTCCACGATTTAATTACCCGACCTGAGTCACCCTTGTACATATGTCATATTACCTAACCTCAATTCTGTCGATAACCTTCCAGACAATTCATTTATCAATCAGAAATATAATACTCCGTGTTATCGTTATTTTAAGAACAACCTACGACGCAGAAAAAAATGTTCTTCGTCTTTCATTTATCGACATCTATCGTCCAGATGACAATTTCGCTCGTCACCGCGTCCAGTCGAGCGATGAAACGTAAATAATCGACAGCGCACGTTAATTGGAATCGCCAAGAATAGGTGGTAATTACGAGGTGCGCGATAATATTGCTCGACAAGTCCGACAACGATGGAACTAAACCTGTTTTTTTTATCCTAATTAAAGGTAGCTGAAAAGGATGCTGGGTTTTTGTTATTTTCCGAAACACGTCGGAAAATCTAGCTTTTTCGATATAAACTTAACGCTGTTCTGTTCGATTTATTTCTTGAATTGTTCACCCACTAGGATTTTTTTGACTGTATTTCTGTCGTGTTTAACAAATAATAATAAATTTCAGTAAAATATAAATGTAAATAGTAATAAATGTAATTGTAGCTTCGACAACTAATTGACTTTTAAATCGCGACCTAACCCAACGTCCGGTCTGTCGACATTTGCATTTTTTCTATCGCACAGATATATTCTTATACACAATCTCTATTTCACAACTGTCGTGTTTCCCATTTGTATAGCAAAAATGTAATAATTAAATATACAGTATCCCAGTGGTGAGGGTACAACCGGCGAGGGGGTGATTCTACATGAGAAAATAGGTCGAAGATATGGAAAAAATTTTTTTCATTCGATCCTCTGTTTTCGAAATAATCGAATTTGAAAATCTGCTGGATACGCATGCAATTGAATAGGACTTGGCTACCGTGTCGGTCCATTGCATTCCCTTTCTACTTAATAAGATCACCACGCACGCTTTTTAGATTAATTTTCAAAGTCGATTTTCTCTAAAACAAAGCCTAAAATGAACAAAATTTATTCCACATTTTCGACTTATTTTCTCATGTATTAAACCCCCCTCCTCGGTTGTACCATCAATATTGGGACAACTTGCTTATTCCGTTCAAAAATAGAAACTATTGTACATTACTTCACAGCTCCAGAATTAAAATTAAATTTAAAAAAAATCCTTACGCCCCAGATTAAAAAATCAAATTACTCCATTTGGTATTCCACAATTAAAAATCAATAGAATTTTCGAAAATTTTGTAATTAATACGCTAGTATCGCGGCACCTGAGCCAAGATTCTCCTTTCGATCGCGTTGAAGTAGAGGAAAAATTTCCCTAAAAAGTGATCGTCCTGCATCAGCTGATCCCACGTGACCGGTGCGACGTAACCGCCGGTGCCGCCGCTGGCTAACGGCACGTTTTTCGAACGGTTCCTGGATATCCGTCCGCGGCTGGGCGTCCCCCCTCCGGCCGCGCTGTTCAGATTCTTATTGTTCACGTTCGGCATGTTGCCCATCGCAGCCGTTGTTGTCGCCGGCACGCTTCTGCTCGGCTTTTCCGGGGTCGCGTTCGCATTGCTGGCGCTCTGCAGATTCGTGTAGGCCACCCCGCCGCTTCCGCAGAACACGTTCGTAACGCGCTCCATGACGCTGGCCTTTCCCCCACCTGAAACCAGCAACACAGACGCGTTCGTCTCCGTCACACTCGTATTACGTAACAAGGCGGCGACCGTTGCGACGGATGTTTATGGCTGTCAGAGATGGCAGCAAAAACTCGATAATTTAGACTGCGGATTTTCATGCAAAATAACATTTTATAAAGTGATTCATAGAGAGCAGAAGTAGAATGTCCTTTATTGTATTTCACAGCGCCCCATAGGCTATAAATGCATAAAATCCACAGGCTACTCATTATGCTGGATAAAGAATTTCGAATTCGACGACTGGATGGCGATACATGTGAATTGTATCGATGCGTATTACAGTAATGTCTCGATGAGTGCGACATACTCGGGTTTATGTTTCAGCCCCTCGTAAATTTATTTTTTGATCAAAGCCGAGCCCCTGCTTAGATTTTGTTTACTCTGTCTTAACTGGCTCCGCAGGAGGACTCCCCCAGTTGTGGGAATAGCGATGTTCCTCCTGCCGCATTCATCGAGGGATCACTGTAATACGCAAATAAAAATTGAAAATAAAAATTTTTTTATTCAGGTTGATTGTACAATAAAGTATTCTTAAAGTTTCAAAGAGAATTGGTTCAGTAATTTTTTCACAAGAAATTCCCAAAAATTCATTCATTTCTAGCCCGTTCACACCAGCCACCCCCTTTAAGGGATTAACAGCAGCTAGAATAGTTAGACCCATTATATATTTCTCTCTCTATCTATCTCTCTTTCCATGTCATGTCCTTTCGATAATTTTCTCGCGTGTAATAAGGTCATATTAGTATTATTATCATCATAATGGGTACCTTGCACAAGCCACTAAATATAGAGGACCGATTATTCTGTTGCGTACACTCCCAAGCCGCAAAGCGCGTGGTGTATGTATTGGCGGACGTGTCTTTAAAGGCGTTTCCGCAAAGGTAAACTCGACGAATATGTGCAACACAGCGGTTATTTTCGTTTTATTCGTCCTCTATTCGGCCATTTTCTTTTTTTGTTTATTTTCCCTCGATCCTGAACGGAACCGTCGACGTCCACAACGTCCAATGCGATGGTCCACTACTCGTGGTGTTCTATTCTAGAACACGACGCGGACCACGACGAGAAGAACCAACGAAATCGTCCAAACAAGATCACAGAAACTATTGTTCTCACAGACGGTGCTTGGACCACCCGGAAGGACAATGTTATTTCGTCCTTACGGTTCCATGCGCATTTCTCCATCTCCAGGATGTTTGATTTAGAGGTCGAAACGGTAATCAAAAATGGCCACATGTGCGTGGCTCTATTTTGAAGCATATCGCAATGCCTCACAGTGGTACCGTGTATATAAAAATCACGGAAAAAACCTGATAACTTTTGTGTTTCTGAATATTTTCGATTACCTTTTATTTATGTAATTCTTTAATAGCCAAGCTTTATAGAGACAGTAATATTAATGCGCCGTATCGACAAGAGGGTAACTGGCTTCCTAACCTAACCTATACCTGGCTTGTTCTGGACGACACACAGTGTTCGATGGATAAAAATTAATAACTTCTCTCTGGAAAAAGATTTCTGCAAAAGAATTTCATATTCGTTTATGTTAAAGGGTCTTTTTTATAAATTTGTTATTTTAGTGCACATATGTGTGTGTCCAAGCCAATACCTAGATAGCACATGACGCCATGAAAACGCCCATTTTACGGCTATTTTACGTCTAAGGCGCCTTTAAGCCGTTTTCGAAACATCATGTGCTTTCTCGGTATTGAATCAGCCGTTGTTAACAAAAATTTGTCAATAAAGTCGCAAAAAAGATCGTCTAAATTGAAGTTTAAACATTATAGACTATATTTTTATGGTTAAAAATTCCGATTGAAAGTTTCATCGCGTTTGAAAAAATTCTTGAAAAAAAAAGAAAGAAAAAATTTTTTAGAAAAATTGTTTAGGATGCTTCAAATTACTACTACATGGGCTCCAGCAAGTGTCATTTCCAATAATGCCTCGACGATATTTTATTTCCAAGTACAAATTGTGTTAAGAATAGAATTCAAAAATCCGTTGCGACTAATGAAAGATTTGTACTTTTATTGTGTTCCACAGAGCTCTATAATCCTACAAATGCATAAAATCCGCGTTTAATATTCGTATCGGTGGAACTGCTGTCCAACAACAGTTCCAAATCGAAAGAAAAACGCCATTGCTTTTACACGTGTGGACAATTGGGATAATTCCGCTTGAGTGGCGATCGATCAATCGATTCTGGCGTCCTTCGATCGTTCCCAGGGGCATTGTCGCGTTGATCGGCCGTGTACCGTGGAATCGTATCGGTTTACGGAAACGGGTCAGCAATTTGCCAGACGGAAACACGCTGGTGAATCGACGACATTTGTAGCTCGAGGAACGCGGCCGTACACACACACACACACGCGGGTGGCTGAATGACGAATGGTGAATAGGGATCAACCGATACCGTCAACGTATCGATACTCATAACTTGTATCGAAAAAAAAAGTATTGGTATCTACTTACATAGTAACACCGCGAACGCTGATTGGCGGATTGGAATGAAACTTTGTGGGTTTATGGAGTGATTCAAAACAAGAGAAACGGTATGATTCATTCGTGCCCAATCGCCCTTTTACGGCGTGAAAACTAACCTCAAAGTCAAATAGGCAAAACTTTTGAAACACTTTCCGGTATCATGAATAATTTCAGACATATTCGAGGGAATCGCTTTAAATGGGACACCTTGTACATCGCAACCGTTCGCGCGCGCGCGCGCGCGCGAAAATGCTGACAGTAGGGATAGGATTTATTTTAAATGCGTAAAATAGGCTGGACGCGCGCCAGCTTGTCGAGGGACTGATAAAATCACGGCGGGATACCGGGCGTCGCTCCGGGAGGAACGATTAATCATTCGGCCCGTGTCGTCGCGGCTGATTATCGAAATCGCTTCCGCCCGCGTTCTGAAAACGGTGCCACACGTTTGGACCCAGGGGAAGAAGGATCGCGAAGCACCTCCTCGACGAACGATCGAGCTTGTTTTCTGATCGCGATAACACGAAGACTTTGGTCCCTACCCACAAATATACCCACAATACAGTGAATCCTCAATGAGTGTTCGAATGCTCCTCGGCACTAACAAGATGTCCCCAGGTGTAACGCAGTCTTTTCAATGAGGTTTAGCACAGTGATAGAGCTTGGAATTCTGAAGCCAATAATATTTGTTTAAACAATGCGTATTGTAAAGTAAAATAAATAAAGTGGCAGTATTAGGGACATTGAGCAGTGTCCTGATTCCAGCCCCGATCGCACTACGCGACCCGAGACACTCTATCCATATGTTACGTAAAGTCACAAGAAGAAATAAAATATCAATGTAAAGTTAAAAGAAATGAAGGATAACTTCAGAGAAGTCGTAAGAGCACCCAGTGGCTCAGTTGGTTAAAGTACTGATCAACTAAGAGTTCCGATGATCCGTTGGTTCGAGTCCCATTCGCATGGGGTCTGTATTTCTCCTATTCATAACTTTAGAATATCCGAAAAAATCTTCGTGTACTCGAAAAAGTGGGTCCCTATTTTCCCTAGATACGTAAAATAAGATTATTTGCAAAAATCTTCGCGAGATAAAAAAAAATGGAGTGTGGATACGCTTGGCTTTTTTCCATCAACGATACTTTGATTGCTATAAACTGATGTTTATAAACATAAGGTTAAATTAAAAAGGCAGTAACATCCATGGATTGTGAGTAACACCGTAAAAAGTCCATCCCTTTTATGGGCACTCGGGAAAATGCGCTGCGTGTGATCAGTAGAAACAGTCGGCAATGGTCAGACACGGGAGAAAACCGTTGATAGAATTCTCCATAACGTATGCAGAGGTTGTTTCACCGTAATGAGGGGATTGGGTGTGGAAATGACAAATGAAAACTTTACAATGCACAGTATTCTAATACTATTTTCAACTAAATCGACGATGAAAATCGGGATTCCGTTTAGATCATGACAATTTCGTTAGCAGTCATCTCACGTGTCTGTCCATTGCCGGTCACTTCCACTTACGGTGTATATTCGCAATCATATTCTCACGTGACTTATTATAACTGCCTTCCTGCATTTAAATGATCCGTATTATCTGCTATACATAACTTTCATTCTTGTGTATTCTTATCAATTGTTAATTTTCCATATTCTAATAGAGGCTGTCCCTCACCTAACGTGAACACTTTTTAGTATCTCACTTGCTTTTGGTTTACTGAAAATTAATTTTAATAAATTCTCAAAATGGTGTCTCCATGAACTTCGATATATTTTTCCACTAATCCCTCTATTATAATTATTTTATTATTTAAATCTACTCTCATACATTTGTGGATTTTTGCACACTCAAGGTCACACGAAGGTCACGCTTCATAAATCATTTCGAAAAAAATATTATTATTGTTATTAATATTATCATTTCCACGATAATCTGGTATAATCTTCCCTCTTCCATAAAGTAATCTCGACAATTGATACGACATTGGTTGGTTCACTGAACGTTCGTAAAAAGCTTTTTATCGCGATCGTATAAACCGTTCCTATAAAGTATTGAAACGGAAGTAAAGAGTCCAGTAGACACGAATCTGGCTTGGGAATGCCAACATCGTGGCGTGTGTGGGTTCACGTAAAGCGAAAGGGAGATTCCGTTGCAGTTCGGGATTGCGACTGAAGGCAGCCACTTAACCACCGTTTCAGATTTCTGAGGGAACGCATTTCAACCTGCTCTCTATATTACGATCGCCTCGTAAAACTCGCAAAGTCGAACGATCGACATTTCACGATATATCGATTTCTCCCAATATGGCCACCGCTCGAAATCGAAACTCCGATTTCACGTCATGGAAACGCCTCTTCTACTTTTCGATGCACGATAACAATAAAGAGGCACTATCAGAAGACTCCTACGACAAAGTAACAACTGTTTTACGACTTTGGCATTGTTTTACGTTTTAGTTAGATACACTAGAATACAAAAATCGAAATAGCCGTATTGTCGTTGTTTTTCGATATTTCGAGATATATGGAGATAATACGTACTGAACGCTGGAATGTTTATTTGGTAAGGTTTTCCATCTTTCACCTGGAAAAAATTTTAGAAGTTCGTTATTTCGTTACTAAGTCGATTATTCGCGTCGATAAGAATATCTGAAATATAGGTTAGGTTTCTCTGATGTACACGAGCTCATCGAACTCACGATTACGGTTGTTACATCTTCTGATTTGATACTGAAAATTACTATTTATAGTAGAACGGTAACATGAAATGGACTAGGTTGACACTTCGTACTGTTCAGTACTGTGATGAATCCGACACGCGACCATAAAAGTTTCACGGATACCGGGGTTCTACCAGTCAACAGCTAGGGGTGGCAGTGGCAGCTACAGGGTTGCGGTTTCATAGAAATCAATTCATCATCGTGATTACGTAATGACATTTGGGCACAGATTTAGAATGGTCCTTTGAGAATCTGATCGAACGATTTGGTATATGGAGAAAAGTGAGCTGAAAAATCATCAGATTTTTTGGAAAAAATCGCCAACAACGACCGATAACGTTGCAACAGGGTTGGAGAAAGAAGTGGAACGAGTAACAAGAATTTAAGATAAATTAGGTTAGGTCTGGATTATGCATTGAGTCCCGTTCGGCCCGGGTCAGGGCCAAATTAGACGGGTTTACGTTGGTTTAGGTCAGATATCATTACACATTCTACTGGACACAAATCGGGTCATCTTAGTTCGGGGGGATTCATTGGTCGAATCTGATTTCGGGTTAGGTGAACCAGCGTATTTGAAAGGTCCATTCAGAATCAGGATCGCGTTGAAGCGTCGATGAGGTTCGGATCAAAACCGAATTAGACGAGAGTTAGGATGATTGAATTTGACGGTGGGGGTATATGTTAGGTGTTTATTTGAAATTGAGTTAGATCGGAGACAGAACTGTACCAGGGTTCGGTTAGGTCTGGATAAAGACCAGATTAGATTAGGTTGGTTAATACGAATTAGGACCAGGTTGCGTCTAGTTACCTTAATTGAATCTGACTCGGGGGGTAGGCCTCCGCATTACTTGAAATTAGGCAACTTTGAAGTTAAAGGTACGTCGAATCGCTAGGTGAATCAAGTTGAACGTCGTTTGAGATCAGGCCTGGCTTTTCCCGGAACTACGGTAGAACTGAATCAAATCTTGCATAAAGTACAAGTTAGGTCCGCGGAACTATCAAGTAACCGTGCTTTTCAATCAAGTTCGTTACTTACACCCAACAAAAGCAGGGGATAGATTTACGTAATTCTCTAATAGCCTGCGACATTTTAAAGAAAAAAAAAAACCTCAAGATATTTTTGAACTAGAATGGCGTATCGACGTCTTGTTTCTAAAGAAAAGAATTGATAGATTCCATATCGGTACACCTTGTATATACGGTATAACACTACGTTTTATTTTATGGGATTAACACTTCGAAGGGGGAATAAAAGACCGACCCCAGTTCTAAGATTGACCTGAACCTCGATTTCCGAAAACATGCTCTCTTTAAACCCTTTTTGTTTTGCTACTTTTACGATTATTAACTAATACGTACTTTTACGGTCATTAATTAACTAAATCCCATTAACTAATTTTAAATTAGTTAAGATCGCTTGTCCCCCCCCGTGTGCACATTTCAGAACTTTTAAGATGCGTTGCACTCGAAGTAGTAATTATTTTTTAGTTTCTCCAATTCGTACAGTTCTATACAAGAAGTAAATTATACGGGTAATCGTACGAACCATGATGTTTGGACGCTCTCAATCCCAGACCGTTGATTCTCTTCGTTAGCTCGGCGCTGGCTCTTTCGACAACCCCCTGCGCTGATATCGAAGACATCTCTCGGACAAGCGGTGGGCCCCGCGCGCTCCCCGTCGTTCACACCACGAATCGTAGTCAAGACGAGCACGGATCCGCGTGGCCGTGGTTATAGCGCCTCATATTCGTCGCAGAGAACGGTCTCTTCGTGGCTCGAACGATTACACACTAAACACGTATGGGGTAATCGTGTTTTCCCTCTTTTCACTGCCCCGTTTTCCTTTCTGTCCCGTGTACACACAGACACACACATATACGGTAGGATCGATCCGATCCCGCGGCGAGAATCACAACAGTCCTCTCCCCTCCCCCCCTTTCCCGCCACGGTGTCGGAGACGAGCGAGGGATCGATCGATTGGAATCGCGTCGAGCTATTTCGAAGAAAGAGGCATTCTCGACTGCTAATTCATCGGGCGATATCGATAACCTAAATTTATCCCCGCGGACGGGCAAAGAACGAAACGCAACCCTTCGTTAATCGATTACGATGAACGTATCACACGTAGTTGATCTATTTTAACCCCTTCGCTTCGGGATATTCGCGCTGGTCGTATCGTCGATAATCGAAATATAACCTCTCGTGTCGCCCGAAGAGTTCCGATTTTACGTGTACTAAATGGCATCACTTTCGACAACTTGATATCGCGAAAAGTTTCGATAACGTGCTCGACGACGTATTTATTCCGTTTCGAATTCGACGAGTGCGTTCAATTTCCATCGAATTAATCTACGATAAATCTGTATTCTGAATTATCACGTACGTATGCGCATTATTCCGCCTGGCTTTTACCGTACTGATGGGCACAAACACCAGTGTACTGGCAGACACCCACACTCTTTTTAAAAGCGATCTTCCAGATTCTTAGATTATATCACGAATATATCTCTGTTACGTTTTTTTTTGTCAGCGTATACCTTTCGTTCCGTTAGAATATGTTTAGTACAGAGAGTGTGTGTGTGTGTGTGTGTGTGTAAGTTCCGTTTTTCTTTCTTATCCACTGTATCCGACGTCGGTAGCAAAAGGGTTAATCTCACTGACATGACACTGAGGGACGACGGGAACGCGTGTCATGCAGTAAATCCTCGATAAGTGTTCGAAGACTCCTCGGCACTTACAAGGAGAGGTCCCCGCACGTAACGTTGACTTCTAAATGAAGTTTAGCACAGTGGTAGAGCTTGGAACTCTGAAGCCAATGATATTTGTTTCAGCCGTATATGGCCATTAGTCTATGAAATATTTAATGCTCAGTGAAGAAGAGCCTTCGAACACTCGTCGAGGATTTACTGTAGTCCGCGAGTATACCTCGAATTATCGAAAAGAAAGTAGTGTACGTTCTGGTCTTCTTCGTCGGAACGCCCAGGTTTTGTGTAATAAACCTTTGACCACCTCACACTGCGAACCGTATATGAACAATGGAATGCCTCCTTGGAAATAGTTCGCGAATCGATAAGCAACTTTAATCGTCGAACGTGGTGTATATAATTGACGGACGAACCGTCTTGAGTGCGACGTTATGCGGCGTCTCGTTCACAGGGTCGAAGGACCTCTTTCTCTTGTGTATTTTCGCGCGGCCAGCAACCAGGGGAGAAAAACACACTGCGAACCATTTACCGCGGGCACCTCTGTTTATGTGTCAGTCATGACACCGAGAGCGGGTGAAACAAAGCTAGAGAAAGGTGGAGCTGCTACGACGGGCACGACACATGGGGGTGGTTTGCGCGAGACTGAATCGATATCCGTGCCGAACTTGTCCGGCTGCCCCCCACTCGGAGCCCCCACGCGCGCGACCGTGTGCTTTCCAGCCGCGAGCGAATGAGAGGAAGCCCCTTGTGCCTGTGGACCGGTGAACCGTCGTGCGCGTCGTCGAACCCCCTCCCCAACCGCCCCTAACTCTATGCAACCCGCTCGACTGAGGCGTCGCGACCGTGCAACGTGTCCGCCGGGTGGCTGACGGATGGGTAAGCAGGTGACGGCGTCGTATAAGGGATGATAAATAATTTCTTTTTTGTCAAAACAAATCGCCACTACGGTCACTTTCGATATCTGTTTCGGCTACCTGGATGTACCCTCACGAGCAACCTCAGCTTCCACTAGGGGGAAAAGTGACATAGGAGAAGGGCCATTTACCACTTGGTAAATTTATTTTAAGTACTGAAATAAATGTTAAATTAAATGTTAATTTTGTTATAAATTTCAATAATTCCCGATACCCAATTGTAGGAGGCCCTTCCCCTATGCCACATTTTCACACATTCGTTTAAACTGTATAAGATATTTAATTATTGTCAATTGCGTCTGATAATTTGTACGTTGTTTTTTCTCACTGCGATCATAATCATAGTCAATAATAGGTGTACATTGTTTCACGGTGTGAAAACAAAAGCAGTCTAGCGATCGAAGTGTTTATACCGTTTCTGCAATCGGTAACAAAAGTAGTCGTTCATTCAGAGATCTCGATCGATTTCGAGAGCAATAGGGTATAAGACAGTTTCGAATCGAAAGGAAATGTTCTTTTTGAAACGATTCTAAAGTTATATGTTATAACAGTATATGTTATACTATATAAACTATCAGCAAAGCGTAATCTTGTTTTTTATATCTTAATCACAAAGAAAACCTTTGATGTAGGTGTATATTTTGAACTCTGTATTTGTATGAGTCTGTCTGTGATGAAATCTTATTATATTACAGTATATTACAATATATTCATGTGGAAATATTTAGCCTTTTATGCTGTAAATATATATATAGATGTTCGTTCTTTTCCATAACCCAATTGCCAACGTCATTAAGCGTTTCTCACAAATATACGTATACTCTAAAATTACCAACTAATAATAAGTGATCTATTATTTCCTACAGAAGAGACTGATACCACGGGAAATAATGAGAAATTGTATATTTTTTTCAGTTTTAACATTTATACATCTTTGTGTTTGATGTAATATCTTCATTCATCTTTATGATATAAAAAAAATTTTTCTTATGCTATCTTCAAACCAGCGATGGAATTTTCGAGAAGCTGGAGAACATAGACAACGATGAACAAGTTAATTGAACAATTTTCGTATAGGTACTATTGTGCAAAGAAACAGTCACAGTATCAGAACTCACCTTCAGATCCCAGACTACCAACTGACCGTCTAAACCGCTTGTACTAAATTCGTTATCGGATACTCTGCGTACGCAATTAATTGTATTTTGATGTATACTATCCAAAGCATTATCGTTTGTATCTGTTCTCGCTTGACGATCTAACGACTGGAATTTACGCATGGCAGACAAGCCAGCAGCCTCTTTTCTCTGCGTGTTGTCTAATTTTGATACAAAATACAGTTGACCATTGTCATCAATAGAATACAACATGGGCATACAGCTATGACCCTAAACAATAAACAATACATCTTATAAATAACAATTACTCTATACACTTAAAGACGGTGTTTAAGTTACAAAAATATTTATGTAAATACCGCAGCAACAATGGAATTGGACCCCATCCAAACACAACTTAAAAATGGTAAATGCTCTGTATACAATCGTATGACTGCATTTCCTTTGGTGGCATCAGCAATGCATATAGATGAATTATGCGCTACCCAACATATTTTATTACCACATGGACTAAATGCAACAGTGTGAATCCAACCACCTATTTAGAAGCAAAGCAAACGATTGATAAAAACGAATAGTAATTAGGCTGATAAGAGACTGATGCAACCTACCACCATTAGGAGTGTTCTGGAACTCAGCGAGTAATGTTCCTAAAGAATTACTCTGACCCCAAGGGCTGGACCCTGGGGCATCCTCAATATCACTGATAAATGCACTAAAGACACGAACTTTGAAATCAGTGGATCCAGCAACCAAAACTTTGTTGTCTGGATGCCAATCTACTGTAGTTACAGTGGATCTTAATGGACGCTTTATATGCTTACATTGCCACCAATTATTCTCAGAGACAAAGTAACATACAGCTATTACTCTACCACCAGACCCAACTGCGAATTTATTTTCTATAAAATAAAGTATGAATCACAAGTGAATTTATTTAGAAACAATTCATTGTTGTTAGATTCAGTCTAGCCCTCGTGCAACAAATGCCGAATCACTTTTCACTCAAGAATAAAACTTTCCTTAAAGGCAATGATGCTGATTTTATATTCACAAAAGATAGGATGAGTCACCTAAAGTTAGAATCTAAAATATTTCCAATGCTTTTAAGGATACACGAAAATGTATAAAAAAAAAGAAAATATTCAATTGGAAGGGACAAATATTGTGACAAAGATTTTTCTCAGTCATATTTTCCAAGATTCCAAGGTCATCCAACATGTTGTAAATGTAATTGTATATTTCCTTTTCTATAATATAGAATGAAATGAATAATCTCTTTTTTACATATTTTCTTGTACCCATAAAAGCAACATAGATAGTTTTGATATTAGTCTTAGGTGATTCACCCTCTATATAATCTTTATCTTTCTAACTTAGACTTCAAGCTGATAAGACCACGAATAAAACATAACAGAAGACTGATTTTTCCAAGTCTGTCTTTGAATGGTTACAACTACGTAAGTGTACAGATTATACCTAAAGGAGACCATTTAACACAAGTGGCAGCTCGGTTAATTCTTAAAAGTACCCATGCAGGATTCCATTTTCCATCTTCTTCTTGTGTCCAAACATATGCATTCTTATCTGCGGAACAACTCACTATTCGATTAGTGTTTGGTGCCCAGTCAATGCCCATGACATGCATGTCATGCTCCTGCAGATTCTGCAGCAGTTTCCAACCACTTGATGTATGCTTATGAACTTGTATTTCATTATTATTAGGACAAATGACCACTTCTGTAAAAAAAAAATGCGTTGGGGCTGTTCATTCATGTCGGATAAATATACGAGCGAATAAAAGCTAGTGTCAAACCTTTTCTATTCTTATTCCAAGCGTGACAGCTGATGGCATCAACACTTAAGTTATGAACCTCTGTCATTTTGTTACCGATTTTTACAGGGGGAACTCGACGAATTTACATACGATACCGTTCGAAGAAACGGATGATTAAACCGCGAATTATCTCTATGAATCACCGCACGTTACTACTGAAAGACGGGTGCGGTCGCGCATTAAAACTAATTCACTTATTTCAAAACCGTTTGTTAAGTTCAGTTATAGGAAAACCCTCGGAAATTCGTGGACTCTGGTCAGTCGACACGAATTTCCCGAATTTCTGGCGAACGGTACAGCACGCGACACTCTGTCTGTCCAAATGCACCGGAATTGACAGTTCCTCCGCCAACAGCGGGTTATCAAGGCACCCTTTAAGGTTATGTTGTTTCAGATCGTAGTACATAGATGGTAAAACACTGGTAAAACCCTGAAACTTTTTATCACGGCCAGTCTCCATTACAAGTCAGTACATACTGTTGCGTATCCGCCTGTACTGTACTATATGAAAATAGCACCTCTGTGAAGTTAGCAGGACAACTTTTTGTGTTGGGTATCAAAGTTAGGAAAATATAATTCGATATAAGTAGGTATCGATACTTTTGTTTCGATATCGAGTAAGTATCGATACCTTCATGCAAAAGTAGTTATGAGTAAAAGTATCGATACCTTGGTGGTATCGATTCAACCCTACTGTCATTGACAGTAGGGCTAGAATATGCTTGTGTAAAATACCCACGGGAGGCATGGAGAGGGTAAGCGCTCGCGCGAAAATCCCACGATTCTGGCATCACTGACTGTCAATAGTGATCTCCATTTAAAATTCGTACGATGCGTAATAAGTACCACTATTGACCATTTGTCTTTAAAAATGTATTTTTTTTGTTTCACATGGAATATTGCATGGAACTATTATGAAAATGCTCTCAACGAACGAAGTACGTGTATGTAGTAGGGTTTTTAGTTATAAACTGTTAATTTCTTTAATAGATTGAACAGTGTTGTAAATAACTACTGATAACTACGTTCCTTTGTTTCGTTTGTTTCTCATTTGTTTAGCGTCGTTCAGCAATGCTGTAAATCGTGCAAAATTCGTTTTCTAGAATAGAAAGTTTGTTATCGTTACTTTCACAATATTAAAACGAATTCAAGTATCCAATAATTACGTCTATTAAATGTATAACAAATTTTATGCAATGTGGATTATGTCCCATACGTTGATAACGCTTGTTGCACACTAATCTGTCGTTTTTCTTTTTAGATAAAAGATGCTTGGGGTACTATCAGTAAATACATATAAAGAACTAAGGAGAACTGTTGCTCTGATTGGACAAGAGCTGGAGAATGTTGAACAAGGTATTATGAGGACAATTGATGCGACAGATTATGATTTTCAACATAGTATAGTTGAAGCTGGACCTTCTAACACAGTGTATAAGAGCTGCAAAACATCTGAATACAAAGTCATTAGAGGAAAAATGGATCTAGAACAATTAAACACAAAAAAGTTATGCATTGACATAGATTTAAATGGTTATGATACAGATGATACTGATTCTACAGATGTTACTTCGGAGGAATGCTCTTCACCTATGTCTGCTAATATAGAGCTGTATGGTAGTAAAATTATGCCTTGCACTGATCGTAATTCTTCTTGCACTATAGTTGACATAGATATATTAGAAGAAAATAATAATGATCCAAATAATAATTCAGATCCCATGCAATGTTACCAAAGACAGGTAAACTCAGCTTCAGATAATGTACAAAGAATAGAGCCTGATTCATATGAAAACAATCCAATACCAGGTTGCAGTAAAGATTTTGGTGCAATCTCTAGGCTTTCTTGCAACAATGAGTTTCTCAGAAAATATAAAGAAGAATCTGTAAGCAGCGATAAAAAAATGCAGGAAGAAGCTGTACAGATTTGTAATTTGTTACCTAAATTCAAATATGACACTGTGTATGCAACTCTGCATAAGAATGCCCATGCGGAAAATCGTGTGGTGCTTAGTCTATGGGATTTACTGCCGTACGCAAGACCCGTGGTAGAAGTCTTCAAAAAGTCTTCCAACAATGAAATTGTAGGTGTTAATTCTGGTAACAGTTGCAATCAGGTACCTTCCAAATTAGCAACTGTCCATCAGAGAATTATTGATCGTCAAGATAATTCTATGGTATTGATAAATAATGTTAAGCAAAATAGGAAAGAAATTATTTGCAATAAACAGCTGAATGACGATGTTGTAATAGTCAATGATACGGATGTAAATAGTGATTTGAATAGAGAAAGTGTATCAAATATTGTTGCTCTTGAAAAAGATGCTACATCACATATAAATTTCAAAAATAAGGAAAAATTAAACTATTCAAGAAAAGGTGCCAAAGTTCGATCGAGGCAAAATGGAATACTGCATCCAGCAAAATTAGTACTGAAAAACAAGTCCTCTGTTGTCCAATCAGACATTTCATGTAAATCTCCTATTTTATCTCCATCAAAATTAACACATGTTACCAGTAACATGCACGAAAACCCAAACAGTAGAAAAATACTAACACCTGTAAGAAAATATAAAGGTAACCAATTGACAAATAAGAAATGGACACAAGGAAACGTGCTTCCATCAAATTCAATGGGTATGCCTATAAATAATCCAATCAAGGCCAACCAAAAGATGTTAAACAATTATATGCATTACTTACGTTTCATGCAAGGTGTCAAGAAACAGAAATTGTTTGGAAAATTACAAGATTTTAATGGATCTCGAAATGAGATAAGACAAATGTTTCTCCACCCAAATTTAAAAAATCCTAATATAAATATGTTACAACGTATTAATCAAAAATCTTCTGCTATGTCAACATCTTATAACACGTTAGATAACACATCAGCAATAGAATTCGAAGATCTAACTGAAAATGCATCAATTAGTAAAATGTCTGAGACTTCTATTGGTGCTTCAGATACTGAAGTAGTTGATATAATAGAGGATCAAGATTTACTTGAAAGTGCACCAACTAGCTTAGAATCTGCTAATCTAGTAAATGCCACAGTAACAACTTCTGCTACACCGTGTGTCACATCGGTAATAGCATCTGCTAATGACGAAGTATCTAACGAACCATCAACTTCTGCTCAATCTCATAAAGATTTAAAATTTATATTTCCTGACATTGATAAGAACTTTATCAAAGAATTATGTTCAGGCTATTCTACCTCGAATGATTCATCCGAAATATTACAAGATTTAAGTGATTATATACTTGAAAATATGAAGGAATGCCCAGTTAAAAAAAATAATAAACATATTCATAAAAAAGAAACTGATAATATGGAGAAACAGGTTACATATTTGTCGGGTATCTTTCCCAAAGCAGATGTAACATATTTATCTAAATTTGTACAACGCGCGAAGGGCAATGAAAATGCCATAATTAATTTTATACAATCCCAATGTAAGAGTCCAACTTATCCCACTAAAGAGGAGAAATTAAGAAGGATAAGAATTACTGAACAGCAAAAGCAATATACGAGTAATTTCGACACGAGAAAATTTCTGAAAATATTGCCAGATCCGTTCAAGCATTTCGAAAACGTAAACAGACAGTGTAAATTCAATTCGGATGCGTATGAATTCTTGAAATCTCATTTCCAGAAGATACCGGTATGCTGTAACATAAAGTCTTGCTCCATAACATACAAACTTAAAATTTAATATGAATTTTTCAATTTGTAGGAGGAAACTTTGACGATTTCTTATAAGAATAACAAGTACAATTTATCTTTAACTGCACACTATTTGGAACAGTTAAATAATGGTCCACCATGCCAGACTGGATTCTCATGGGAAAGAAATCCTTCGGAAGATATTCCTTTATTGCAAGAATGTGCATTTATCACACACAAAGTACAAATCAGGGATTGCAAGAAAAAACTACAGGAAGAGGAATCTAGAGAATTAGACATATTAAAGGTAACATTGACACACATATGTATGTAGAAATATGTACGGGAAGTATTTTTGAAATGTTAGTTGAAATGAAAACTACTTTCTATAGTCCACTTAATACAAGTAAAATCTTGTTAACAACTTCTCTTCTCACATGCTTTATAGTAAATTAAAGTAATTTGTATATATATAACTTTATATATAAATTGGAATAACCTTAATTTGTATATGTGTTTATTAGAGAAACAACGAACTTTTCGAATGCCAGTGTTGTTATGACACCGAATGTGTGCCAACTAAATGCTCGACTTGCGATGATGGACACATATTTTGTAATCCATGTGTTATCAAGGGCACTGAAATGAAATTGTCGCAAGGAGAGACGCGTATTTCGTGTTTCATAAATTGTGGCGCAGAATTCAGCCTTTCTACCCTTCAAAGGATATTACCACCGACACAATTTAGTATTCTAATTGGTAAGATACAAGAAGCAGAGGTAATGGCAGCTGGATTAGAGGGTTTGGTTTCTTGCCCATTTTGTCCTTTCGCGTCCATACCGCCTGTGGAAGACAAAGTCTTTAAATGCCTTAATCCTGAATGTATGAAAGAGTCATGTCGGTAAGTTTAATCATTGGTGCTCGTAGAATGTTGCGTATATACTATTAAGTCTACAAATACGTTTTATCTTGTTATGGAGACTTTGGAATGATTATCTATAGATTTCTTCCTTAAATTCAGGTTGTGTAAAGAATTAAATCACGTACCGTTAAAGTGTTACGCAGAAAGAACTGACAAAGCACGCTTATTTTTGGAAGAAAAAATGACAGAAGCACTTGTGCGTAAATGCAAGAGATGTTCTCGACCATACTTCAAGGAAGATGGCTGTAATAAAATCACCTGTTCATGTAGAGCCCAAATGTGTTATATTTGTGATGAAGAAATCACAGGATATGACCACTTTGACAGGATGAATGTTCTCACTCAGAGATTGTAAGCACTGACACAAAGGAATTTGATTTGTGTGTCTTTAAAGTACAACACATTACAATTCATCAATAAACGAATCAACGCAAATATGTCCGATAAATATTATCGTATACAAAATTGAAATTATTGTTTATAGATGCCCACTGCACAGTAACAGTGTTACATTGAATGACCAAACAGTTGAAGCAGTTGCTAACGAAACTTTAAAGTACATAGCAGAAAAAGACCCTAATGTAAAGGTAGACATGTCCTCTCTCGTGAAAACTGGTAAATCTACAATTTATACTGCTGATGTTTTGGTAAGATTACAATTATTTATACAACCAATTTAGGTGTTACATTCTTGATTTTTTAAAAATGTTCTTTTGTTTATAGGAACGAGTACAGAAAATTGCGAACTTTAACAAATAGTATTCTTTTATTATCAAGCGAGAATGAGGTGTAATTAGATTTTATAATAAGTAATCTGAACGTTGATTAGTTGGTATCGAAGCGTTGACGAAACGTTTCAATCCGTTGTATTTATGCCTGCGTTATGTTGTTATTGAAATGTTTTTTCTTTTAGTTTCAGTCTATTTAAAATAATATGTGTAGTGATTTTATTTCAGTCAATAAGTAGACATTAATCCTTCTGATAGGTACTGAAAACTACATAATCTAATCAGACTTGGTAAGTGATACGTTTAGTAACGATGAGATGGTTACAAAATTCCAGGAAAGATATTATATAATGTGCAGAGATAGATATATTCTTCCATTTAATTCTATTGGTGTGCATTTTCTTGTTTCGAACAACAAAAACTAAAGTACAAACAGATAATAATAATAACATTAAAAACGAAAGACTATGTATTTTCTTCATGAATCCTTTCTGTACATTTTCTAGTTTCCGAACATATTACTTAACTCGTACCTAACCTAATGTCAATAAGACCTTCCCCTCCATGTTCCAAGGGAGGTTCAGTTACATGATACTGAGGAGTTGGTTTCACGTTATTATTATTCCCATTGCTAGCCTTCGCATTATTGGAATTTCCATTGTTTGAATTACCCTGATTATTATTTCCATTAGCGTTAGGAACTACGCTGGGGTTTGGCCGTTCTCCAGTTTGAGATTGTTCTCCATCGACAGCGGTGATAATCATCTGCGAACGATTTTTCAAGAATAACAAAACTATTATATAAAAAAAAAAACTTACCACACTAAAAAGCATGTTTATATTATTATCAGTAACTGTACTCCAAGTTCATCATTGGTAGACTGCGGATTTTAATGCAAAATAACATTTTGTAAAACGTTTTATAAAGACAAGAGCAAACATACGAAAATTGTATTTCACGAAGCTCTATAGTCTATAAATGCATAAAATCCGCAGTCCAGTGATCAGTAATCGAAATGGAAGCAATTTTATTCAGTAAGGGGTTTATGAAATTAAAAATAATACAAAGACCTTCATTGGTTCTCGCTAATGTTATCATTTTATGTTTTGTTAATGTTTTCCTATCAATGCACACGTATCCACAATTTGATCGCCAGATGTCTGTTTAACTCTTGTGTGGGCAACCAAAATATTCATGGTTATTGAGCAATTGAAATACTCTTATTCTGACATATTAGATAAACACAAATAATGTCCCAGATAGCACATGGCGCCTTGAAGACGACTTAAAGGCGCCTTAGACCTAAAATAGCCGTAAAATAGGCGTTTTCAAGGCGTTAGGTGCTATCTGGAGTTGCTTTCATGCTTTTCCAAAACTTTTAGTTTTCCCTTCCTATAATGTACGAAGTGTTGTTTTCGACAAGAACATAAAAAATTGTGAAAGACAATTTAGAAATGTGTACCCGGTTTCCTACACAAGGGTTAACGAGAAAATACTGTACATTTCTTGCCGTAAAAATTCGAATACCATTTTAACGTTTCAATAGTTGCAACGAGTTAATATGACGTACCATATCTCCAGTCTTTGGATTCTGGCAGACCCATTCGGCGCTGTTTACGTAAAGCATGTTGCTTTGTGAAGGCTGTTGTTGTTGTTGAGGCCAATTTTGAGGGCCTTGTTTACCTAGTTCGAGTCCAGGCATGGGGTACGATGGGCCAGACGGTTGATACGACGGTCCCAATGATGGACAGCCGTGCGCAGGTGAGTGGAACGAGCGTCCTGGTGGTGGACACGCATGACCTGGCGGTTGAAACGTGTGACCTGGTGGTTGAAACGATTGACCAGGCGGTTGAAACGATTGACCCGGTGGTTCGAACGTTCCTCTCCGTTGTCCATTCAAAATATTTCTCCAAAACAACGTGCCCTCTGCTACCGACAGCACCAGAAGCACACCGACGATTGCCTTCATATTCTGGCGAATGGACGTTTTATCAACTCCAAATTAGCTCCAACACAGTACGGGTTCAGTGGTCTTGTTGGTGTATCTTATTGATCCTTGAAATAGTACGAATGGAAAATTTTCATCGTTCCCCAATCTAAATATGTGTATCAATAAGACAGAAACTGGCGTTCGTACTAAACTATCTTCGCGGAACAATGAACCGCGTGTCTACACAAGTACGTAATCTATCCAATCAGCGTGTAATAACGGACATTGTTACAGTGGCCGTCGAGGGTTTTTCCCCTACTGCAGTTACCCAAACGGAAAAAACCAGGTGTCTTATATTGTAGTTGTACACTCATTATGAAGCTCTGACTCATTACCGTTTAGACGACTGTCGTTGAATAAAAGTTTTCGAGTTTCTTGAAGTCGGTTTGTTTGTTCTTCGTGGATTTCTCTGGGATTTATTTGCGGCATATCTGCCCCAAATCGAAGCTTGAACATCTGCCCAGATAGCACATGACGCCTTGGAAACGCTCATTTTACGGCTATTTTAGGTCTAAGGCGTCTTTAAGCCGTTTTCAAAGCGTCATGCGCTATCTGGATGAATAGTCTCATCTCAGGTAGCACATGTGTAGTGTATTCTAATCCCGACCAACAGGGATAAAGGCGTCTTAGACCTAAAACAGCCGTAAAATAGGCGTCTTTAAGGCATCATGTGCTATCTGGAATGTCTTAAACACTTCCAAGCTATAGAATCGGTATACGATTAATCGAGGACGAGTGTATTCGAAAAACGAGGAATGTTCACAGAAACGTATACATACGTGTAGATTTACACCCTGAAGTGTTGACATGTATTTACGAATTACCCTGTATATGGCCCTGTTCGGTTCTTGTCACGTATTCACCGTTCATTTTGTGTTTTATTTAACTATTACGCCATTTTCGTATGTTCGATGATTTTTAAAATCGGTGTCAGCCCATCATCGGTTTCACGAGAGTCGATCGGTTTCAAGGAGCAACGTGAAACACAAATACGTACGTCTCGACGCGGTACCTTGGACGATCAAGGCCAGTGACGTAATTGCACTTACCGTTGAAGAAGCGCAAAGGGCAAGTCCCGGTCGTCAAACGGTATCGATCAAGGATCGAACATGAAACCACTGTTCTCTGACGAAACGTCGATGCCTTTTATGGCCGATGGGTACTCAATGTACACGCACACACACACACACAGTCGCGTCCTGAAACCATACCTGATTAGCAAATATGTAACTACCAAATTTCTTTAACGTTTGTAATTTCATATTCTTTTTTTTTTGTTACCAAAAATAAAGTAGTTTTCACGGTACACCGTACTTCACCGTGGACAAGACTCGCAATCGATGGAACGCGTTTCTGTTCCTCGAGTCTGAGCGGAGGAAAACTTGGAAAATGAATCGGTTTGCCTAGGAACAGAGGGAATAAGTTGAGCTTCAGACGCGCAAATTGAGGATGATTTATTGTAATTTATACCGGATACCGTTGTCCATCGAGCCGTTTGTCGTGCGAAAGGTCTCGGGAGTCGACGAATTTATGTATTGTCGATTAAAAATGGACATGTATTACCTGGTGACGAGGTGTTTGGGACATTGGAAATAACCAGAGAGTATCATTAGTACGTACGTAATTCGTGTTATTTCTTCGTGTTTTGCATAGACGTCTGTATTTCAACAACACACCAGGGCCTGACCAAGGGGGGTCCAGGGGGCGCTGTAGCCCCGGGCCCCGTTCAGAACCTTCCATTTCGTTACGATTAAATGGTATTTAATTATATCTAAAAGAAATTTTAATTTTTAGAGATTTATGTATATTGTTGTGTTGTATTACAAAAAATCTCTACCCCCCTCCAGTGTCGAGGAGCCTTAGAGCACTCATCGAGGATTTACTGTATAGTAAGTTTGATTATTTCACCACTCTCCTGGTTCCATAATAATAAACTTAGTGAATGTTAAACTCAGTTTAGAAACTAGTAGGGATAGAACAATTAAGAACTAGACCGTCAAAACTGAACAGACCAGAGATCGTGCTCGTTTTGGGATTATCAGAAATTTATTAATTCACTTTGGCGGTTCTTTTAAGCCACTTATTGTGAATATTTGTCTAAGGTATTTGCCGTTACGTCGATTATCTCCTACTCGAGTTGTATAGTGTCACTGTGTTTTCAACGTTTGCGTAATCACTCGCCGTGTCGTACTCCAACAGAAGTGGCAGCAACAGGTCCACCGCGAGATCGAACAACGGCGACTGCGTCAGACTGCTGAGGCCGTAGATCGGTGTCTCTTTTAAGAGAAGCATCATTTTGGTCGCTAACGTCTTGAGGTACTCGAATATCGCGGCCTTCGACGCTTCGAACAAAGCTAAAATTACGTCAGCGACGATTCGCAGGATTGGATGATCGGTGTCCATGCCTTTCAGAGCTCCGTGTCTCGCTGTGGTTATGGCAGGCTTTGCGTCGACCACGGTTTTTCTTTCAAATATGGCGGTATCCGTTGCATCGTCGACCACCGTGTTATGCACGTTGTTCCGCGAATTTTCGGCGATGCTCAGCTCGTCCATTCGTCTCGCTCTGTAGCCCTGGGACGGCGTCATCGTCAGGCAGACCTAATTGGAAATTTTTCCTCTTATAAGTGTTCATCGTTCTCCACTTCGTTACCTGTTTCGTGAAACGAAACTCCGATTTTTTAATGGAAATTTAATATGATTATGAAAATAACGTGATGATGGAATGAATTAAATTTTGGTACGACCTTGACATGACCTTGCGCCCGATTGATAACAAATGAGAGTTGATCAGAGTCGATAGTACGTTTACACGGTAAATTTGTACAAATATGAAACTTACGAGGATGAGTACTGTTCGCAGCGATCGCATAATTGGTGAAAATTCTGCTTCGAACTAACGTGACCGAATAACACCAGAAGCTCCCCTATTTCCTTATATATTCGAAGGGCTGGGCCGATAATGACTGTCCCAAATTTTCCATCCTTCGGATACTTTTGAAACGCCTCCTCGTCTAAATGTCTTCCAAACTTTCACCCTCCCCCATTTCTCCCTTTCCACCGTTGCATTCCATTCGGAATCACTTACTAGTATCGCATAATTTCTGCTTAAGCATGTACAAAACAACACTTAACCCGATCTTTCAGAAATTCTTCGCAATTAATGCCATTTAAACATGTCCCCTTTTGTGAAACCTGGCACAACAATTAGCTACAGAAAATCGCAATCATTTACCAAAAAGTGAATGAAAAATGTAACATTCAAGACAACAAAATGGCAGCCATTAGTCGACAATTTTTCGGATAAAAATTATAAACGAATAAAGTATACGGAACCGTTCCAGGTGGACAGTTCGATAATTAAGAATAACCTGAAAATTGAAAGTGTCCCCTTTGATACGCATACGTAAAATCCACGGACGAACATATTCCATCTTTCCAATTCACGTATTCAAAATTCTATTTACAAAAAAAATACATAACAAGACAGAAAAAGGGAGAAAACACGTTCACGATAACAATGCGTTAGTTTTTTTCGAATTTAGTCCTTTTCAGTCCTTTCGTGAAGTGTTCAACGACGCCGGGACCGCTTGTGTTCTTAACGTTTCCGTTTCCCGCCAGATGTCGCGGTTCCTCCGCGTCGCCGTCTCCAAAACGGACGTTGTCCAGGACGAACGTGGTGGTCATCAGCACGGACACTCCAGCGAATATCACCCACATAAGCAATTCCAATGTGACCTGTTTCCATAAATAATACAATTGAATCACAATCGTTACACACCGTTTGGTGAACTTTCGACACGCGACGCTCACTTCCACGACCGCGGTTAGGATAACCTTCACGCGATCGTTGGCGTACATCCATCGCAGCAACATGTACGGTAGAATAGTGATCAGAAGCAGAACATCCAGAACGTTCAGCACGACCATCGACAGCGAATTCAACAGGGACAATTTTTTACTCGATCTACGAGCAAAAGGATACGCTTCATTTTCAATTATATACGCAGATAGCACATGACGCCTTAGACCTAAAATAGCCGTAAAATAGGCGTCATGTGCTATTTGGGAACTGGCAGAAGCGATCTCTAAACGATTGAGCTCGGAATTGCTAAAAATAATTCTTTTCCGTTATACTTATAATTCCGTGTAATTCTGATTACCTGTTCATTTTTTCGTATATTTCGTCGATATCGACCGTCTTACTGATACTATTGTTGTCTGTTCGGTTGTCGACGATTGGGGTCGATGTCTTTTTCCTCGTGTCACGCATAACGGAGAGGAACGAAAAACAGGAAATTTTGAGGTTGGCTCACGACGGAACACTATCGACACTGGATAATCAAGGATTGTCGGGGTCGTGTATTACAACGTCAACATAATGTCTCGGTGGAAATTTATCGACCACTATACGATCAGATGACGCATCGTGGACTGAAGGGATTAACAGAGACCTCGTTCTTTCACCTGTTTTTTGGTTTCGTTATTGTATCCACAGTGTGTATCGAAAATGACCAATTGATATCTCCAAAAAAACGTCGTAAGAAAAGGATATTCTATAATTTCTTTCGATTTATTCATTTCGCGCTTTACACATCTATCCACGTTAAGTACTGATTATCTAGGCTACCATAGATTCGAGACACGATCGTCTCGCAAGTAATCCTTAAAATACTTTTTGGCATCGATCGATTCACGATCGCAACCTCGAATCCTCTCGATCTCGCGGATTATCGTTCTCTATCGATGCATTCTTGTCGCTGACGAAATTCACGCGTCGCCATAGTGGTTTCTTTTACAGTGATTGTTTACTAATGAAACACACCGGATAACCTAACAACGGTAATTACATTTAGTTACTGCTTTAAACAAACGACCAAACTATTCTATAGCGACCAATAATAATAGTAATTATACAATAATCAACAGGTAGTACTTTTTGGTCAGCTTCGCTATAGCTAAAAGGTTAAAACGGACCACCTCTAACAACATTCCCTTTTATGGCACAAAAGTAACGCTGACTGAATACATAGCTTGATACGCAAAACATTCTATACGGATTTCCACGCAATTTACGTCACACGCGGGTATCATACGTATAAATACACAGTGGAACAAGAAGCTAACCAAAGACCAGCGGAATCACCCTGTTTATAAGCTCCTTTGATTAAAACGATATGTAAAGTTTTCTGTTTTTCTACGCCGAATTCGATTCTCGCGAAGCAGTCCGTTAAAGATTTGCATAAACGGTCACGGGCCTAATTGTCACGATAATCGACTCGAGGATCGGGTCGTTTATGACTCGAACAAAATCTCCCGGTTGTCATTAAAGCCCAGACGCCTATTTGTACGTCGCCGTCTAATGGGCCCTCGACGACAGGTTATTACACAGGCGGACGGGGAGGTTAAAAGCGGTACACCACCACGTCATCGAGTGAAAGGATTCTCAGTAGAATGGCCGTCGGTAGAAGTACGTTTGGTAGCCGTTAACGTGATGCCGGCCGCGGTGTTGCTTCCTCGCTAATTGCTGCCTGTAGACGAACAACGGTCTAAAGACCTTCGCGTCCTGAGCCTCGAGATCCTCTGTGCTCTTACGCGATTCCGTCGATTTCGGCTCCGTGTCGATCGACCTGGCCACCCTCGATACCACCGCGCCCCTTCTCGTCTGATGTCTCATCGCGGTCGGTGACTGTACCCTTTCGATCTCTCCGTTGGTCTCCAGTTGCTCCTTGGACTTACCGTACGCCTCGATCTGTAATTATCATTGTTAGAAATTTTTAGATCGGGTCACCGGCCATCCGCCCGCACACACATTCACCAAATTGTTTACAGGACGATCAAAGGAATAGATATTATCTCACGGGTCACGATTGACCGGGCCGCTGGCTTCGAGGGTCTACACTCCGATGGTAAATCAACTCTAAGGTTCTGTATCGTTTTCAATATTACAAAATTAACCAAATTAACAAAAATGAATAAAAATCAATAAAATTCAACAAACAAATTTGTTCGATTCCATAGGGTAATTCTGAATTTGTTTACCATAGGTGGATACGTCATAATTGTCTTCAGCCTGTAATTCACAGAACACACGCTTGTTCAGTTCCATTGACTTACTGCTCGAGCTGGTCTTGATCCAGATTCAACTTCCTCCTCGATCTTCCTCTGAAGCTTCGTTTCGATGTGGCCGTTGTTCTCCAGACTCTTTCGGGGCATTCCGTACGCGCGAATCCCGGGCAGATCCTCGTCGGAGTTTATGTGGATCTTTTCCACTTTACCGTCGAACCCAGTCTGATTCTCGATGTGCAGTCGCCTGGTGCGGCTGTCACCGCCGAATTTCCGCGGAAGTCGAATCGGCGCGTGTTCCACGCTGCTGGACTCGGAGGAATCCGAATGTTCGAGGGAAACAACAGCCTGTCCTCTTAACGGTCTTCTCGCCGTACCGACATCGAACGACGAGACCAGGCAAAGCAGCTGAAAGTAAATTTTAAAATGGAGAAAACCCTAGAAACAATTTGCGCGCAGATTGGCAGCAGATAATTGACAAAATCTGTCTATAAATCTGTAACCATCTGTTTCCGCATTTGGCTTTGGTTGTTGCAGGCAGAACATCTGTTGACAGAATGGTAAAGCAGATTGTCGACAGATCCATAGACTTATAAAGATAATTATAATACAAGATTATAAGATTTTTGCGTCTCTATGAACAGATCCTTTTAATAGATCCTGTATCCAGATCCTGTATTAAATCTGTAGACATTATGGTTACAAAAGCTTGTAAATGGCATGGGAGGAAATCTGGCTATGCAGGTTTCGCCTACTGGAAGTTTCAACGCTTGATCTTGCGTCGTGATTAATTAAGAAACAGGAAGGGCTGCGTGGTATTGACATCGTTAGTTACTTGTTATCGACGGAAGATTAATGGTCTTCCGGTTGCAGTCTGCTGGACGAGCGATAATGTCTTCGAAGGATTTAATTTTTCGGAGAATTATTATGCATTGTGGTGTGCCAATAAGTGATCCACTGTTTCCTTTTAATAAACTGGTAATAAAGTTTAAATTTAAAATATCTTCCTAACCTGTTTTTCTTTCAAAATGGCGGCGGCCACATTAAATAACGAGGACAAATATCACTGAAACAGCATAGGCTTTCTGACTTCCTCAGAAATAAGCACAATTGAATTTGACAAAATATACTGAATCATTTATTGGTACACATGGTCGTAGCCAGGCTGGGGGGGGGGGGACAAAATTTATCCTAAGGTAAATGTCATAGTATTCATAACATCCCTACCACTTGTACCAAAACAAATGACGTCCGAATAACGGGAAATAATAAATACAAGTATGCAAACACGTATGGATTTCTAATTTCCTTGGGACCAACGTCCTTACTGTATCCCATTGACGTCAACTGTGTATCTTCACCGGGCAAAACAAGTTAACTGGTCACTGACGTTAAAAAAACTTATGCGAAAGAATGTGTAGGTATATATCTATAATTCTCGTTTCTCGGGTTTATTGTTCGATAATGATATTTTCCGCGTGCACAGTTTATTTATCAGAAAATTCCTGTATCGTTAGGTATGTAAAAAAAAAACTTACGAAACTACAATGTCTTTCAATTATTTCAAGAGGGTTTGTCGATGAAAGATAAGAAATATTAGTTTTGATTATGTCTAACAACATTATAATGGAAATTATAACATATAATGTTATTACTATATTTATAATACAATTAATTGTGACAACAATAAGAAACTGACATTAGACTATTTCAAAATGTTATAATGTTCTTATGAATTCTTAATATGTCACGTAGTATACACAAAAATACAAGATATTTTTTTGGTAATTTTTAGAGTTCAACGACCAAGTGTTTGTCTAGGTTTCCTTACCAAAAGAATGGTCCACATGACGACGACAGGGTTTCCCGACAGGTGACGAGCAGTCCTCGATGGTGGTTTCCGTTCGGCGCGAGACTTAGATCGCGATTGAGGGAACGGATCGACCGGGCATCGGTTATATACGTGGCGCGTTTACGATCCCGAGGAACGCAATTAAAAACCGCGGCCCGGTATGTAGATTCTACCGTGAAGAGAGAGAGAGAGAGGGAGGGGGAAGGGAACAGGAATAGCGAGTATCCCCGCGCGTAAGTAAATGAGTCACCTTCCGCGAATACACAACCACCTCGAGGAAAGGTTTTCTTCCATCGAAACTTGCCCCAGCGAAAGCTTATCGCCTCCCCTTCCCCTTCACCCCCCACCTGTTTGGGCGTAACCGTCTTCGTCCTGCCCGCTGATGATTCGACGTAATAATCCGATAGCGGTATCGTTTGTAGCCTCCTGCGATTTGACTCTACGATGCATGAGTCTGGGCGTCCATCGGATTTACATGCAGGGTGAGTCAGTAAGAACTATTGTCTAAAATAACGTGTTTCCTACAGACTCCTCTCGATTATTGTCCCGATCTCGGGTCCGGGACAGTAATGTTGTAACGAGAAATGCTTCGGACAAGTTTGGAAGGAAACTTGGTAGAAGCATCGGGCGATTTTATGATTTTGCTGATACAATTCGGTTCTTCCAAGTGGGACCATCCCTTAATGGTGATGGGGTGTTTTCTTATTTTTCTGTGTATCTTGTAAACTATAGTAAATATCGAGAAACTGTTAGAATGAAAATTTAATGGTATCATGTACTCTATAAAAGTGTACAATGAAATTGTTAAAAATTTGTTTGTTTATTAATTTATTTATTTAAAAAGAACAAATTTTTAATAATTTCGTCGTACAGTTTTATAGACTATAAGGAGCTATTACATTTTCGTTGTAGCAGTTTTTTTCGGTATCTACAATAGTTTCCGAGATATACAGAAAAATAGGTAAAGAGACAATGACCCTTTAAGGGGGTGGTTCCCACCCCAAAGAACCGAGTACGCAACAAACTCGACAAATTGCCCGATGTTTCTATTGAGGTCCTCCACAAACTTGCGGAATTCAGAAAAAAAGAGTTTTCGGGTACGAAAGTTTCCTCGTGAGTCAATTGATAAGCAACAAAAGAAAAACCTGTACACCGAATGCTTTTTTGCAAAATCGAATAATTTTCTAGTACATGAAAAAAGGAGGCCCTGATTAGGAAGGGAAGCTCCGTTCTGTCTATTGTTCAATAAATCTTTAAGATTCAAGACCCTGCAAGGTCAAGTAATGACAATAAGTGATTCACCCCCGTTACGTCGGCCTGTTGGATTTTCGATGCGCAGTAACGTGTATACCTATGCACGTGGTTCGCAGAATCTTCCGTCTATATTCCTGGAACCGGTCGTCGGTGACTGGGCGAGGTGTTAAACGTCCATTCAGTCGTAAAATGTTTCAAATATCGTTCGAACGGGTACACGTTAGACGTTCGAACGAATAATGAATGGATGGATGGACGAGTGAATGACTAACCGATCCCCCCCTCTAGGGGTAGCATTAACAACGTCGCGTTAATTGAAGCCTATGATGTTCCCCCAGTCGGATATACGTTCGCTGAAAAACTGGTTTCGCGTGATCGTTCGTCGAACGCGCTTTAACGAGCAGTTCGAGAGTCGTTAATCTTCCTGTATGTCCGATCCCTTCCCCCCTGATCGATCGATCAATCGAACCGCGTTGGATCATGTGGGTCTAGGTCGGTGAAGTGGCTTTGAAAAGAAAGAATGTTTTCTCTCTTTGGTCACATAAACGAACACATCGTGAATGGCTTTTTCACCGTTTCTCATGGCCCGTGACAACCACAGGCTTATTGCTGTACGGAATTCCATCGGAACGACATTAATCACGCGTCCTGTGTAGGCAAAAACCGGAATTACACTGTTCGTTCGTTGTCGTCGCAGGCTTGCAGGAAATACTTGAACCGCATTTCTTTCCGATTAAGGTCGAATATATTAACATTTATTCGCGCGGAACATGTAACGGTATAAAGGAAATGGTCTTTCGATGTGACGTTAGGCGGCTGGTTGGTACACTTGGAAATATTACGACATTGTTCCTTCCTTTTTTTTCTTTTGGAGGTTGGTAAAGTGGACACGAATGACGACGACGTGGGGGAACAACAGAGATAGGGTCAGCGGAAATTTTCTGATCGTTGGGTCCAGATAAAAATTTGGCCGGTCACGCTTTTACTAGTTAGACTGGGTTTACATAATAAATAAACGTTATTAGAAGGTAGCACAAAACGTAGAAAACAGTTCTTTCAATTGTTTCTCCAGTGAATCGAGATTCAGCGGGATAAATTTTTTACCCAACCATACGTTTATATATATACCGTAACGTTGGGATAACGTCGACTTACATAAAAAGAACTAAGTTAAAAATACAATAACAATTCAAATACCAACCACTAATGTTGAATATTCAGTTTGTGTTGAAGTTCAAGTTGTAATACTTTCAGTTTTAGTTTTACTTATGGTGTACCAAAAAGAAGTATGTAAAATCATTTGGAAATTTCTATCCGCCATGTTGGAACAACAATCATTCTCTATGCCCAGAAATTTTCGTTCTTCCATGATCTTTTTCATTCGTCGGCTCTCAGTAATCGTTGTCTCGAGATCCGTAATAATAACCACGTCTAGGGTAATAATTGTAACTAGGATATCGATATCCGTATCTCCGATTATTCTGTTCCTGTCGGTATCTGGTCCTCTCTTCCGACTCCTGCCGGTACCTAAACAACGGCCTGAAGATAATATCCTCGGCGACGTCCATGTCTGCCAGGTTCCTTGTGTATTCCGGCGGATCCGTGAAATATGGCGCTACATAACCCCATCTTGGTACAGCGACAGGCGCAAGGATCAATTCTTCGTTTACCAGTTCATCTGTTTGGTCCGGCAACAACGTGATCTGCATCGTTTCCTGCGTCGAAGATGGGACGATCGAGATCTGAAAGCAGTACCCGTTTGAAGAACGTGCAAACTCGGTTTTCACTAGGGGAAAAAGTGGCGTAGGAAAAGGGCCTTCTACTAATTGGTCAATTTATTTCAAGTACTGAAATAAAGGTAAAATCGTTAATTTGACGTAAACTTAAGTAATTAATGATACTAAGTGGTAGAAGGTCTTTACCCTGCGCCACTTTTTCCCCTAACAGAACCTGAGTTTGCTTGTGAGGATACCCTCACGAGCAAACTCGGCTACCACCCTTATGTGGGGGGTGGAAAGACATCTCGGATATGTCCGATTTAGTCGCCTCTTACGACAAGCAGGGAATACTGTTGGTGTATTCTAATCCCGACCAACAGGGATAAAGGCGCTATAGACCTAAAATGGCCGTAAAATGGGCGTTTTCAAGGCGTTATGTGCTGTCTGACTAGTAATCTAAAATTGTGAATTCTGCCTGATTTCCGCGGTCTAACACAGACTTCCGTAATTAATAAGAACTTGACGGTTTATTTTTTTGAAATAAAAGAAATTCGTTTTCATTACCACTGGAGGATTACAACGCGTCGGAAGCAGGAACGCGAAAAAATGAAAACAAGAGCTGCTTTGCTAGCTGCGCTTTATTCCAAGGACTACTGTCGTTTCTCTTTACATGAAACAATCGATTCGGAGGATCTTCCCGTGTTTAAACGTTACTCGATGGATTTACCTCCGACGTCGAGGGCCTCCAATACGTGGGATCAACGGCGATCGAGGTCCGGTCGACGTAGTTTTGCGCTCTCGTCTGGATCTTGTCGCTGTTCTCCTTCAGAAATTGCACCTGATTGTTCAACGCGTTCCCGTCCAATTGATTCGGCAGGATCGCCACTATCGGTGTGTTCAGTTTCCCGTTCTTGGCGTTCGACGGATCGATCACCGCGACCACGGGAACCGCCATTTTCTTTGGCTCCGTTTCAGGCGTCGGTGCGTTTTCCAGGAAATTGATTTCGATCTTCGGATTCTCGTTTATCGAGGAAGATGACGTCGCCTGGCCTGGTATGCTTTCGATTCCTTGGAAACTTAGGGTTGCGTCACTCTAGAAACCGGAAGTGAAATGTTTCTTGTCGATGAAAACAATCGGTGGACTTTGGACCTTATTCAGATAGCATATGACGCCTTAAAGAGGCCAATTTTACGGCTCTCTTAGGTCTAAGGCGCCTTTAAGCCCTCTTCAAGACGTTATTAGGCATCATGCGCTATCTGGGAGACTGACATTATATCGAGGAAGATTACAAAATTTCGATTTTTTATTTCATTTATATTTGTTGCAGTATTTAAACTAACATTTAATTGTGAAATTCATTATCTAGATAAAGAGTTTCGAATAACGGATAGAAGATAAAAAAAATTCCTATTTTTTTATAACAAAGTAATAATTCTTCTTGAATGAGTATATATGTACTTGGGAAATAATCATTTAATCTCTTTAACAGTTTCGAGATCAGAATCACGGTCTTAAATACTGCTGTTTTACTATAAACGAAGGGTCTATGAATAAAAATTATTGTAAATAAAGCTTTTTGTTTCTCGTATGCAGTATTCGACGGTGAGACTCGTAATGTTCGATTCGAGATAATAATCTTTGTTAATAATTTCCATTCGTGAAAGTATTGGTGGAATGTATCGAAATGCACAACGATCTAAACGGAACTAAGGATTTTTTTCACGTGTTTCAGTTACGCAATTGAAAGACGGGGATATTGAATCGATTGGATCTATTGAATTATTATCCTCTACCTGAGGCATATAGTCATCCGCCTCGTCTTCGAAGAATGACTGGCTGTTCATCGAGGAAGTCTCGACGACAGCTGCAGCGGCCTCCGCCTCTTTCGTTTCCGTGATGTTCCGTCGTACGTCCTCCAGATTCTCGGTCGGGATCACCAGAATGTGCTCGCGTGTCGAGAGCACCTTAAACGTGAATTATTGCTGTCATTGTCATGAATATTTATATAACATTAAAACGAAACAGCTCGTAAAATACTACTATAACTAGCAATACTATAAAATCATGAATCGAAAAGAAGAAGAAAAAAAAACATAAAATCAAACTGGCGTAAACATAACAGACATATAAGAGATAAAAATAGAAAGAAGAGATTACCGAAATTTTAAATAATACCATTATTATTGTAATTCTGTTGGATGCGGTATGACGTCAGAATACCTCGACGATGGTCATGAAATTGCCAAAAGATTAAGTGGAAACGCTTATTGAGTTTATACAGTGACTCACTTTTTCTTTACATACTTCTAAAATAACAAGTAGGTACACAAGAATGTCTATAGAATTTCCATTTATGTATATATTCCCCTTATCATTACATCTACCGTCGGTTTCTGGTGAAATTTTCTGAATTTTTGAAATAAAACTCGTATTTTGGGGAATATTTCGGTCAAACAGAAGTGGCAACATTCCGCGAACAAACTTGTGAGTCGCTTGTACACATATTTGTACGAACCATATAATACTCCAAATTACTTTTCGTAATTTTAAAAGGTAGCAGCAAACTTTCTATACACCTTTTGATTTAATTTTCTATTTTTAATGGTAGATAATTAGTATGGAAAAAAAAAAGATAATTTTCTAATAAAGAAAATTCCGAGAAATCCAAGAATATCTAATATAAATTCGATATTATATTTGTCTCTCTTGTTTTTCGGCGACCATCTGGCGTAATTAATATTCTCCAAACACGTCGTATAGTCACGCGTATACGAACCTTGTTTGGATCGTTCGCCGGCATAATGTAAACTTTCCGTTTAACGACGAGCCCGTTTAACGATCCGTTGCTGGCGGTTTGGTGGACAGCGTCCTGAACGACGGGATCTTGCACCACGGCGGCCAGGGTCTCGTTTATGTCGCGTGGCGTCGGTGGCAGCAAACCCTCCAGGTCTTCCGGGTCCAAAGGCAACGCCGTCGAGACGGTTCCGTGAACCACGAGAACCGTGAAAACTACCATTTGGAACGTGCTGATCTGGAAAAGAAAACGTGTAAAATTACAAAAACAAATATATATATAAATCTTAAAAATACCAATTCTGTTACGAATAGTTTTAGTCGTTGACTGTTTACGAAATAGGCTGAGTTCAAATAACGAATAAAATATAAGAAAAAGTACTTCGTCAATTTTCAATCGTTTAAACGTACAAAATCCCAATTTTTATAATAAAACAATACTTCTTCTTAAATAAGTTGAGATTTGGCAAACAATTATTTAAACTGTTTAAAGCTTTGGGTGACGTCCTTGGATAGCAGTTTTTCACTACGTATGTATTCGAATAAATGTTTGTCGGTGGCTATTGAATAACAACTCTCAGTATAAATACCCTTAAGGCGCGCGGTACCATTTTGCGTCTCATCCCTCGGTGACGCACAAGCCGTATCGTCGCGAAATCTTCGTTCGTACTGAAGCCACCAGCGACGCCGTTTTCCAGTCTGGCCAGACGATAACGGTCCGTTCGTGGTTTTATACCAGGTACCAAAAGAAATTATCGATGTCCTGCTAACAGACGTGAGTATCAGCCTTGCGGTACATAACTTTGGCCGTGCGGACCTTGAACCTGTGCTGGCTGCGTTTCGAAGCAGCTTGAGGCTCGTCCACTCCCAACGATGACTGTAAATTGATCGTCCAAACTGACTCGATTATCCGATATAATCGAGTGAAAAATAGATCGACCGATCGATCGATCATAATCCTCTGGCTAAAAAGAATCTTTTCATTCCCAATGGACGAAAATTGCTAGAATTCAAGTGGTGATTAAATGATGAAAAATAAAAAATCGAAAATATGGTTATAAATACAGTTAAAACAATGAGATCCATATATACAGGTAGCCATTTTTACGATAGATGAATGGTAAACGGTAATACTGGATGGGAGGAGGATTTGAATATACTTTGTAAAAATAGTTTCTATGGATCTCTTGGTCTTGTTTCTCCTTGATATGGTCCTATAATTTTACAATAATCCTCTTGTGGATCACGACCGACCGAGACACCGTTCGGATAACGGACGTCCCGTAAAGCTGTTAAACTGTATAAAACAGCCATTAAACTGTATAAAATTACATTAAAACGTGATAGATATCGAGGTACCGATAACATACGGAAGAATCGTTCCGGATCATTGTAGTGTTTCCCAAACCAAAGCTCGTGTTAGTACGTCGCTGACAATATTGTAATGTTTAGCGATTGAATTAGCGGCTGCTTCGATACAGCCGGCTATAAAAGAGGCGGCCATCATTTCCTGGTGTCTTAGTTCCTCCTAGACACCCGAGTGTACCACGTATATCCGTCGAAAAAAAAAAACCAGAATGGACACCGTTCTTTTCCTTAGCTTGGTCCTATTCCTGCAAGCCTGTCGGTACGAATGCAGGGATATGGACAAGAAAACCAATATGGCGCCGCCGCCATTACCGTCGAACCCGATGGAACCTACATTTTTCGATCTGAACACCGATGTTACAATCAGACCAATGGAAAATGTCAAGGAATCGATCAATAATAACGATCGACCGCAGTTCCAAGTCTCGTCAGAGAGTTCATCAAGATCCACGGATAAATTTATGGAATCAGAGGTGCAGATCACTTCTGAACGTGAATTGTCCGCGTACTCTGTCGACGAATCGTTAAAATTAAATCGAACCACGGATACAGAACGGAACGGAAACGCAGTAGAAAATCACGAACCGTTGATCGTTGATCTTGGATCGCTTCTGAATAGTCGTGTTGGCCGAGACACCGAGGACAATTGGACCACGGAAGCATCGTACTCGGATGAATTCGCAGAAAACAAGATGGCCGACCCGGGGCAGCCAACCGAAGTGGATTTTCGAAGTGAATCCTCCGATTCCTCGTCGGACATGGACGGCTTCGCGGACGTTCCTGAGGATTCCACCGCAAGATCCAACGAGGATTCGACGGATCCACGTGAGGAAAGGAATGCGGATTTTGGGGAGATACTCGACGACGTGGAACAGAGACGGGGGAGGATACTCCACGGATGGAAGGGTTGGTATCGTCGGCCATCTTCTAACAGAAGGTACTGGTCGAGTTACGAGGAGCCGGTCAAACGACATTTCATTCGAATTCCGGTGTTCCCAGGGTGAATAATATTTAAGAATTAAACTGTGACAGATGATTTCGAAATAAACGGTTTGGCAAGGATTTTGCAAAGTATCGATCGATGTTTCACATGTAAGAAATTTATTCGACTGGTCGGTGGCTAAAAAAAAAAAACAAAAAACAATATCGTATCACAAATACCTACAGTATGGTCCTATGCTCGGAGAGTGTAACAACGGTAACAATATTACATGACTATATTACGTTAAATAGAATACGCGAAGGTTTGCTTTGGTTGCTAGCTCTTCGTTCTTAAAATTACTAGGGACTTAATAATCGACTATGTGACAAAGCACACTCCTGGCACTCGTTCGTCATTCACACAAGTATCTATGCACGAGAATCGGACGACGGTTCGTCGTTGTAAAAATGCTGTACAATTGCTTCTTTTTTTTCTTCTCTTTTTCTTTTTTTATACCCTGTTGTCGGAACCGTATAAAAATTTCTGCTTCGGTCTTTCGAGATGAGCGCTGTCGTATCGGAGAGGTTTGGGGATCGGGTCGAATTAACAGCTCCGCTATTTATAACTCGTTCATTAACGGGACGCTAAGTGGACACAGCCTTCTTCCGTCTTGAACAATGCTTCTCTTCGACCGTGGGCGAGGATTGCATGCCTTTTGACATGTATGCGTGTGTACGTAAACCCGTTCAGTTTACGTGGAATTTCGTCTTCGAGCTGTTTCGTTATCGGTAACAGGGGGAAGAGAAGTCGAAGGATCTCTCGAGTTCAACGACATCGAAATTATTCTTCAGGTAAATCCTTAGAAGATCCTTCCTTTTGTCTCGATGGAAAGTTATTCACACGGTCCTTCTTGATTTTCTTTGAAGAATCTTCAGGAGCAATGGATCCATGAAAAATTCTGTTTCAATAAAAAATCATAAATTCTTCCGTCATCCTTAAATAATCTTCATTCGAAAATTATTCCTTCCAATTCTTCGGAAGATAAAGATTATTTTAAACGTTTTCTAGATTTCCTGGAGCTCATCGATGAACCTTAAATTCTTCCTTAAACAGCTTCGAATAATCTTCATCTGCAAACGAGTTCTTCAGGAGCTCTACCGATTAACCGAAGATTCTTCAAACATCCAAATTGTCCTTGAACCGACCTCTAATCAGTTCCTTCTGCAATAAGTTCTTTACAACATTCTCCAGAAGCTAATGTTATACCCTATCCTCTTCTCGAGCTACAGCGATCCTCTCGAGATTCTTCTCTTCAACGGCCTCGCAGGGGCATCAGACTGTTGCGTTAAAATTGACCAAAAAAGAAAGCAGATTCATGAGGAACTTGAGAATATCTTTTTGTAAATAATAATCGTCGTCGAACGCGAATAATCTGCCGGACGAAGGGTCGCTAACACGCCGTTTCTTTGGTTTCCAAAATCACTGTCCATTTTTTTTTTTTTCGTTCACCGCGAGCTTGTCAACGTCAGATAGGTGACGGGTGGGGTCCATTGATCGCTCAGAATCGGTTCCTACGTCGATTCGCCTGTCGTACCCGTTCCCTGTATGCCAATTGTTGCCTGTAAACGAACAGAGGTCGAAGCGCATACGTTCCAGCCGCGGTCTCGAGGTCGTCCGTTTCTTCGTCGTTCTTTACGACGCTACGTTTCTCAATAGGGCTGCCATTCACGGTGTCGTCCTTCTTCAATTCACCCACGAGAATCCCATAGAGCGTAGGCGACGATTCTTCATCAGATTTGCCCCGTGATCCGGTCGGATCCTGGATCAAAAACGGGATTCCAACTATTGGACCGACATCGCTAGACGGCCTGACCGGAAGCGCAACCACGCTGCAGCCGGCGAACGCCAGGGAGATGACCAAGATGGCGATCTGGAATAGAGAAATTTAGGTTAGGTTAGGTTTTCGCAAGTGGTGAAATTTCGAAAGTTTCATTGTCGAAGAATGTTTGGAAAACTATTGAAGAAACTTTGGAGAATGGTAATAAAAATTTGGTAAATCATCGAAGAAAAATAGGAACGTATTAAAAATAAAATTGGAAAATTGTCGAAGAATATGAGAAAAATGGTAAAAAATTTGGAAAACGTTAAAAAAAAGTTCTAATCATTTTGTTACAATTTCGAAACTTTTTTTGGCGGCTTCAGCTTTGTCACGCCACGTAATTATTACACGTATACAGGGAGCTCAATTTATTTCGACTATCGGACAGACTATACGAAAAGATCTTTACGTTGATACTTGTATTGTTCATCGATCCTCGCGTCCTATGGCTGGATCACCGGTGACCCGTCAATAAAACAAAACCACCGAATTTTTGATCCATATTCAGAAATCCTGTAGTATAAAATCCTGATCTACGAGTCACAATTGACTCAGCCATCGGCTCCATTAGCCCACATACGGATATTTCAAAACATTCCCGACCGTTTTTAAATCAAATATACTTTTGTTCTCAAAGTGTTCTTACCATTTTGTTGTTTCGATGCGAGTGTTCCTTCTCCAAATTCCAAAGAATGATTCTCGTTAGAGTCGTGTGAGACGTGTCTTCCGGGTTGAGGTGACACGGCAATGAGGTTGATTTAGCAAGATTTAAGATATATCTCGAAGCAAAACGAAAGTTTCGATAGAAGCTGTCAACGATCCACACGGGTGGTGAAGATCCGTCGGGGTCGATTCGTCTCGAGTTTGTGCCCCTCGAACGCGTTCATCGAGCATTTATAGGGAACAATGACGTCAAACGGGGGCACGCTAATCGTACAGTGACGTATTTGACGGCAGGTGATAAACGACCTGGTAAACTTGAATGACCGACCGTGCGTGGTGGTCACGGCGCGCATCGATCTAGCCCGCGGTGCTGCATCCAGTTTTTTGTTTTTCGCGGGGCACGGTCGAAAAAGGGACTCTGCTGACGCACGCACACGGGCCCACCTACGCGTCAGATTCGCTAATTGAAAGCGCGCGGGGATATGGCGACGGTATCTTGTGCCTCATTGAAACAATCGACGCGCAAATTGTCGCTGGAAGAGGCGTGATACGATCGTGAAATGGATGGGGGAAGATAGATGAATCATGTTTTGGTCGTTGGTTTGAAAGGATTCCAGAGAAATACGCAGGGGCGTTAGGGGTTCCTAACCTCCCTTGCACTCCTACGAACTGACGATGATATCGTCAGATTAAAAAAAAAAAAGGGCAGTCAATATTATTACCTATTCTTACTTCTTAAGTAATTTTCTGAAACGGTTGTATAACTGACTGGTCAACGGTACCATCCTTTGTTTAAGATTAAGACGAGCTAAATGATACCCTGAAAACCATAAGCTTTATTAAAAAATCGATCGTTCTTGGAACAGAAGTGACACGATGGTGAAATCGATGGGGAAGTCTGGAATAATTATATTTCGATCGCTGAAAGAAACAAATACAGATTTCACCAGTGAATGAACAATACTAAATAAATGAACCTTACCAACACGTGGCACCAAAATTGTCTGAATACGAAAGGAATTGAAGAAAAATCAATATTTAATCGTTTGATTATTTTAATTACGTAATTCATTCATTTTTATACATAATGTCCATTCACTAGTGCATCCATTCCATTCTGGCACAGGACTCAAAGCCCCGCCCAATTCGACCGTTCATGCGTCAGAATTTCAGTAAACTTCCGCGGTTTAATTGCAACATCTGACGGACCTCCGCGCGTTCACAGGAAATTCCAGTTGAAGTGTCATTTTCGTACATGTCCCAATGCCTGTGATTCGACAAGTCGTATTGACTTTATCGATCATCTTCATTCGGTGAAACTCTTCGTCATGGTCGCACCTGTGAGCTTCCGGTGCGACCGGATGATTCATTCTCGCGCTCCGACCGAGAACGACAGTACGCAGAATCGTGGAGGGGAATTGCGTAACAAGAAAACATTTCAAAATACGTGCGAGGATACAGGACATCCCACAAAAATGGGACAATCGACCACATTTATATTCCTCGTGCAAATACAAATCGAAAAATCCTTTACCGTTTTGTAATCGGAAGCTCCGTTTCCGAGATATTAGCACTTGAACGAACTCTAATCAGCTGAGCGGTGGGCCACACTTACGCGCAGACTGCTCAGCTGATTGGGGTTCGTTCAAGTGCTAATATCTCGGAAACGGAGCTTCCGATGACAAAACGGTAAAGGATTTTTCGATTTTTATTCACACGAGGAATATGCATGCTGCGGATTGTCCCATATTTTTGGGACACCCAGTATACATACGGATATGTCTTCCCTGGAGGTCTGGTTTGTTTGTTTGCGCGCGGTGGTAACCGAGTCACGCGAGGCGCGGATGGAAAACACAGTGGTTTTAAAAGGCATTCCTCGACTACCGTTCCCGTTAGTGTTTCCTCTGGTTGCGCAGATAGAACTACAAGGATCCACAGCTTCTAGATCCTTTATCGTGTTACCGTTTCCTCGAAGAGAACTCGATATCTAGTTTTCTTGTCTTTAACGTTTGACTGTCACAGCTGTATCATGTGAAAAGTATTGAATTTTTGAATAGTAAAATCTAGTAGTCTAGTTCTGAAGAGTACTGAATTTCTAAACAGGAAACCCAGTAGTCCAATTGTATAAAAATACTGAATTTCGAAATAGTAGGTTCACGATCTATCGAATTATTAGGTTTAGTCGTTAATAACTTTCCGTTTCTTTTTTTCTGTACATAATTTTGTAAATTCAATCATTGATATTCAGCTGAACTATTCTTAATGTCATTGCTATTTATTATTTAGTAATAGTTTTTTAGTATCTACGACGAAATTAATTATGACTCAACCGAGTGTAATTGATGATAAAACGACTAAATCAACGCGTAAATAGTGATATTCTTGATTTTATCACGATATCGTCTGAATAGTAAAAAAAACCAGTATCATTTAATATTTTCATCCGAAGTAATTCGTTCGAAATCTAGACGACTTGGATAATATCCTGAAAACCATAAGTTTTGTTAAAAAATCGATTTCACAGTTTTACAAAACAATTGGCCTTTTGTTGTAAAGATCGAGAATGAGCTATCTCCTTATCGGGACGTTCGATCGACTCACCCTGGTATAATTAGGAAGAGGGTGCCATCTTGGTTCTGGTCCACGGAGACGCAAGGACCTTAAACGTACGAAAAAAAAAACGGAAAAAAGTGAAAGTACGCTTTGAACGTTAAAAGTGTAATCGATTATCTCTCTGAATGTTTCAACTGGCGAAAAAACGATGAGAATAAAACGTTCAAGTGCGAAATAATTTGTTGTTCTTCAAAGGATATCGTTTCCGAACTTCCAACGTCTTCGAGGCAATGAATATATGGGGGCGAAATGAGAATTGACATACACAAAACACAATAAATTAAAGACTTCAAACGAGTTTAACGAAGTTGCTTTTATTTCATGTTCAATGCTTGATAAAGTTTCCCAGAAAAGAAACACGAGTTTCGTTTAATTCTTTCCAAATTGGATTATACAAAAATGTGAAAAGTTCCATAAAAATCCGCGGTTTATCGATAAATTTCATTTAAATTACGATACAGGACATAATTCCATACGTATTGTACATTTACAACTATATTCTATTCATTTTCCGATATCTTTTACAGACATTATCTCGATTCTAAAACTGATAGTTCAATGAAACTTTATTTTGTATATATATGTACGTATATAAAAAAATAATCATATGACGTAATTTATAACTGCATATAAGTTGACATTGAAAGCTCGAAAACGAGAACAATGCGACAGAATTCGTGGGGCTCTAAAGTACGCAACGCTTTAGCTCTACTATCATAATCGATAAAATCAATTTGTCGTATCAATCGTATTAACAATCAACGGTAATTCAATTAAGAAAACCTTCAGTTACAGGTCACCGAATTAGGTCAAGGACTCCGACGCGGTACTCTTCTCGGATACACCCGGACGTGGGTCTATAACAATTGTCACCAGAAACAACTCGTTCCTTAAAAATTAACTTTTCAGCAAAAATTGTTTTCTTTATCCATTAAAACCGTTGTTCCTGAACGATGCACATCGAGCTGGGGTGTGTTTATTTGTTTGAGTCTCATAATTAGACTGCGGATTTTCTGCATTTATAGCATATAGAAGTATGTGAAATGCAATAAACAATCAAATTTCCACCGAGCTTAATAAATGCTTCGTTTTATTTTCAGCCCGCTAAAATCGTTGAAGGAGAACGAATTTTTCATTTCTACTTCTGCCTGTATAAATTACTTTACAAAATTCCATATTGCATAAAAAACTGCAGTCAACTTATAATATTCCTTATAAGTTATAAATCCTTGCCAACGACCTCCCTGTAATCACATCGTTGTGTCCCCCACCCTTTCACGTCACACACCGTTTGCAACAGAGAAAGAGAGGGATAATGATATTACGGACTGCAGATTTCGAATCATTCGAATAATACAAATGGTACACCATTCAGGGAAGATCTAGTTTTTCCTTGACTTTCAATTCAAGAGATGATCATAATATACAGGGTGAGGCACCTAAAACAGGCGCGAATATTTTGGCTGTTTACTGGTGATAGAAAAAAAAAGTGTCGGACTAAACTTGCATAGTGATATCGAGGAGAAAATAATTTTATGTGAACAGTTTTTCGGCAGCTGGACGCGTAGATGTCATACGAAGGTCAACATAATTTTTTAAAATGGAAAGCTTTTTTTTAAACTTCCTATCGGATGGTACGTAAAAGCATGTCTTCCCATTAAAAAAAAAAAAGTTGACCTTCATATGACCTCTACGCGTCCACCTGTCAAAAAACTGTTCACATCAAATTATGTGTTCCTTGATACCGTGCAAGTTTGGTCTGACTATTTCTTTCTATCACTAATAAACAGTTGAGATATTCAGATGGCCTGTTTTAAGTGTGCCTCACCCTGTATAACATAACTATACAATTAGATTCCTTTGACCGATGAATGAAAATTTTTTCCTCGTTTCTTCTTGTATAAAATAACCGTCGAAAGTTTCCACAAACATTCACAGTTCAGAGCAAGTGAAGAAACGGTCCTGTCCATTTCTTTCTCTCTCTATAAGCGCGCTACCAGTCCCGACTATACAGGAAAGGGTAATTATAATACTGTACAAAACAATTTTTGCCATGATATTAGTGTGAAACAGAGAAAAACGAGTCATTACAGACGGCAATCGTTACTCACCCATGGTATCCAAGAGAAGACGAATAAGGGATGAAGATCGAAGCTCACGGGATAGGATGAATCGTCACGGGATGCCCAAAAAAAAGTCTTCTCGCGCGGCATCAAAGGATCGAGGATCGAGTTGTACCAAACACATCGATTTATTTCCTCCAATTTATGTACTTTTGTTCATGGATGGTCTTCAATAAATAGCTTCATTAGCTCGTGGTGTATAAAACGTTTCGAAAATAACGAACGTCTCTCTCTCTCTCTCTCTCTTTCTCTCTCTCTCTCACTCTCTCTCTCTCTCTCTCTCTCTGCTTGTCATTCTTTGTAACGTGTATGTCTCTTTCTCTCTGTATATATGTGAGTACGTGAATGTATGTATGTATGTGTGTGTGTGTCTATGTATGTCTCTTAGGGCACTTAAATCGCGATCTCGGTTCGTTTCTTTACGGTACATTTAGATCGCCGGCTCGGCCTCCTCGTGCACGGTTTCGCTGGTTTCGGTAGTTTCGCTTTTAGATCTGAAAGAAATCACCAGATTGAGGGTATTTCGAGGCTGCAGGTAAACAAGAAGCACGTGAAGTAAGAGAGAAAAGCATGAACAGACGGTTAGTTCCGGGTGGAGACGAAAATTGTTAAAAGAGACACGGCGGAGGGGTGGCGGAGTGTGTGTGTTGTGTTAGTCTCACGAGGGGATTTCGATCGTTTTGATCGAAACCGATCCCCTCCGGAGGGATGGTCAGGTGGGGGTTGCAGCTGACCTCGACGGGCTTCCGACTTCACACGGAATCGAAAGGAAACACAATAATTGTTATTCCTGGATAAACAGGTTAACAATCGAATGCTACAGAAAAAATGTTTCAGAGAAAAGTTAAATAGTATTAGGGCCCACACTTTCCGATGTAAATTTTTTTATACGCTACTCGATGCTACTTGTTATTCCCTGCATAAAGTACTAAGTCACTTATGGCGAATTAGTGCATGAAAAAATATACAGTTACTTTTAGAAAAAACAAAGTTGACCTTCATATGACCTCTACGGGCCACATAGAAAAAAATCACACCGGAAAGTGTGCCCCTCCCGATATCATTTAACTTTGGTCTGAAAAAGAATACGAAACTTACAATTTCTATGTTCAATTGTTCATAAAAAAAAGTCCCCTGAATTGACCTTTAAACATCGTTTCTTTCCATTCCCTTTGAGAAAAAGACAATTTTACAATTGTACGATTCAATTCAGTTCCTTTTACTTTTCCTTTCGACTCTAAGGCGCCTGAAACCCGTCGCGTCAGTAAGAGGGCGAGGGGGGTGGGGGGGTGGGGGTGGATCGATGGAATAAAAAAAGTTGTTGGAAAGTACGAAAAAATCCTTTCCTGTATTGATCGATCTAATAATACGCAATTCGGGGGGCCTCGTCTACGAGTCTCTTCTACATGGGGTGGCAAAAAGAAAAAACGAAAAGGAATACGCGTCGTGAGAGCGCCATAACGTTCTCGCCCTTATACGATTTCAGTTCTCTCTTTTTTTTCTCTGTCCATTTTCCACGTCAATGCAATATAAACGCTCGTTATTGCATGCAAGCCTTCCGTCATATGCTGCCCCGAATCACTTTCGTTCGGGGCCTCTGTTCCTCACGGGGCGCGTGCAAAGAAGCGAAGTGATCGTCCAATGATTATTTTTTCTCTTCATGGAACGAATAAAAGTTTTCAAATTTTTCCTTGATTTTTTTTTAAGGTGTCGTACGTCAAATGGCAAAACGATGTATTCACCAATTATTTGCAACAGAGGTTCGATCCATAAGAAATATTTTTTCTCATTTCACTTCTTTTGCCCCCCCCCCTCCCCCTAATTTTCGATTCTTATTTAGCTCTATCGTTTTCTTCGGCCCCACTCTCTCTCACACTCTCTGTCACTTTTACATTAAAATACCACTCGATATAGTTCTACAACGGTACATCAGGTAAATATATATATGTGTGTATATATATATAGTTAACGTCGAGTCGCTGGATGCAAGAGGCATCAGGGAGAAGTAACTTCCTACCATTGCCCCATTGTTTTTTCTTCTTCTCTTAGTCCCAAGAGGACGAGAGTCGATTTCGACCACAGTTTCACTGTGCTTTTTACCCCTTTCTCTCATTTCACGAATGCAACTCGATTCCTTACGTTTAATCTGACCGCCAAACGGCTCGGTCGAACCACGAGGATCACTTTCTTCGGGATAGCGTGTACAGCTAACTTACGATTTTTCTTCGAAGATATTTTTCAAACAAGTATACAAGAAGATTTCAGAACTATAGGCCACGAACTGGAGTGAGAAAAAAATATACGAGCAGTTCGACTGAACTGGGTCAACGGGGATTGGTCGTTTTGAAAATATCTCGTTTGATAGCCATTTTATAGTAACACATGGGAGTCTAAAAAAATTCAGAAATATTGAAGACGGGTTAAAGGCGTCTTAGACCTAAAATAGCCGTAAAATGGGCGTCTTCAAGGCGTCATCTGTTATCTGGGCAACGGAAAACAGATCTACTTTCTTTTAGACCAATAGAAAATTGATCAATAATCCTAGCTTTTACAATATATAATCTGCAAAAACAGAAATTTGAATAAGCAATACATTTCACTTCAGTGTCATCTAATACCAATACACACATACTCTAACTATACATATACACCCTGTACTCACAAACTACTACTACTAAACTCTACCGATATACACCCTGTACTCTCAACATGTACGATTCTGCGACAATTAAATGGCTATAAAATCGTCTAATCGCTTAAATCAAGACCTCACGTTTCTGAATTCCCCTTGTATACCGCGTCTCAGCGATCGAATATCTTCCTGTGAAAGTGAAATTCCCTCAGAGACGTTTCGCGTACACGCTAAAGAAATTAATTTTACAAATTTCCTAAATATTACCGTATAAAGACTAATTATTACTTTTCTTGTATCGTCAGAGCGTTATCCCTTACTTTCCATCAGTCTTTTCGTTCTACTAAACTACAATGTCCCACGTGGTTTCATAAAATCGGGGCCCTCGCCTGTTTCCATTTTTTTTTTTTTTTTACAGTAATTCGACACCGTTGTGTTCTCCACGGTTAACGAGCAGAGCAAACTTCACACCGTCCACAGGAAGTCCCAAAATCCGTGTGTGTGGTAGGCCTCGTGGTCCGATCCGTGTGTGTCTTGGACAAATCAGGCGATAAATAGATTTACTTGGAACGATTATCTATTTATATATTGTCGGATACTGAAGGATTCACTTGCCCGATGGCTACGCTCGTCCAAAATGGTCGAGGGGTCGCACGTCATTAATAATATTAATTACAGTATAGTAATCGTTAATGCTACTAACGGTGTCGTCTTTTCTTCTTTTTTTTTTTTTTCATCGTGGTTCCCTTTTCTCCTTCATTTCACTTTTTGCTTTCGTACGGTGTAGGCACTTAACTATGTTTCTGCGGCTCCGTATGTAGTCAAAACGTATTATATGTATGTCTCTATTGTACACGACGGGTGAGATTATCGGGTGTCCAAAAAAAAAAAAAAAAAAAATTTGAATCCGTACTAAAATCCTTCCCTCCCTATCTCGATTATTTCTTTCTCTTCAAAGTTCGATCGTCCGATTTCTGGGCCAAAGGAGCAACAAACAAAAAAGAAACAAATTTTCTCACAACCGAGGGAATTGCGCAGTGTTCGAATTCAAATGTATCCGTCGGCCATCTTCAATTTTTCTTTCGAAATCTTACGATCGACGCCACTTTTAATTTCTTTCTCTGTTTCTGGTTTATTTTTTTTCTGTCACTCGCAACACACTCCTTACGTGTTCTTTACTCTTCGACTTTCACGCTCGCACGCGTCTTCGAGAGCGTAATATTGGTTTTCTTTTCTTGGAACTTTTCATTAGCACCGTGTCCTTTCGTGGATTCGAACTCTCGAGAAGTACGTGTGTCTCCCTCTCTCTCGCTCGCACTCGTGCGCCGTCTTTCTCGCTCCCATTCGTTCGCCGCTCAGGAAGCGTCCCGTGATCACCCGACACAATACACACAAAACAGGGGGAGCCAGATTGAACGTATGTGTCTCTCTCCGTACGTTCACCCCGTTTTCACGATAATCGTACACAGAACAATGCTCGTAGACCCGGGAGGTTCGGGGTATATACGCGTATCACTATGCCTTCATCGGGATCGATTTCGTTTCGAACGAAAGATACAATTTGATAGCTTCAAATGAATTCTGTCCAATAATTGACACATCAAAGGAGAGCTTCTGAATGTAGAAGGGTAATCCTTTTAAAAGAAACATACGTTTAATCGACATTGCTGACGTCGGACCGATAGTATGTATCACCAGACCATAGAAACAATCTTATGACAAAAATACAGTGGAAGCTTGACGAAAACCTGACAAGGGAACATCGTACGTACAAATCTGAAACAGAACAGTTTAGATGTCTCAAGTACGTATATGTGATCCTGTGGGTCTACAAGTCCATGAAAAGTAAAACTGGTAGTGAGTATTAGCAGTATTTTTAAGAAATTATGTTCCAAGGAACCACAGATATTTTGTAACCAGCTTTGTCAAGACTCCAAGAGTACAGTGATACTGAACTATCTTCATCAAGAATCTCAGAATGCAACTGTACACAACCATCTGGCTTTAGATGTTCAGAATTTAGTATCTTTGTTGGTAGTCTCAAAAGGCACTCGTTTGTGAGGGGCCTACAGATGTTCCTTGAAAGTCTGAAGGCACACACACATACACACACAGACACTAATTACACATCATGCATTTTAAAATCCTAATAACAGTATTATTTTGTAATCCAAAAACCTCCAGAGTTTGTTCAGTTGTATCAAGGATCCAGAAAGTTATCTATCCTAAATCAAAGTAATTTGAACAGTAAGACCAAGCTATCTATAGAACCATGTAGATACTGTGTCCTAGTGTTCTTCAATCCTTGATGAAAACTATACACAATGCCGACAATGTATGACAAACTCATTCCAAAAGGACAAGGCTCACATTCAGAACCTTCCAATCCCATTCTCAAGACCCTTATAACGATCTCATCTGGTAATTCCAGTATCTCTACAAAAAAACACACGCAAAATATAAAAAATATTACATTTATCGATCACACTAGGAACGCTAGCATCTCTTTCGTTCGACTGCGTTTCGTTTCAAATGAAGGCTGATTACTAGTGTTGCTCTTTCCGTTCGATAGAAACGGCCAATGTTTTTCACATCATCCTCCTCGCTAATTGTTCGATATACCGTGTTGTAAATCGATAGATGGGTCTGTTCACGATCGCACTTCTTTAACCGTATATAAACACTCCTCAGGGAGAAAATCAGGTAACGACGAGATTAATGGTGCACACACAGGACACACACAGATAGACGGTATACCGACGACAGAATACTGTATTAACTTCGGAACATGCGTGACATCGCTTTTGAATTGGAACATGATATCTCTAAACTAACATGTGATCGGTGCGCCGTGAACAAACATCGTGGACGCACTGTACGAATTCCAAACGTACCCGAAAATCTCGTTCTTGTTCATTTCCGTTATTTTTTTTTTCTGTTTTTTCTTTTCTTTTGTAAAGATCGTATTCCAACCTAGAGCTAACAACGTACAAAAGTACAAAATACACTTCGTTCGCGACGGCCGCTCTCTCTTCGCAACGTAAAGCCGAGACACGAATTGCATCCCCCCCTCCTTTGCCCCCTCCCTTAGTTTGTTCTGTTTGTCTCGGAACACGATAAGTATTTTCTACGCGAGCTTTAATAATCGTGACTTGTATAAAAGCTCAGCTTACGAATACAGGCTTAACACGTTATGAACTCTTGTTTTTTTTTCTTCCCCTTAACTTCGTCTCCACTAGATGCAATTAGACGTATTCAGTCTTTCTGCGATGCCCAATGGTCTTAGACCCCACTGAGCAAGTTAATCGGAAAATCGTACTTTAGAAAAATGTTTCTTTTAACCCACCCCCCCACCCCCTCCTATTTCTATCTGGCGTAAAATTGAAGCTTCGCATGCTGTTCGTGTAGAAAATGGCTTTAAATAGGGGTTAAAAGTGTACAAAATTAAAGTCACTGACGTGACCATGAGAAAGATTCAACGTGTTTTCCTGATTCAATCACTTTCTGGTATCCCATTTCATATATTTCCTATACTGTATCTAGAAGGTATCAGACCCCATCGAATGATATCAAGTACTTTTTAATGAACCTGGTAGAATTATTATTCTAATAATTCTATAAGCTTTTGTTTTCGAATTTGCGAGGAAGTTCCTACGAATGATTGCAATAACTAATTTTTCAAAATTAGTTATCGATGTACTTGATAACACTCCAATTGGATCAGATGTCGTTCTGATACTTGAAGGATCAATATGAAACGTAATGCCAGGAACTGATTTCGGCCAAAGAGGTATTAAATGTCTGCGTATGTTCACTTATGCATGGTACAAAGATTTTGTTGGCTTCTAATTCGTTTGGCACCCACTTTGTCGACTGCTTAATCACAATGTTAAAGCATAACTAATATGCGTAAGTCGCGCGAAAATTGCATGATGAGCACCGATTCAAGCTCATTAGTTGGAACGTTTTTGTTTTCTCAGGTGACACTAATTGTTTTAGCGAAATTCATTATTAACCTTCCTCCGTATACCAGGAATGTTCTTGCATAAAAAGATTCCCTCCACTATTTCATACAAAATCACTCGTATCAATGGTTTCATGAGCTTTTTTACGAAATCCTGTGAAATATTTACCCAAGTACACAATCAAAGGCACGAATTGCCATTTAACAGAATATCTTGGTGGCCTGCGTCTCTTCGAGGAAGAGAGAAAGTCAAAAAGTATACCTCTTTACTCATAGCCCGAGGAACAAGTGTCAAATCAAGTCGTGATAATTCTAAATATACAGCATCCCACATAAAGAATGGGCCATGGTATGTCACAGGTATGACTTATGCTAATTCTAGTATAATTTCCTTTCTTTGTGAATATTCTATAGAAGAATGGATTCTACGGGCAAGTTATTTAAAACATTTACTGTATACTATAATTAGAATCGTTAACATTTCTCTACGTCTATCACGAATATATTTATTAGAAGTCTAGCGAAGTGATCGGGTGCTTATATAAACTCTAAAGCGAATGATTTTGGTACCCTGGATGATTACTGATAAGAGGTCGAATTATTTAAGAATCATGAAATCAATGAGAGACTTCACTCGTTTGCTTTTAAATCAATCGTCGGACTTCAAATGTCGTTTGCAAAGCGATTAGATAAATAAAAGGAACTAAATCTAAAAGTGGTAGATTAATACTTGCTTCTATCTCTGTATTAGAAAAGTAAATCGTCAAGTTTGCTTGTGAAACGTCGTGCACCCACTTCGTATAATGTGTATCATATATGAGAGTCTACGGTTATATTACGATGTATGAGTAAGAAGGCATTGTGACTCATCGCTTTTTTTTTTTTTATACTTGCACCTGGGTTCTGCTGTTTTTCATTCGAAGGATGTGCGGTGCAAATCAGAAAAAAAAAAAAGACACGCTCTTGATTTATAATTCGAAGAAAACGTATAACTCAATGCACCTCTTATTCCTCCATCGTAACTGAAGACACAAGTATGAAACAATCATTTCAAGAACTGCGACTTTCAAGGGAACCTAATGAAAGAATCTTCAAACGAATGTATACCGTCTAATATTCTACATACTCATTGAGTAAATCACAATATAAAAATACAAATTGAAGATCTCCCCTTTCTCCTTTTATCAATAACCTTTCAATCTTTTTCTCTTTAGCATCTTCGTCGTGCAACAACATCCTTTACAAACGCACGTTCGTAGAATAAGTTACTCCTGTCTGAATATTTCGTCAACAACTGTTATCTGCATCTAACTATCCTGATTAATTATCCGTTACTGATAGTACGTCCGAGGACGACAGTGTGGTTTTACTTTGAATTACTTAACGTCGAATGCTTCTCCCCGATTAATTCCTTTCTCATGGCGATAATGGATGACACGTGCAAATAATTGCTGTTAAATATATCTCGTGGTGAAAGTAACTATTTCTTGAATGTGCGAATCACCTAGTATCACTGACAGCTCAACGATCCCATGTACACGCGCGACATGGAATAAATTCGAATCCTAACCACGCATGTACAAATAGCCACAGATTGCTAGAATACCCCCACCAACAATTGCGGCACCTATGCCTATTGAAAGGGGCTTAAATAATGACCTCTTGAGCTTTTGCCATTCTTCTGTCTCCTTTTGTCGACGCTTGATCTCCCGTACGCATGCTGTCAAACGTTCGTTCTTTTCTTTAGTGCGCTGACGTACTTCGTTTTTCCTATTGAAACAAAATGAATACCATTAAGGACGCGCGTACAGAGACAAAACTGACTTACGCGCCGATTCTACAACATTGACAACTTACGCATTTGGACTGGACGGAGGGCTGTTCGTCTGCAAAGAATTTTCACCGTCACTTCTGGTTTCATTAGGCACTGCAACATCGTCGGAATTGTTTTCGTGTAAATTATTCGTGATCACTGTAGAGTTTGCGCGTGGTGGATTGTTCGATGTTTCTACGTGAGTCGGCGGTTCCCTTGGCAATGGTTTATCAGGAGGTCCACCTAATTCATCTATCATTAAATATGGAAGCAGTTACATCTTGATAAAAACTTTTGGTTAATCGTTGATTAAATCGTACTTACCGTTTTTCGTCGTTACATTTGAAGTTAAATCCGCCATCATACTACGCGTTAACGACTCACCTCTCGGTGGTGGCAAAGGAGGCGGTTCGTCTTCTTCTTCGATCGAAGAATGACTAATATTATTTACTATATCATAATGATTTGTTACTATCTCATTATCAATGTTCTGTAAATTTCATACACACGTTAGTAAAGGTCGCAACGTACGTTACACCACAGTAGTACAGTGTTATCAGATTTGGTATGTTAAAGATAGAAAATCTTCTCCGACAAGCATGCACAACACATCAATGGAAAAGTTGCTTAATTAGTTCAAATCGAGCATACAGAGAAACCAATAACACTGCACCACTGTGAATTGGTATTAGTTACCACGTTATTGGATGGCAATTGTTTTGCTCCTTCGATGATAGCAGCATACGAAAATCTCAATTGATCCGGCGTCTGGATTAAACCCATTCTGGATCTTCTCATTTCAATCAATACGTCTCTAACATTCACAGAATTCAATCCATTTTCTTCAATCTACAACCAAATGAAGAGCAATTTCTTTATTTCAATATCTTAATGCATGGTTTGTTTAATAAAATTATTGCTTACCAAAACAAGGCAGGTGTCTACTAAGCAAAATGTTCCTGATCTTCCAATACCAGCAGAACAATGAACAACCGGGGGCCCAACATTTTGATCCAATGCTCCCGATTGCCTAACATCAGCCAGAAAACGAAGAAAGGCTGTTGGGCTCTGCGGTACTCCAAAATCTGGCCAAGTAGTATAGTGAAAGTGTAGTATTTCTCTACTTTCTTTCGATTCCAAATCTGTTAATCTGTGCGAAATATAAATATTAAGTTAAATTACATTAAAATCTTTTCTGATCATAACATATACATAAATAATAACATTGCAATCGAATGTCTTATTTTGTCATACTTTAATATTCTAGTCGTGTAATCCGATGAATCTGTTTTCCTGACATATTCTACTTTTATACCAACATCCAGAAATGTCATAGTATCATCCAACAGATCACCCAGAGGCCAATACTGATAACACTTAACTTGATTCTTTTCAATTATTTTATTTAACATTAACACTGCTTTAGAATTTTGCTCCCATACCATTAACCAAAAATGGCCAGCAGTATTTTCCAATGGTCCTTGGGTAAGAATGTATTGTCTGTGAGCACGATCTACCTATAATAAATATCCATTTATTATTTGATTCTTCAACTCTAGAATTTAGATATTTTATGATGATATTTACCCTTATAAGGTTGGCATTAATGTAATCACATGGCCCCCTTTTAAGGACAATTCTACTATGGTCATAAGGGGCAACATCTCTATAACGATTCAAATTTTTGTTCTGTGGTTTCTTTGATTCGTTACATGTGAATGTGAAATTGCTGCATTCGTTACGTATATGCTGTAAAAGCAAATATTTCAATTCTTTGGTTACCTTAGGTTCCTACCTCACAAATGTGAAATAAAGTAAAATTTTTCTTTAGCCTTCAAATCATGTATACATACGAAACAACAAGGAACTATTAAACAAACACCTGGAATTCATATTTTCGAGCACAACATTCTTTACAATAAACCGGGACATACAACATACACTCTATAATGTACTCAACATTTTCCTGTGAAAACCGCGTTCCGCGAATACAAAACAATACCAACAATTTTAAAACAATCTGTGCACTGTAACAAATATATCCAAGAAATGGAGCACGCATAACGTGATAAAAGAACAATCACGGTCGCTGAATTCTGGTTCCGTTATCGTATTGAATCGTCTCATCCTGCGGTAAATCAAAACCCATTTACAAAGCGTAAATTAATCGAATACGTTGTCAGTCGCGTATCCACATACTGAGAACCAAGCACTGGAGAATCATCGCGAAGAATCCTCCGAGATTCATCGAGAAACGGTAACGTGCGTACAATTGTCCACGTTAAAAATTCCGTCGGATGATGGCAAGTGGAACGACGAAGGGGAAGAGGAATTATTCATTGTGTGTACAGCGGATCGGGGGACTGGCGAACCGTGTCAGCGAAAAACAATTCCCGACGTATAGTCGCGTGTTCGCGTGAAACAGGCTGACACATCGGCGACAGGGACGGGGGGCAAACGGTTTCTTTCTCGTGGTAACCGGAAGGAAAGACGCAAAAAGCGGAAGGAGAGGAAGGAACGTTACACGGACGACCTCTTTTACCTGATAGAGGATCGGCCAGGCTTCTTTCGAGTTGATCTCGAGGTACTCGGTCTCTACATTGCTGATCCCTTGGTCACGCGTCTCCTGGCTGGTCATTCTGTCGGCTCGGTTGTAAACTCGCGATCACCTCGGCGTTCGAGAGAGAGAGAAAAAAAAACGGCAAAACGAGACGAGGCACGCGAAGAGGCTGGGCCCCGGTCGCGATCTCGCTCTCTCTGTCTCCGGGAAAAAGGCGTCTTAGGCACGGCGGAGGAGCGGTGCCATGCGTGACGCGGATTCTCGCGAAGGGCAGCCCCCGCGGCACGGGAGGAGACGAAAACGCGCAACCACACCACAGCTCCTCGCGTACGTACGTGTACCAGCTCCGTTTCTCAAACGTACTACACCACAGTCCACACACTGCACTCCACTCGCGGGATAGTAGGAACCACCACCGATCTCGCGTACACCGCCGCTGCCACCGCGAAACACGAGTCAACGTGCTGACATCTTCGGGTAACCAGAGTTCCTTTCCCTCCCTTCTTTCCTCTTTCTTCGTCTCGTTTAACCGCCGAATGAGATCCGGCCGACGGCCGCCATGCTGAATCAGTGCTCGCGGTCTCCGCGCATGCGCGAGCCTGAGCGCTAAATCGAACATCATTCGATCCGGAGACAGCGTACCTCTTTTGAATAAAATTATTTAAATCGGTGTGTTAAGAGTGTCTGCATGTATATGCGTTAGGTGTAAGACAATAATTTATTTATGCTTTTCATTGTAGTTATAACGAAAATTTATGCGATGTAACTTACGGAACATATACACGGATGTTTTAAGAGTATTTTAAGAATAGAAATCACGTCCAACGTGTCATGATCTGGTCTATGGATATTTTTAAATAAACACATTCGGGAAAAAATGTATTTTACGCGGGTAACTTTAGGCAGATGTTTTAAGGAAAATATTGGAAACGTGTGAATGTGGAGCTTTTAGTGGTCTCCCAATGAATGGTGGCATTTAAGGTATAGAAAAAAAGTAGTTAATTTCTATATAACATCGATATTTTACGTTTTGGTATGTCTTAATCGATCATGTATCATGAATATCGGTTTATCCTTTGGGCGGCAATAAGGGGGGGACTATTACGATGTATAGAGGACAATAGACGCGTAGTGTTTTATTATAATACTGAGGATTACACTGGAATATTTCTTATTCCTATTACTTTAGTCGGAACATAAAAAAACTACAGCAACTGCATATAGTAATATAAAAATATATAGAAAATATAATTTAAATAAATAGTTATGGAAACATTGAGGTAGCGAATGTTGGTATTTACATTTGCCTGTATGACTTCAAAAGAATTATTTTTTTGCAATTTTCGAAGGCGTTTTATCGCTCTCTCGACTTTTGCTGCTATGGTCATCATCGGTATTTATACTTTTTCTCTTAGCTGACGCCGCAGTCCCCTTGTTCAGCCAGGAAGCCATAAAGCTGTTAGGGTTGCTTTTTTTCTCTTCTCTGTACGTAATAGAATTAGTAAATCAATAGTCTAGTATGTCACTTCAAGGGATTACAAGTTTATAATTCTTTCAGTGAAATATTAATTGCATGATACTACACAGATGTGTATACATATACATACACGGCCTTTGTCTCCTTTCTGCAATCTTCACTTTTATGTGTTACATTGTTTACCAAAGTCGAGACTGTATGCCAACTTAAATCGCCCTCGGATACTGTTGCTTTGCTTAATCTGTCAACAGCTTGAGCTAATGATAGGTCCTCATTTAGCCAAACCTGATAACGTCATACAGAATGCAAAAATGTTCTCAGTGATTAAAATTTTTGGAAGACTACTATTTACAGTAAAATAATCTTTTAAAAGATATATACATATACACTCTATCCATGATAACAAATTTATCTGCTTACATGTGTGTCTTCTTCTGTTTTTAAAAATACAGGTACACGATTGTGTAACGAAGAGAGAGAATTTTTAGAATCTGTTGTAACTATTGTACAACTATATATTGTTTTACCCTGAAATATAATTTTGTTACACTATCATATAAGACACATGTAAAATGAATAAATTCAAGGTGCTACATGTACTTCTCCAGTTTTGAATCTGTTAAATATTCCTGCCATTTTCAGAACTTTAATTCCCTTCCAACCACTCTCTTCTGACCATTCATCCTTCCATGTTATGGGATCATCCATTCTAACTCCTTTTTCCTGAGTAGCATAAATGTAATACGGCTGCTTAGCCTCCTTTTTTGTCTTTCCAGCTTTCCATTCGTAATAACCTTCGCAAACTACAATGCACCTATATCCCTTTCTAAGTGGTGGAGCATACATTGTAGAAGTCTTAAGGTTCTCCAGGCGAGCATTGTGCGTCGACATTGTATGTTTCCTATAGTCACCCTACAAATTTGCATATCAAGATTAAAACATCTTTCTCGTTTGCATACTAACAAGAGGCAATAAAATACAGCCTGTAACGTATTGTTATCGCATACTGCGATACGATAAGCGTTCGTTCTGTTTACATTTCGCGAATGCTTTTTGCGTCAACCCGCTGTTGACGATTTAATCAGAACCACGTGAGTATACAACCCCCACCCATTCCCGCCAATGAGGCGTTCGATCTAACCATGTTTGTAAACACTGACCTCGTGCCAGGGTGGAATCATACTCCACATCATAGAGCAAAGAACCCTCTCATTATTTTTTGCAAAATGTGAACCGGCGACGAGACAGGGTACAACGTCTTTGGGTCCGATGTTGCACGACGGAAAGTATTTGACGTCGCTATTGGTCCACGATGTAGTGCGTAGTTTGCCGTTGCCATCCTTGTAGTCGCAAGCGCGGCCCAAAGTGTCCGGATTCAGAGAACTGTGAAATAATTTACGAGTTCTCTTTGCCGTTCACGGAGTATGCGTGTCATGAATTAATTATTGAAATTACGTGACAAGATTACTCACCAACACATTCTACCACACATGTTTCTCGCGCCACTTGACCAGTTTGATGAACTAGTGCCACCTACAATGCATTCTGTTCGGCGAGAATTTGTGAATTGGAACGTGCATACTTTTATTTAAATACGTATATAGACTTCATAAAAATGTCCTAAATCCTTCAAAGATACGTAGCGATTTTTTTTTCAAAATTATATATGTTCCAATATATACGAGCTGTTAGTAATTGTATTGGTAATATTCATATTCTAAAATTTAAAACATACCCTGATAACCAGTTCTATGCAAGTTTCAAGGAAATGGCCAGCAATTAAAGACAAAATTTGTCTAAAAAACCATGGCAATCTGTTTCCGCATTTAACTTGGGTTTTGCAGGTAAAGCCTACTGACGAAATGGTAAAGCAAATTGGCAGCAAATTAGCAACAGGTCTTGTAACACAATCTAGGCTATATTGCAAGACTTGCTGCTAATCTGCTGTCAATCTCCGTACAAGTTATTGATAGAAGATCTTGCATTAAACTTGCAGCCATGTTGAGTACGTAACATTATTACAGGCATTGGACAAAAATTTATTATTTCTTGTTCTCTAACCATTTTAAATGTTTAATCTTTATTGATTGTATCATGAAATATATTACAGTAGACGCTTGATAATTGTTAGTTCGATAATTCGAAGTTCCATAATTGTCGGTTCGATAATTGTCATTCGATAATTCACGATCGATAATTCCATTCGTTAATTGATCACTGGGATCGCCCCTTGTCTATACCTATCTGTCATACACGTGCGCACACCCCACTCTGTCGTCCAGCACGTTCAGGACGCAATACATATTACGGTGTCGTATTTAACTCGCATACTATTCATTACAGAAAGTGTGGTGTGGGGTGTATATATTATTGTCTTAATAAATTTAGCCACGTTCCCTAATGTTTGCTCTACAAACAAAAAAATAAAAAATTACCAAAAAAAAACAAGAGATTCTTGCTGTTTACAGCTAGCGAGTAAAGAAGCTAGCAACAAGAATCAATTGATCAAAATGAACAAGCTCGCAGCCAATTTGCTCATATTATTTGCTATATAATTCGTCAACTTGTAGGTGATTATGACTGTTAATTATATGCCAAATAATAATGATTGCCCAGGTCTCACCACGTGGAGGTTGCTGCGAATGGAGACCCACCCCCCATCACGCCTACACCGCCCCACCCTTTGTGCTTTTTGCAACATTTACCCCAACGAATCTAGTTGTTGATTTAATCGAAACAATCCCCAAGATCTTTATATGACGAGAACTCTTCACGTGAACTTCATATTAAGAAAGAGAAATCTTCGTATGAAGTTCATGTGAAGCGTGAACTCATGATATGTGATCATCAGAATGAAGAGATGTCTTCATATGATGCTTTCTGAAACATACCCTGAAAGATTAGAACGATACATTATTATTTGTCTTTATATGTGATTTTCAGATGAAGAGATGTTTTCGTTTGATGATTTCTGAAACATACCCTGAAAGATTAGAATGATACATTATTTTGGTCTTCAGATGAGATGTCATATGATGATTTCTGAAACAGAAACTCAAAGAAATTTGATATTACCACGATCCCTGAAACAGAAGTACAAAGAATCACAACAAAACATATTAATGGACATTTCATTATGCATACATTTGAATAACAATTGCAATAACAATTTCAATAATAACATGTAATAAGAATACAAGAATACCAACACATTTTTATAGATATTTTAGTTCGATAATAGAAACACAGTATATATCACAATAAAACATAGTTATAGACATTTCATTTTGCATACATTTCAATAAGAATTTCAATAACAACATATATATGATAAGAATAAATAATATAATAACATGTTTTTATAGACATTTTATTTAGGTGGAGTTGAAATTTAATCCCACGACGACACCTAATCTGAAACAGAAATTCGATACATGGTATTATCTTCTCATGTTGACAAACTTGTGTTAATTGTAGGAATTTATGTAGATCATCTGAAACAAACTAATTCATTGGATAAGAAGCTGAAAAGGAAACGGGTTAGTACACACAAAATATTAAGAATATCAGTCTATTTATCTATTTTATCGAAAAAAATGAATTTATCAGAATGGTAGAGACTCGACTATTAGGCAAATGAATTTAAACAAAAAATGAATTATGTCTCTGTGCAAAGATGAAACAAGAATAGATTTTATCATCACAATCATTTGTGATATGCAATAATCAATATTTAACACAATAAAAGCATTTAAATCGAAATAATCGCATTTTACTGTATCGAAATTGAAATTATACTCGTATAGAGATAGCAATAACGAATTAACGGCGACTCTACTTGAGAAGTTGCTATCAATATGAAGTGTCGCATTTGCATTTGCATATTTTTTCAGCTGCAAGCTTATCATTAATTTTCAAGTTTAGCAACAATCGCGAAGAAACTTTGATCTTTGCAGTGAGATTCCACAAATTTACAAAAATGTACACTACTTTGATATCAATATTGTATGCAAATAACGTATTACGATTGAACAAGTAATCTACTAACAATTCTAACAACAAATAGTCATGCCTACTTCAAAAGACTCTAATTAATCTTTAATCTAAAATTGACTTTAATTTTCATTATCCTTGTGTCAAATGTCAGTATTTAATCAAATCTTCAATCAAAATATATAATATTCAATGTGTATTAATGGTTCAAGAAATTACAAAAGAATGAACACTTTTCTTTACAAAATAAATATTTTTTTCAGCAGTATTTCCAACACAAACACTTGGCAAATAATACAGAAACAGAAAAATAACAGCCACAATAGGCCGCTGAATCTGTCCACTCTTTACATTTCATTTCATTAAAAAGAGAATCCGTGAGTGGACAATGATATTTCTTTACGCAACACTAAATTGAATATAATATGAAAAAACTCCCGAGAGCAGCCACGTAGGGCATTTATCACTCGCAACACTAATCATTTAATGTCAATTGATGTTCAAAAGATTCTCAAAAAACGCGAGTGGTGCTTTCTTTGCTCGCCACGCTAATTTCATAAATATAAAAATGAAAAAACTCCCGTGCACCTTCGTCTCACAATACGCAACACTAACTTTAGGTTGAAATAAACAGGGCAACCATTTTGGGCTGCGTGCGAACCACTTTTTGCAGCAATATAAGCTGCTGCTTTGTGGTTCTGATAATGGTTGCAGCATAGTTTTGGGCGTTTCATTGATAGCAACACTAATACAAACCCGATCGATTCATCTCGCAACACTAATTCAACAAAAGACAAGGACTATATGAATCAATTAAAATTGTGATCTTTAATCCAACAAGACTTTCATTCAAATAATAAGTATAAACAATCGCGCTCAGTCATTATCGCAACACTACCCTGAAAATATAAAAATGATTTTAATACAAACACGATTTCATCATTCGCAACACTACCCTGAAAATATAAAAATGATTTTAATGCAAACACGATTTCATCATTCGCAACACTACCCTGAAAATATAAAAATGATTTTAATGCAAACACGATTTCATCATTCGCAACACTATTCTCCAAGCAATTAGGAATATCAATATTAACAATTTACAAGGCTAATGCAACCCGTGATCTAATCTCATCCGCAACACTAATTCAAACCGCGATTTTGCCCAAACTTGCTGTTCGTTGGGCCGGGTACATTGGCCAAAAATACTAACTACTACACAACTACAAGCGAGTACAGTGACAAAGTAGTAATGACTCCGCATCCGAAGATGCAGAGCCATTCGTTGCTGCCCTCTTCGATACACAGTTTGTGTTGGGCCACTTCTTTTCTTCGGCGGTCCGCCCGAATCTGAAATCCTGAAACTGCTCGGGTTGTGGACGATCAACCGAACTCGCAAGAGTCTTGTACGATCGTACCACGAGTGCAATCGAGCAGGTCGTTCGTTTCGACGTTCCTATCCTTCCGACCGCGACCGCGACACAGCTATTTGACCAATTTGAAGAATCGAAATCGAAACCAGAAGCAGACAGCATGCTCCGTCTGGATCAGTTTCGAATCGACGCTACAATTGATCCCGGTAGCAGGACTATCACGCGAAATGGGGGGCCTACCCGATCAGAGACTGTGATAGCCTGCCCCGGCCCCTGCCTACTTACAATCTAATCGTACAGTCACACACAAGAAAGTATGCTACCTACCTACCTAACCCTATATTTAAAAAGAAATAGCAAAAAACAGATTTTCACCAACACACAACACTCCACGGTTCTCAAGCATACGCCCGGGTGCAAGTTAGCCTAACACCTAGGGAGGACGTCCCGGGACGCCTCCGACACCCGAGCGTAATACACAACTTTCACGCTCTATATAGGTACGTACCATATTCCTGAAATCGACTGGCAAAGACTAGCATCCATTGCGAGAATAGAAAAATTCTCTAAGTATTATAAGTACGTATATTTGGTGTACTTTAAATCGATTACGTGTTAAATTGCTCGCATGATAACGAGAGACTCGAAATCAGTACATATTCCATGGACATTTTATTATAGACATTGTATAAAGCAAAGGAATATGTACGACCGATACCGGAAATTGTGAAAAAAAATTGTTCCAAGGTACAATTACAGATGAATTGTTAATTGATAGAAATGGAAACCGACGCAATTCCACTGCCTAACCACACACACAAGTGGAAAATACGTCGTGCACGGTAAGCTAACTTTGCCAGTCGCATACAAATGTTATTTATGTGAAATCAAGTCATCGTTCCCCGTTGCTCTCACCCAATCAAGTAGCACCTGGGCACGTGAAAGGGTTCGAGCAACGAACACGGAATCAATATCCTGAAAATCCTAATTAAAAAATATATTACATAGTTCATTCTCTTCTAACGGGCTAATATTCTATTGGAATAAAAGTGACTCGACTTTGTATTAATAAAAATTGAAAAGCAAGTATTAATTATTTGTTAATATTGTATAATTTAATTGTCAAGGCTCTAAGCAAGATTCTGCAGTTAGATACATGACTCTAGATATATTGAACAATCCTCGGGCGATCCCGTCGTCAAAGCCAATGTAAGATATACAAAATATAAGTATCACAGACACGTTACTTTGGCTCAGAGATCTACCCGTCGCGAAATGCCTTCTTGTACATGGTCTCTAATATCACATACGTCTAGAACATTACGTTCTAGCTCAATCTATGTGTATCAAAATGCGCTACTTAATTTTTATATCTGTCTTCGAGTAACGTGGTAGTATGTATTTGATATAATTATTCCCAGTTTCATTAGTAAAATATACAAACAAGCATTATATATTGATCAGTGATGCTTCTAGAATATTCCTATTTGTATTAAAGACATAAATAAAGACAAATATATCTTCGATACAAAATAAGAATATTCATGAAGCATCACTGACCAATATGCAATGCTTGTTTGTACATTTTACTAATACTGCGTTTAAATGATAAATAAATTTAGCTTATATTAATTTTCTTATTTCATTACAAATGACGGTAAAACTTTTGAGAATAATAAATAACACACTAACAGGTGAAATCAAAAGTGATTAACATACTAACGATCATAAAAATTGACTCTATTACCAGAGTTGTCCAAATGCCACCCACGAGCTACAAGCAATTACAAGCCTCCCCTCGTGGGTTTCCCCGACTACCGATCTCAGATTGACTCCAGCGAGTCAACCAGAGACCCGTAGTGGGGGTACCTCCGGAAGGGAAGAATGCTGCTCGCAAGTGGTAGATGGACACCTCTGGTCCTGTTCTTTTTAAGACTTTACAAATACTCGTTTCTTCTGAGTACATACATGTACGTCTACCATACCGATATATTTAAGGAACATTGTATACATACTGGCCAAACACAGTAGTACCTTCCCTGCATTCAACGCTCACACTCCATTAAAGTGGTCGTGAGTACACGCCAGCACGTTTCGATATACATATTACTACCCCCGTGTGTACGTAAAACTGGATAAAATTCTTTGCTATTGGCAAATCAAAACGACCGGTCACGACAATGATTGTGGAATAATTTAACACGTGTGCACCCGTGTTAAATTATTCCATAACACATGTATTTTCACGGGGGTGTGCATACCGATGCACAGACGACGTAAATCGACACGTCTTCGTTTTATGGACCGATACTTTATAGGGATTTGGAAATACGAATGAAACCTGAAACACTGGTTTCAATTTTTGAAACGTGCTGCCGTGTCTCGTGGCGTATTGCGCTAACTGCTGTGTGTAATATGCACATCTAAAAAGGCACCACAATGTTTTCCCCTCTACTTTAAACATATCGGCATGGTTTCCGTTCTTTCGATTCTATAGTCGACATATATTTCATACATTAATGTGTTCAGTATTATTTTTCAATCAATTGACCGTACTTGTAAACAACACTAGAATAATTTTTATGTAATCGTCTTGATTGATAGAATAAATTTAGTGTAATGGTTTCGATATGACAATATTAATATACGAATAATTGCCATCAAGTTACCGCATTCTTTAGTTAACTGAATAATATAGTACCACGTTCTCGATTAATAAAAAAATATCAATTGTTGTAAACAATAGGACTTCTGGTCCCAAAATATCAAAGATCAATATTAATCAATAATTTCACGTTAAGTTAATATTCGTTTATAAATATACTTTCAATGCAAAATATTTCTGAATTATATTATTAATAATAAACGCGGCGTACAAGAAGACCCTAGCCTATCTAAGAAATACAACAGATCGATGTCACTACTCGCGGATATGATTGCATATCCGCGTTCACTGTACTCGCAATATTAAGCACGTATACAACCAGTCACCCGTGCCGTTTCGGACCAATCGTCCTACGACATGATTGGGGACCAGAGGAACAAAAAGCATGCGACTCACCCGATGACAGAAGGGCTCCGTCTAAGACTCTAGGAATCTGGAAAAAAAAAAGGAACAAAATGCGTTACAATCTCTTCTCAACATTTTAGCTATTTCGATTGAATAATGTAAGTAAGAAAATTTAAAGATGCTTACAGTCTTGGCGGGTGGAGCTTCGCCCGAGGACATCCTCTGGAATAGTCGTTGATACAGCGCCTGATGAATCTGATAAAAAAGAAACAAAAATCGTTACGACATCCTCTCAAAATTCAAGCTGTTTCAATTGAATACTGTAAATAATAGAATATAAAGATACTTACATCCTCTGTAAACAGAGCTGCGCAAAAATATTTTCTTCGGTGATGCATTGACTCTACTTTCGCGACTCAAAAAGCAAAAAGTGTCCCGACACTCTGACAGTAATTGATAACACGCAATAAACACTGACTCTAATTTCGCGAAAACCTAACATCTCCGGTGAGATTCTACACGGAGCCAGTTCGCTCCGCATAAACTTTTAAAAATCTTGTACGATATAAACACTGACTCTATTCGACCGCATTGCGCGCGGCCACAAAATTCTCTGAAAGAAAAGTACATGGGAAATACAAGGCACACTTGTGCCTGCCTACTGTTTTAGTTTCTGTATCCTACCAAGTGTTTGTCGAGAAAATATTGCCTTTCAATAATTCACATCAGTTCAAACATTATTAAATATTACAGAATAATTATTCAATTCAATATAAATATGTCAAATTTGTTAGACATATATATTTAATAATTATGTATTATATTAAAGACATTTGTTGTTAGAGCTGTAAGCACTTTCATTTTTTCTATCTAAACCGCGTCCCGATTTTTGTGAATATTCAGAAAATCATTGCAAATATCAAAGTTTCGTTATTTACCCATGCTTCGATGAGCATGGTGAATTACGCAGTATTTATTATAATCAAACTTACAACCGAAACAGTATGCAAATGCAAACCCGATGATTCCATAAAGATAGACAGGTGAAATTAATAATTATTAAAACAATTTCGCGACCGTGACGCAGTAAATTGCGAATATTTCGAATATAAATGCTTGAAACTAATATTCAAATTTTCTAACAGCCACGGTAGCCATTTTGAATTCTTCAACTGCGCATTTAAATTCAAAGTACGTATCGGCAGAATTCTCGTTCGACCTTTGCACAATAAATAGCAAAATCGCGATCATGCTTACAGCCAAACGCAATAGAAACACGATAAAATGAACATATATAATAGACTGTCACCTATTTGTTACAACAAATTACCACGTTCCACCAATTTTCCGGCGTGTTGCTACTGTCATGGCGTCGGTGGCACGTCCTTTCCAGCCAGTCCTCTGAAACAGAAAGTAAACGCGTTTATTCCAAGCAATTGCATCAAATTACCAATGGTTTCGTTACAAATAAACAACTACTGTGCCCGAGGTGTGCCGTAAAAGATTGTAAATTGAATCAGAAATGCGTAAATACTTCGGCGTAGATAAAGAAAGTCGCGAAAACCGATCACCTTGTCCCGTAATATCAAATTAATTTACAATAATTTACTGTAAAATGAATAAATATTAAACGAAAGTAACGATAGAGAGTTAATGAACGCACTAATAATTTGTATAAATGATTGAACGTGAAAAGTAAAGGACACGTACTCTTCGACGGGAGCGAGTTCACTTCACGTCTTATCACTTCGACTTCTTCGAGACAAATGACCCTTAGGCCGTCTTCGACTGGCCGACATCGGTGGATTCGGCTACCTTAGCAGGACCGTGATTGGTGGATCGTTGGTCGAGGGTAGTCCCCCTTTCTGCCCCACTCGAATTTCTATGTTAACGAAATAATATATTCAGTACCATGTTACGCCTCGGTACGACCTTTTTTTTTCAACGGGCATCGAACTGAATGACTCGGAGAAAAACAAACGCACAAGGACATTGTCCTAGAAATTTCATTTCGCAGCACTCGGAGCACTCCTAAGGTTATAAACAATGTCAAAGCCATATGTATTATGTGCCTCTGGTCGACCAATTTTCGAAAATTTGCGTTCCAATGTACCCTACGACTAATGAATGAATTCAACTGCGTACATATCCCAGGCTATCTCCGAAAATATTTTATTTTACTTCGTTTTAAATGGAAAGTATTGATGTACAATGTCTTGTGGTATTTTTACTGCCTCTTTCTCGATGTTTTGAAACACAGGGTATTTTTCCATTCCATGTCAAACGGATCACTTTTTAAATGATGCCAGGGATTTTGCTCAAATTGAAATATATGTTTCAGAAAGTTAAATATTGTTAAAGTATTAAACTGAAATAGGTGTATTATTGTATACAGATTGAGTTAACCGTGTAACCAAGTTTTTGTATTCTTAACAAAATTGGAAATCGAGGAAGCCGATTTGTCGAACCTGCAGCAAAGTTGCAAGTCAGTTTTGCAAGTCCTGAAATTTGAGAGCTCCGTTATGCGATAACATTCGTCACCATTGTTGTTATGACGGGGTGGTTGCCTTTAAATGGTGCAAACAATGAAAAATCATATAAATCGTACGTCTATCTAATTTTGAATAAAGTATGTTCGGTTATTGTTTCATTGTGTAACATATTACTTAAGTTAAATGTAGTTACAACGGCGTGTCGCAATTGTTACGTTTCGAAAATGATTACAGCTCTGTTCCGGAGGGATGAAACCCTTCCTCCATCGTGAGGAAATTTGTTGGCTTCTCGACGAGTATAAAAGATCTTTCTAGTTGGACCAGTGACAGTACATCTTGACTCAAAGTTTCTTATCCTCGGTCTGGTAAACGGGAAACCTGAAGTAAACACTAGCATGTAAGTTACATCCTATCGACTTCAAAATTTTCCTTACTAATTGTATTTATTTACAAATGTACATTTCTTGGAATTAATGTTCGAGAAGAACAGACTCATTCATTACGTAAATTCAAGTGATTCCTTTTGGTATTTCTTTGGTGAACTAATTTTTTTATGACATTTGTGTTCGATCTTATCTACAGGACATCGAATTTGCTGTACATGGCCATTTTAATCACACTTTTCGAATTTGAAACGAGCACCGCCTCGAGAACACCGCAGTCAACCGAAATCATGAACAACGTTCAAACACCGTTAATTATGACGCACAAATTTCCCAACATGGTAACTGCCTCAATGATTTATCAAAACCAAAAATATCATTCTTGATGTACATTTAATTGTTCATGTTTATATTTAACTTTAACTGAAATCCGATGCAGGACAATTCGGACGACAGAGAGGACAGATTCTGCGAGATAGAGTACCAAGTTGTAAGTCTCAAAAATCATCTGCAATTTACGTGCATTTTTGAAATCGTCCTTTTTCAACAATATTTTAATGGAACTTGAATTAAATTTTAGACCAGGAAGAAAATAGGAAAGTGCGTCAAATTGGGTCACGGGCTGAACGGCTGCATTTCCGGAGAATACATGAACCCTTTTCATCCCGATTGCTTCTAAAAAATTTCCCACTAAATTCTAAAGTAAATTATAAAAAATCTCACGAGATCTCATTAAGTACTGTATCTTTAAATGCATATGTTCCTTGAATAAAAATGTTCGTCTCTTATTTATACTGCTACATAAATTCCACCGGTCAACAGATATTAACTTTTTTTCAGATTTCTAACAATCACTAGCCATTTCTTGCAGACTTTTGTGCCCTGAATACGAATCTGCAAACAGTTTTTCGCCAGCGTCCTTGGTTTTCCAGAAAATTGATTTTGAAAAAAATGCAGATTTTCCACTTTGAACATTTTTTGTTTAAGCAGTAATAATTATTCGGTTAATTGTCGCGTCAAATTATTCTATAGACAGACTGTTGAGTAATGTTACATTTTTCGAATCTGTAATTTAGCCTGCAATTTTATAACCATTTCAACATTTCTTTCGAAACTATTGTATTTAATCGATCCTTCTATTTTTCGTACGTAAAAATTGTATATTACGACGCGAAAGAATCGTTTCTCTTCGAGTCTTAATTAAACTACCACGAACGATTCGCTGGTATCAAACAAATCCAAGTCTCGAAAGACGAATGGCCAGGATTTGACGCGTCGCCACCCTCATGAAGAAATACTGGCGGTCGTGTTTCCGGCCACCGGTAACAAAGAAACACTGTTTTCCCGGTCAATTTCGTTAAATTCCTGCGATACGGAGCGGTGGGGCTGACGCTATAAAGTCATTGGGAACGGAAAGAGATTCCTCAGGATCGCGAACAACCCCCAAATGGACGGACTTCGAGTGTTCACAGGGACTTGGGCGGCCCTGCTTCTCTGTGGATTCTCACCGTGGGTTTATGGGAAATTCATTTCTGACAATTTTGGTAAGATCGAAACGATGATATAGTGAAACCTTTATTAAGGCAACTGGCCAAGCGAAATGATGTCAGGATAATTAAATTTTTCTAAGTAAATGATATAATAAATAAATAATAAATATAATCTTGTTGTATGTATGTTATAGAAGACAAATTAACAGCCCTGTCTAAGGTGGTCGATTATATCCATCAGAGACCTGGTCAAATGAACGCCGATGCAACCTTTTCTGTCACTATTGTTGAAGGTAGACACTCAGAATGATATACCTTACGCTTCAATAATAAATAACGTTAAATAATACACAGGCGGATAACGGAAAAGGTTTCGTAATTTCTAAGGTAGTTAGTACTCACCAAATGATGAAAAAAAGTTCTAAGAAACATGGCTCGAAAGATTAATATTTTCAATATTATAACAATTTTTGAAAGCAAGTGACTTTCTCCCTTAGGGAGCTATTGTACCATATGGAAAAAATGGATTATCCTGTTATTTCTTCTTTTTCTGGATACAGAAGGTTTTCTACAATTTTTGTTAGTTTCTTCACAATGTTCTTCATTGTTTCCATACAGAACGATAGCTCCCTAAGGTAGAGGGTCACTTGCTTTAAAAAATTGTTATAACTTTGAAAATATTAAATTTTCGACCGATATTTATTAGAACTTTTTTTCCATCGTTTAGTGGATACTATCTACCCCATATGTTATGAACTCTTTTTTTTCTTATCACCACAGGGTATTAGTAAAATTAATGTCATCTAGAAAGTTGTTTGTTGCAATAGCTAATATAGCCGCCACTCTGTTGGACAAAAATGCGCAATACCTTGAAGAGAAATATTGGAGTACTTTAATGAGAATGTTGAAGCTCTGTGACCAAATACGACGGTACCTATTAGACCGTCTCGTTCCAGAAAGTGAGGACGTCCGATTATGTGTGTAATTTATCCACTGACCTGTAAAAATCCTTTTATTAGATATTTTCTAGTTTTCAGAAGTAAAATTCTTGAATTACAGTACACGATACATTGAACAATCCTGCTCTATGGATGAAACATATATTCTGGCAAGATGGCGTCCTTCAGAGAGGAAGTGAAACAGTTGACTTAACTTATCAGGACATCCGGGATTTGATAATGCAAGGTACTCCCAAAGAAGAAGAAAGTGATCAATGTCTTGGGGAAATTGTTAGGAACAATTTGAAGTCTCATCATCAGATGCCTGAAGTATGCATAGAGATATTAATGAGACGGGACTTGGCTAGGGGATATCCGTTGACTCACAGACTGCTGATCATCCAAGTAGCTCAAACGGTTTGTGATATTTCCATTTAACATTTTTATACCTAGAAGGTCCGATCAAAAAAGGAAAACAATACTGAAATAATAGATAATCAGTGTAGCATACCCTACAAAAGCTAGAAAAAAAGAAAGACAAGTTATTCGTTCGGTGATACCAGTACATTTAGTACAACACTTTCGAATTTGTCTTAGAATTATTGACAAAATTGATTTTTACAATTCAGAGAATAATTTTATCAAGTAACAAATCCTTTTTCGATAATAAATCCTGCTTTTAATAGGAAGAATATTTCTTAAAATATTTGGTGTTCAGTGCCTTCGGACACTCATCGAGGATTTACTGTAGTCCTTCCAGTATTACAAATCTTCAGATGTCTTTTAATTATTTCCAGTTGAGCTGTGAGCGTGGTTTACCTGTACGGTCATCTGACCTGATTCTTTCTTACTGTTCCTCGATCCTTCGAGATCTCGTAGACGTTGAAGCAGCTGGATTTCCTTATCAGACTCCAGATTTGATGATGGAACAAGGTAAAGAAACAAGACAATATTTTTTTACTGTCATTGTGTTTCTTCATTATTCTCTGTATTTGAAGTTCTTCTGTGCGGTATGGAGGGCTTCCTCGAGTTTACAGGCGGCCATTACGAACGGTTGGTGTTGGCTTGGGCTCATCCTAGCGGATGCTTTAGTTCCTTCGGGTACGTATCCTCGATGAATGAAAATCTTCCTTCTTACAATAAATATAAAAGTTTATACAATTTTATTTATCATTTTACTTTTTCAATTCATTATTTTCCAATTACCTATACAAATTATTATTCATCTTTCATTTTTTATTCGGAATTCAAGAGATTGTGGCCCATCACTTTTTCTGCCTGATTCACTTTTCCTAAATTACGCATGTAACGGGGCCACGATCTCTTGAATTTTGACTGAAATAAAAGATTAATAATTGTGTACAGAGTGTTCTGAAATTCTTCCAGGAACAAATATGCCGAAAGTCCGTTACGCATGGTCCGAAGAGCCTCAACGCCAACGGACTTCGGTTGCGACAGCCACGCCACTGGCCTCGCCGCGGCGTCTCTTTCTCTGTTCGTTCGCGAGAACGTGGAGAACCTATTTACATAAACGTTGGACATATTTCTTTGTTGAATAAACACACGCAAGCTTGTCAGTAAACTTCCATACTAAAATTCCAATCCTAATGTAAAAATTCTTCAAGTTCCTCTTGATACAAAATGATTCCATTAAAATCTTGCCATTGTAATCGTTCACGTTTTTATTCACGAGCATCAATCACATTTCTTCTTTGACCAATTACTAGCTGAGATACCTTGTATAGTTCACCATTTTTAATCCATTTCTTGTCAAGAATTCTATTCTTCAACCTTCGTTTTGCTCTCTTGAAACGAAAAATCGTCGCTTCGATCGTTGGCCCGGACGAAGAGGGGGCAGATATTTATTAGAAACAAGAATAATTTATTTCACGTCGTGGTAACAAACAATTACAAATCGTAGATCGGTGCGCGTTACAAAAAGCCGTCGACGCGTACCAGCGAGTTGGAGTACATAAGTGGAAGGGGGAGTTCGAGAGGCGGGAAGTGAGACGGAGTGAAAATAAATAAGTCAGTCGTTAACCTTGCGTAGGAGAGACTGGTTCTCGCAGAGGCGGTGTGTGGCAACGCGTATATTTTTGCATACGCTTAACATTTTCGTTATCCTTGAAAATGGAATCTATTCCCGTCCCGTTCGCGAGGATCGACGGCCCGCCATTTTGGTGTCGCGATGGCGAACCGGACGGGGAAACGGCGTTTGTCGCTGATCAGACTGAAGAAACCGTTTTCCCGGCGTTCGAACGGTCTTTTTTGTGCACACGTTCCATTTATACATAATATAAAATAATAATATATATTACATACGTATATAATGTACCCCTCGATTAATTATCAATGTTTATCTGAATGGGTTTTAAAATTATTTTAAGGACGTCGAATGAGGCGTTCATGTCTTGTGGGTTTCATTAATTATATTGAAGAATTGTTTATCGAAGAAGGTTCAAACTTGTAATAGTTTATCCCGAAGAGTCTTATGTCGAAGATACTTCAAGTGTAAATTGAAGATTTCTTCGCCCAAGAGGCATAAAATTGTACAATAATCCAACTCGATACGCCTATGTTGAAGAATTCTGTAATGGTAACAAAGTAGAAGTCTTCTTAAACATGGAAGATGGAAGACAGCGCGAGGGTTCCGATAATTAATCGAGGGAGCAATCTCGGTGCCATAAATATATTCTAATCTACCGTTTCGCGATTAGTCCTGCATTACGAAACACGATTACGCGATTCCACGATAAATCTTCAGCCGGTGTGCCTCGTGCTTTGGTGCGATTGCGCTGAATTGAACTTTAAGCGACCCCTCTCGGAAGCAATTAGACTGTCCCCCGTTAGTTTTATCTCTCAGCGACCGAACAAAAAAAAAAAAAATGGAATCATTCTAATTCCTTCGATGGGGAAGAATTCTGTCTGATCGTTCTCTCCTCGTGAGTCTTTTCCCAGATCCTTTTCAAGGTCGTCGGTAGTTATAGGGTCTTCCATACGGGCCCATTCTGCTGTTCATTTTGTCGTACCTCAATTGCTGGAAATAGCTGTACACGACCAGCCAGAGGTACGTGTAAATCACTGAAAGAAAAGGAAAGTATAATTTATATCAATTTTTTCAGAAATTAATTTTTAACCTTTGTGCCACCGTTAGGGTCGATTTGTAAATTTATTTGACATCAATAACTTAAATACATTATAATCTAGTGGCGGGCAAATATATTTCCTTGACTAAATTTTAATACAGGCTCAATGCAATTGAAAAAATAATGTTGCAATGGTTTATTGAATAGTGCACTTAAGGATTGACACTAGAATTATCAAACACACACTTGTTTTTACTTCTGTCACCGTTGGTAAAAGGAACCTGAGCTTGTTGAAAACATGTAAATCGATAAATTAACAATTTTTTTCACTTATATGTGTTGAATAGTCTAAAAAAATTGAACTTATCACTTATTTGGTGTTACATCGATTTACGTTACAATAATATGGAAGCACTTTTTGTTTATGTTTTTAATGTGGTTTCAACTGCTTTGGTAGGTTCTAAGTGTTAAATGTAGTGAATACAGAGGAGAATATAGAACACTCACCAACAGTTAGGAGGCCGACCACGAGCCAGAGAACACCGTTTATGACCTCATGATTCACGAAGAACATGATCGACGTGTAAAGGACGCTGACCAGCAGACCGATTGCTAGGATTATACCCAGAACCACCCACGGCACCATCATAAACGTGTTCCGCTATTAACACGAAAAAGTAGTGTTCTAATTTAATTTCAGAGTATATCCAATGTATAGTAAAATAGCTTTAAAGATTCAATTTGTTCTAATAATACACAAGATTTCAATTGATTAATTTACGGTTTATTCTTACTTTGATAACGCCGACAATAAGTAACGTCGAGATCAAGATCGTCATGCATAGATTTATGGCGAAAATGATCTTGACTATACTCTGGTCCAGCACATCGATCAGTATTGTCTTCCATTCTACGTTGAGTGTGAAGATCATGATCAACGAGATGATCGAGAGGATCTGAGCGATAATAAAGATAAGAATTAATCGACGATCAATTTTGGGAAACCACTGAGGGATAAATGATACTGAAAAAAAAATAGGTGTATCGAAGATCAATTTTAGGGAACAATTAGAAGGTCAAAGTATTAAAATATCGATCGAAGTATCGATCATTGTGGGACGATTAAATAATTAAAAAGATCGTTGTATTATTGATCGAAATGTTGAATAAAAGTAATTAAATACTAATATAAATTATTAAAAAATTAATAATATAAATATTAAAAAATGTACTCACTATTCCGAGTACTCCGGTGAATATTGTACCCGCCTTCAACGAGTAACATCTACAACACGTTGCCAGCTGCATCCTGAAAAATTGTGTTACAAGTTAAAAGTGAAAGAAAATAGAGAGACAATTTTTATTTCTTTGTTGTTCGAAATTATTTGTCGTTCGACGGATCTTTTGTTTGTATAACGTATACGAACCGAGTGAATTTGGATCACGAGTAGAAATAGAATCAGAGTGCTCGTGTATTTTTAAAACCGATCGACAATCGATTCCTCATTCCTGTTCAAAGATTACCGTCTATTTATTTATAATCTACCAAAACACAATTCTACTTAATAAATAAACAAAAGTGTTGATGTAATGTGTATTTAATTACCACTCACTTTAATGCGAAATATATTTTAACTATTGTACATACATTTATGTATAAAAAATTACAGTACAAGCTGTAAGATATTAATTTGGAAGATAATTAAAGTTGACAAATTCAGTAACTACATTTGCCAACGTGCAGAAATTCTAATAAATACAAAATTGTATGCAACATCATTAATACCCATACTTTATTGCGTTATCGTAAACGTAAATGTAAATGGGAGTAAAAATAGGCAAGAAAAGAGAATTATGTTCTAAATCATAAAGTTAACTTATAAGCTAACGGTCATTCTGTGAATAAATAAATGTTAAACAAGAATTTAAATAGTTCCTTTCTATTTTCAACAGATTCCTTTTTAATGCTATTCCTTAAATGTCATCGAAACACTTTTTCTTCCTTTCACTCTTCATTTCTGTCGATTTCCACGTTTCTCGTGACTCCGATGAATCGTCACAACAAACCACGAGCAGAATGTCTTTGCCTGCCTCAATGGCGTAATCGTCGAATTAGCATGTCGTGCGGCGTTACGTCGACGCTGACTACACGATGCGTCGTTCACCTTGCTCATTTTTATTTCAGGCTAAACACGACGCAGAAAATTTTTGAAAATCACTCCGCGTGTTAAGGAGACCGCCTCGCGATGACAGAGTCGAATCATTCTCGTGAAGAACGAACATACGCGTCGACAGAAGTATGTACAGACTCATCTCGATTATTGTCCCGAACTCAAGTCAGTGGCGGGACAATAATCTGATGTCTATATAAAATACGCCACGCGTGGAACTGACGCAAAAGCTTATGGAATTATTTGGCACCAAGGTCTAAGCAATGTTGTTTGAGTCAGGGCAATTCGAGGCGTCGTACGGCGACACAAGAATTACAAAATCGTGGAAGAATCAAGGGGAACCGGCGATGACGTGTGATTCCACGTTCGCGATCACGGCGAAGTTTAATTCGCGTCGCGACGAGAATAGAGGGAATATGGGTCATTGGCATAGGTGGCCAGGCGTCTATTTTAACATCCTCAGCGGTTTTCGGTCTCCCCGTCGCTGACCTTCCTTTCTGCGTTTATTATTCCTCCGGACGGTCGTATCCGGTCTCGAAACAGAAGGAAACACCCTTCTGACAACAACGAATACCGATCCTATTAGTCCTTTGCCAATTTGAAAAGCTGACACCAACTGTGTGTGTATCGCACTTCCATCGAATCGAGCAATAAATTATCGCCAGTGGTTCTGAATTCTAGTAAGAGATGGATATTGAAAGGAAATAAGTCAGAGTGCAGTTAGGAGGTAGGGTATAAATTGACGATGAAAGTACTTAGGAAAATTCGTAATTTTCAGTATTCCCTCTATAAGATCTCGCGTTGTGACACCCATAACCTCACACAGTTACCCCCAGCACCCCCTAGCGTCAAAACCTCGAACCATCTTCCCAATATCTCTCCATTTTCGCACCCTTGAAGGGGCTGTAGTCCTGGGCCCCACGTCCCAGGGGGGCCCCGTTTTGAACCTTCCATTTCGTTATGGTAACAATGTTATCTAATTTTGTTTAACATAAATTATTGTGCTGTATTACAAAAAATTCCCCGCTTTTCAACCAAGGAGGCCTCAGAAAATCTGATAAACCAGGACCACAAAAAATCTTAATTCGGGCCTGACTTCAACTTAAACACTATTAAACTAGATAATTGTTATATAGTGAGCCTGTAATATACCAAGTATACTAAGGAACCAACAATTTCTCTCAATGTGATCCCCCGACAATATTCTCGGTTCTTTATCGGACGCACGTCATTTAACAGCAATTACATTTCTCCCTCTGGGCCCGTTTATTTTCTCCGATCGTGTTTCAGCGAAAACAACCGGGCTCGTTGATCCGATGGATCGTCCAGTGGCAATTAAGCGGCTCGTAATTAATTGAGATGAGAGCCGCGGGCGAAAATGCCCGAGATATCTGGAGCGAGGCTCGACGCGGCGGATCCGAGTCACGGTTAATTCACCTTCCGCAATTGGCCGTTGTGTCACCCTCCGGTGCCTGAATCGTCGATCCTTACAAGGCTCGAGGCGACAGAAAACGGAGGAAGTGAAGGAGATTGTCCAGCGTCGACCGGTGTATACTACTGATCACAGTCAGCCACGTGACTACTCGTGTGTACGTTTCCTTTGATCTCAAAGATTAACATAATATCCTTCGAATGTAGAAATTGGTTAAACAGTTACAAGTTTGCCCTTTTGAGACAAGAATGTTATTTGAACATATTAGATCATTTCGTAAATTTGTGACGATTTTTTCGAGTGATATTAGTTCCAATTGCATTTGGCCATTAACTTATTAAATATTTAATGTTCAGTTCCGAGCAGCCTTCGAACACTCATAGAGGATTTACTGTAGTTTTCTTAAAAATGGAATGAACAAGGAAGTAAATTTGGAGATTCGATACTCTGATGGTAACGTTAAAAAAGTATGTAACAAATTTACGGAAAGTGTAATTAGATGGAGAAAAGTAGAGATGAATGGAGGCTGGGGAAAAGAAGATCGCCGTGAGATCGGTCTGATACGCGTGACCGTGACGGTCATGGTGAACACGAAAGCGTCGTCGAGGTCTGACAGGCCCCATAAGGAAACGCATCCTCGATCCCTTGTTCCCGCGATTTCTCTCGTTCACCTCGCGCAAAAAGGAACTGTACGTTCGCGTCACCGTCGGCTATATGAAGAACCAGTCTGCTGACATTGCCACCGGCAACATCATCGCATTTCTGCATCGCGATAGATCGCCACGAGATCGTGATTTATCCGATTCTTCGCCGGCATGGATCACGAACCTGACGTATGCGATAAATCTCGAAGTGCGCATCGAAGACTGAAATTGAAAAAAAAAAAAAGTTTTAAAAATCAAATTCACCTCAAAGTGATCGCTAAATTTGACCCCTATATCTTGATCAAGATCACCATGCCTCTATTTCAACACTAAAATTGATCTATCAAACATTTTTGTTAAAACTTCATCCTTCCAAGTTTATTTAGAGTAGGTACTCATCTTTTTGGTAGACATACCTCTATCCATACCTCACACTTTTACACTATATTACAATATTTTTTATTTATTTTTACTTCATCTTTACGTTATGGTTGTTGCAATGTTAGTGTAATACCGATGTATTATTAGAGCTGACCTAACCCTGACTAGTGACTAGTGCAACAACGCTCCTTTACATTGTATTACATCATTGTTCCAGTATTCTTTTTTTATTCTGTCATTGTGTATCATTGTTGCACATTCTAGTTACTGGAATTTTAGTGTAATAGAGACTTATCATTATCACTCTTGGAAATAGATCACTTATTGGAAATAACCCAACCTTGATCAGTGCAGATATTAACAAATCTAATATTCAATTCTATTAAATTAATCATTTAAAATTCGACTTTGATAGTTACAAAATCTCTTAAGTGTTCATACATTGGTGCGTTTACCCTATTTAAATCTTATACAAACACATAAAAATCATCCTCTAGAGGCTCTAAAAACAGTCTAAAAAGTTTCTAAAAAGACAATCACTTTTTTCGGTAAAATAAATCTAGTGAAATCAATTGAGATTAGCGTTCACTAGTCAGAGTCATCGGAGCTGATCGTTCGGCTTAAAAACAGAAGTGACCAGTGGCGAATGCTGTCACGCAAATCACGCGTTCGGTAACGCATTACGGAACACACAACATTTGCACGCAACTAAGCGTGCCCGTCTATAAACGGCGATGATACGTCGAATTAGGTCAGCTTAGGTGAATCGTCGTCGGCTCGTGTCAAAGGCGAAACCGTGGACAAAAACAAAATAGCGTCGATTCTGTTTATCTTAACGGCGGCAGCTTGCCCGTCAACTTCTTATCGGTATCGGTATGATCGACTGGCGAACTCTATTACGTAAACTAGATGGAAATGCGGCCTAAGGAACGAACGACACCGGAAGACTCGTTCGACTCGAACGCACTTTGACGCAGTTTATCTGTCAGGTTTCTTGCAGAAAAAAATCTGTTGCGTCATTGGACGAAGGAAATCATCGTCAGACAGCTTTTTTTATTCACGAGGCAACACGACGTCTTTTGTTTCGTTTGACGACTTGTTCGAGTCACTTCAATTTCGACGTTGCACAAATATAACGATAATCGAATATACTGTGGATAAAAAATTTTTTCAAAAATTGTGGACCGACTTGCTTTGTCTCGTCCGAGTCATTTTAATTTCGACGTTGCACGAATATAATGATAATCGACTGTAGTATGGATACAAACATTTTTTCCAGAAAATATGGATCGACTTTGAAATGCGCTAAAAACTAGACGTAAATAATAATAATAGTTTACAGTAAAAAAAATTGGAAATTTTTTCAAAGAGGACTATCCTTTACAAGATTCAAAAGGTTTCATCTCGATTGGTCTGTTAGTTGCTTCTCTTCGTGGTATATTCGTAAATTTAGTCAAGCCACGTGCGGTTAAACATCGTGTGGTAAAAAAAAAATAGAAAACCACTTGACACGCGTGTTTACGACGCCTGTTCCAATTATTCTTGACCCAAATAGGTCCGTTAATCGGATGTGTGAAGTAAAGGGCGAACCAGCCACTTAGCGGAATTTCGTTTCCTTCGATCGGGGGGCGCTGCCCTTCCGTGGACGAGATATACCCGATGAGATCGATATACCACACGAGTCTTTTATTTAGAATTTCGCCGTTCCCTCGTTCGTAATGGAGCGAACGTATCCGGTTACCATCGAATTTATGGGCCACGATAACGAAAGTTCGTGATACCGTGGCATTGTATCTGTTACTGTACCAGATAACGTTGATTTAATTTTGCAGAAGAACAAATCTGTTGTCTGTGGTACATTTTAGTAATATCTATAACGTGGAACCTAAGTACCATAAGGTGAGTCTGGTAAGGTAAACGTGGGCTCAAAGATCACTTAAATACAGTCACATTTGGAACTTTCAACGGAGATCCAATATGGCCGTCATTGGAAGCCATTGGAATCTGGGTGTTTACGCAGACTCGTATCCTTGTGGAATTGTTTAAAATAATACAAATGAAGTAGAAATACACTTCTTCCATTGTAAATAGAGTAGAGATCTTATTAATCACGGTTAAAGTATCAAGTTCAACAGGTTTGGCGCCATTACACATACGAGTGAGTACAGCAAATACACTTGTTCGGTACGTATACCGATGAAATCGAAAACCTTTAGAGAATATTCTATTTCACGTGCGGCTGGGCGAGTTGAAGGAGAAACGAGTAAAAAAACCGTGATCGTAAGAGTAAGGTCGCGGCGCGTCACCTACGCGTCGCGACGCAGCTTGATCGAGTCGTTTCTCGTTTCCACGTGTACAGTCATGATCGGAATTTCCGATTCAAATCTGTATCGTGGGGGACCTTTTTATTTCTGCAGCATCCGCATCGTCAGGTGGAACGCCGCGCGCGGAATATCGATTTGGAATCGCGAGCCGTTTCTTTCGTAATCGGAACGAGGAAAAACTTTTTCATCGAGCAATAAACAAGAAACAGGAGAAACCGATGGACTACTTGGTATTAATAGATACATTTAACAATCCGCGATGTCATTTGCGGAAGGCTATTGCGAAATCGATATCCAAACGTCCGAAACAAAATGAAATGGAAAGAGATATACTCTACACTATATTGTAGTTTTTTAGTACTACACTTATACTGTGCTATATTGTATCTTGTACTTTATACGATTATACAGGTTGTAACAAAAATGGAGGAATCAGAAATGGGAGACTCGTGAGGTGATTTTAAACAACTTTTTCCTCAGCAAAAATGTTATCCGAGGCTTCGTTAACGAGATATTAACGAAAAACCCCGACCAATCAGAGCGCGAGTCTGCCCACCGAGTTACCGCGGTAACGTTGACCACTAATTTCAGCGCGTGAGGAAAAAGTTGTTTAAAATCACCTTACGAGTCTCCCATTTCCGGGTCCTCCAACATTTTTGTTACACCTGTACACTAAACTATCTATTAAATTAGATTTCGATGTCTGAACAGATCTACGATACTATAGAAACTAAAAGAAACGCTCGGTTCTTGAAGTTCACGTGGATTATCCGGTTCATTCGATCGAGACTCACGTGATCCACGGCGTCTGCACGTTCATGACGCGCGTCTCGAGGCACAGCCTGCCAGGCGCGCTTTATACGTGTTTTCATGGTTCGAGGCCTGGCCTCCTTTTACTTTTCGCGGGGCTCAACGCCGCGTGCCATCTTCTTGCGCTCTTTGCCCACGATTTTCGTGGATCAAGCCGCGAAAACGGCGCCACCCAGGTTCATCGTCGACCTTGCCCGTTTCTATTTTTTCCGTCCCGTGTCTCGATCCCGAGTTATCCGAGTTCATCCGTTTCGTGATCGTCTCTGCTTTTTTTACGACTGGCTGACTCGAAAAATTAAAACAAGATGGCGGCCACAAGGGAGTCAATGTTGCGCTCCAGCGCCAATCGATTCACGATTATTCTTATTTTAATAAAAAAAAATTAGTCTACTATTTGCAATGAAATAAAAAATTTTAGGAATATTAATGACCTCATTTTATGTATGAATCACTTCTGTTTCTTAATGGTCAACACAGATGTTTCTCCGATTCTCTGGTCTTCGGGTTCGTGTCTGAATCATGTTTATCCGAGAGTCTCGATTTCAGTTATTCGAAAAATGCACACAGCTGTTTTCGCCGCTCTTCTGCTCTCGTGGTTCTTCGTATTCCAGCGTCGTCATCTGTTTATCGAAACCGAGAAGCTTCCACACCGGTGTAAACAACAATTCACGGTATCGAACGGCCTTGGAAACATTCACCACGGAACCGTGAAATGTTTATTGCAATATTTCAATATTTCATTGCTATGTTCGAGGTTAAAAGAATTTCCACGTGAATTATATAAAAAATTCGATCGAATAGAGAAATCGACGTGACACGCGAATGGAAAATTCGAGACGCACGCGAGTTCGATGTATTTTTACTTTCAGGGAGGATCGATCTTTGTGAAAAACATCAAAGATGTTTTTCCACATTTTTTTCTTCCGAAAGGATTCTCGTTGGTGTTCGTGAATGGCGTAGAGGCGCAACGGTTATCTTAACGCGTTTGCCAAGGAACGATGGATGTATAAAAATTATTTGCATAACGATAATGTTTACGATAAACACACGCACGTCGCAATTTTTATCGCTTGTCCTCGCTCCACGTCGCGATGCACTTTTTTTCCCCCGCTGACTCTCCGCAGTCAAAGTGGAATTACACCTTTAGTCGTAAAGATTTCAAACGGTTGCATCACAGACTATAAACCTACGAAAGCTATTTTCCTTTTTTCTTTTTTTTTTTTTGTTAAATTCTTCGGTAAATTCGCGCGTAGCAAGTGCAAGCCAATCGAAGAAACAGCCGGTACGTCACGGCGGATTATACAATTCCCGGCGATTATCGTCAATTACCACGGTAATAGATAGTTTTCCTGCCGTGAACTCGAGGTTCGTCGTACCTCCTCGTGTTCTCGAACGGGTTCACAGAAAATTCCGACGCGTTTCACCTTTCTACGATAAAAACATAAAATCCATCTGTTCGAATTTTCAGCGAACCTGCGTTCTTGATCAAACTAGTCGATGAATTTATAACAATAATAATAATTTATTTATTACAGCAGAAGAAGAATAAATACACAAGGAGGCAAAAAGACAAAAAAAGTACAGAACTAACAGAACTAATGAAACTTAAATTGTATTTCTAAAAAATTTTAATGAAACTATTGTAACTGATGTCTGAGGAAAAATGAGGCGAATAGGAATGCAATATTCAATTCTAGATACGAGCAAGCTGGAAACAGACGCGTGACGAGGAACGTGTTTGCTTTTGCAGCAATTGTCGAAGAAACAATTGCCGGTCGACGATAACTCGTTCCGCAAAATCTCTCGACGGTTATTTTTTTCATTACTCTAGAATCGGTAAACAGACTCTAAAATTATCGAACATACTGATTCATTCCACAAACATCCGGCTCTACAACGTTCACGATATACCCACGACGTTCTACTGCGACTACCACCACGATTCTCACCCTCGAGCACCGAAACGACGCAGTAATACATTCATTTCAAAACCCACAGAGCCCTCGAGAGACCCTGAACCGAACAAACTTCGATCCATCGTTCCCAATTCCTACAATCACTGTTCACCGATACATTTCGATCAGTCTCTCTTTCGAATTCACTTTTCCAATTTCCATATTTACCGTTCCACCGTTAACCTTGCAATTTTCCGCCAAACGATCCAACAACTATCGTACGAACGATCGCGTTTCACATGGGGTCCAATTCCGTCATAAGATTGATTCGATCTACTACTCACTTTTGGGTTCGAACCGCCACAAATGGGGCTGACCGAAGGGATGGTTTCTTAGGCCGAGCGTGAAAAGTCTTCCGTGGAAGAGGCGGAGAAGCTTGTCGTCCCGCGAGACGTTACGCGAAATTACGGCCTAGGTCCAGCCGCGCGAGGTCCGCTCGCAATAGGAGATGGTCAGAAACTGTGCCAAGAACAGCACACGCCGCCACCGTCGTGCGCCAAACCGCGAGAGGTGGTGGGTTTGTACACCTACGAGCCGGCCGAGCCACGCGTGTGCACCTATACATCAGTTGGCCAGGCACTGTTGGAATAATGCACAGTTAAAAACAGCAGTGTCTAAAGGTGTCGTTCTGAGTTTTAAACAGTTAATGAGATTAAATAATTGTTCGACAAATGTCGATTCATTTATAAAGAAATATTATTTTATTATAAAAATTGAAATTTCCACGTTTAAACAATTAAAAACGACGAAATATTTTTTTTTATCTTTTATTCGTTATTCGAAATTTTTTATCTAGATATTGAGTTTGCCCATGTCTGCACGTACGGCACCGATTTCCACTGCGCCGTGCGCGTAAGATCGCCCACAACCATGATTATGAGATACTAAGTCTTTTTCCCATTGATAATTTGAATTGAAAAAACAAATCTGTTTACTGGTTACATTATAATCGTAGGGTTTGTACATATGGAACTGAAGTTGAACTAAATTAATACGAAAATTAGAAAATCAGACGATACTTGATTGAACGATTAAATGGCTGTTAATGGAGAGTACCGGGAAAACAGGAACTGTATTTAATTAAGTGGATTAAGCTCGTTGAGGGGTGGGACAGAACTGCGGGACGGAAGATCGAGCGAATTAAACGGAGCTGGACTGGGAAGGTCGTTCGAATCAGACCAGAATTCGGTTAAACAAAGTTGGAATTAACGAGCTTTTACGCTGTAAACTTATAAATACACGCGATAGACATCTCGTTTCACTTTACTGAAGAATAAAAACAATTATTGGTGATCCCTTCAAGACTAACTAGTTCATTTCATTATGATTGTATTTTATTCTATCAATCTCGTTCATTTCATAAATTAGTAAGACACTTTCCATCGTGGACTTTTAAATAAACGGTTAAAAAATATTTTTTTTATAGTACGAGTCCCTCGAAAATAAATATTCTGCGTAAAAATACTCACAGGTAACGAACGACTGTATTCTTCGCCCCTGAGATCATGCAACCCATATTACACTTGCTGCTCGTGTGACTCTAACACACAGGCGTACTTTCTAAAGAAGACCTGTTCTTGCTTCACGCTATATTCGTTGCAGAACGGATTAGTCCATCAAGACGTTTTACATATTATCATCACTGTGCAAGCTATAATAACAGACAAAATTCTCTGATGTTCTGTAAAAAAAAAAATAATAAATCAACAAATCCACATTTGTTCGGATCAATTTGGATTTCTACAAGATAAAACATCAATCTAATAAATCCGAGTTCTAAATACTGCCCGACGCACAAGCTCGGTTGATTGTAAATTAATAATTTTTATATGATAATTATAACCAACGTCGACCATCATTTTCACATAACCAAATAATTCAATTTACCACGAACTTCAATTTCAACGATGTATACCCATATAACACATGACGTCTTGAAGACGCCCATTTTACGGCTATTTTAGGTCTGAGACGCCTTTAAGCTATCTTCAAGGCGTCATTGGACGTCATGTGTTATCTGGGATAAAATATTGTTTCCACTTAAAAAATTCAGTTCAGTTAGCCAATCACCTATAACAAGGGGAAACCTGCATTCTGATCCGTGGGATCGTTCGAACTAGAGGAAACGTCGTTCCTATAAGAAACAGGGACTAAATGGTTTACTTATAACCGCATCAAACGTTACATGCACTTAACAGACCTGGCAGAAGAGGTCGTACACTTGTTCGATGGACTCGGTCAAAAGATGAATGATCCTCTCTCCATGGAAAAGCCGCTTCTCCCACAGGCGGCATCAATCGCAGAAGGGTTCTCCGTGATGTTGCGGATCAGGCGAGCACGGTTTCAAGTAGCCGTTGAATCGAGGTCGCGACGCAATACGCGCCAAACGCTTCTCGACTCTATAACGAAATAGAAATATGAAAAATTAAACGTTTAAATCTGATATGTATGAAAACTGAACGTTTATAGGTTAGGAACGGTTACGGGACGGTACCATTCGAACAAAGACTGCGTTTGTGCTATCGGTTTATGTCTGACAGCATTAGATATAAGTAGGATACTTCTCCGTCTCTTGTAATGGATGTTGATTAATAATGTTTTCAGATTTGTCTCTAAAAAATCCAACTTGCATAGCATTATCATTAGATGAAGGTAATAAGAAAAGTAAACGTCGTTATATGCACTGTTCATAAGAATGCTGAAACAGAGAAAAATTCATGGAGAGTATTGGGACGCTGTTTTAAAGAACCAGTGAATGAAGAAGAAAAGTTTTTCCAATATTCCAAGACGTCTCTACATGATTTCAATATTTTTTTAGGTAGAATCAAAAATCTGAAATTTCGATTTTATATAATGAATTTCATTTAGAATCGAAATTTAAATTTCCAGTAAAAAGTAGAATATAACTTTCAAGGGGCCTGTAATTATAGTATGAACACCTATATTCAAATGCATCAAAGAATATTTGAACGTAAACGTCCCGTAACCGTTTCGTATCTGCACGGATAGTACGAACCCACCTTATTATGGACGACTATCAAGGGGATAACGTTTTTCGATTTAAATCTATTATCTGTCAACTAACAATTACGCCTCTATTTTTATGTTTTGTTACAAAACGTTGTATAAATACCTATGCGAAGCAAAGTGTTCGTTCGATGGACCGATCCATGGAATTATTTCGCCACCTGTCTTCGTTTGTTTCCGGCCACCGTGGTTCGACTGTCAGCGCAGCAAGCATTAGGCGAAGCGAACACGTTTGTGCGGTTCGAACGGGTCCAAATTAACGCGTTCGTGGACGACCAACGTCCCATGCGAAATTTTCACGTGATCTTTCGAAACAGAAGTTTCTTCGGTGATCTTTTCCCACCCCCAATCGGTAGATGGGGTCGACGATGATCGGCCCCAGGTTCGACGACTCGCTGGTCTTCCGGCTCCTTCGAAAGTTTCGTGTTCCTGATGCCTAGTTTTCTCGGACGTTTTCTTGGTCTATCATTTAGGACGGAATTGCTGATAATGAACCTCGTCGGCTTGGTGAGCATCTCGTTGGTCACGTCTGTTACCCTCTGACGTTTACCACTATCAATTTGCTTTAACTTTTCTAACCTCTTCTAACCTTCGATTCAATACTTTGATCCTGTAATTCTCATAGCACGATGATGAAGTTGTGATCCACTATGGACAATATTACTTTCTCTCTGTATTAATATAAACAAATCCAAGATTTTATGCAAAATACGTTTGTTTTGAGTTTATCGTAGAATGTGGGTGAATCCAGAGCCCCTATTGGCAGTTCTCTGAACTAAAATATTGAAATAGAAATGCTCACTAGGGTGCATTAGATCCTGTGAGATTTGAATTCCTGTTTTACGGGACAAATTAAAGGCACCACCTGTAAGTGTTTATGGGAACTGCAGAATTTAGGAAATTTTTTGACGAGGATTCCTTTTGAGTCACGATTTAATACAACGCTTTACACACGTAGCAAAAGCACAAAACGAAACAAGTTGATGGAATAATCTATGCAATATAATGAAAAGTAAAATAGAGCGACCAATGATTTATAGGTAAACAGCACTCTGGACTGGAGTCCCCTGAAATGGACGAACAAGCTCGAACAAATTTGGAACTTGTCCATTTCAGACAGTTCGCTGATTCTCGATACCATCGGCGAAGATACGATAAAAACTAGTTAGTTTCTTGATTCCTTTTCAACAATGAAACAATTAAACGTACCACACAGGCTCTTAATTTCTTGCTCGTATTTCATCCCCTCAGTTCTGTCATGGATCGTAATAACGCGAATCGTGATCGCCCACGTGTTCACGATCACCTACGTGACGAACTTTTATCCCATCGTAACGTGGAGTCGACCCAATCTGTTGCTGCCTTGGCTGCTCCTGAGTTTCTTCAAGAACGTCTTCCTCGAGGTCATCGTGATTGTGATCGGGCTTCTGCTTTGGTATGGGAGACCATTCTCGTTGGTCGTCTTCCTCGAGTTTATTTTCGTGAAACTTATTCCATTAGGTAAGTGAATTCACCTCTCCAAACAGATTCTATCTTGACGGAACGCTCGTCCTTCTGCTGTAGTAGTGGATGTTTTAAGTAAAAATGCAGTAACTCACATATTTTATTACGGACGACCGTCATATTTACTTACGCCCAACATCGAAAATTTTATATTAAAATAAAAAGAATTCGATCACGAGCAGACGAGACAAAGAAATGCAATAAGAATAAACACGAATCTAATGATAACTAGTACACCTGTGTACTTTAAGGTTATTTTAGATCGATCAAATGATCCTCTTCAGTTTTAGCTAGCTACAATTGGTACTCAAACTCCTGTTTATTCCTGCAACTACGTTACACCGAGAGAATGCGGACGCTGAAACGGTCCATGCGTAGCGACTCGAATCTGCTCACCAATCAGATTTACCTGAGGATCGAGGATAGGTACAGGACGGGATCGTTGACGAGTCTGTTTTCGTACAGCAGTTACGACACCTACGACGCCAATCTGAGCCTTAGCGACAACGCGAAGAAGCTTTTCGGACTGACCGAGCAGGACATCTTGGAGGCCCGTGTCAGGATCAAGGAAAGGGCGGCATACAGAAGATTGACCGAATTGGACGATGATTATTTCTTCGGAAACAGCAGAATGAATCTGAATGAACATCTATTCTTCGGCAGCAGACACAATCAGGTAAAGAGGAACGATCGTTCGAGTAGTTCTACGTGTCCACTCGAGAAATTCTGGGGAGCAATACTTGTAGCTGTGCTCTCAAGTAGACTTCTGCATGGTGATTACCCAAACTTTATAATATACATATAATATTTTCAGAGCAACCGATTTCTACTTCCAATGCCAGAAATCTTGGCTAGCAATCCAAAGGATTTGGAGAATTCAGAAAACGAAAATATCAATAAT